GACGCCGGGTTTCGTTAACCGCTACCCTACCACTCGCCAAAGACACACACAGATGCACACACGCACCGACCTGTACACACTCACACTCCCCTGCACGTGGAGACAAAAGACATCCCCCTCCCCTCCCCCCCGTAGAGCCTTAACAGACTTTTGGTAGCAAGTGCTGTTAGCGAGCACACGACACACACACGCACGCACACTCTGGCGTGCGTGTGTGGGTACAGCAGCTGTGTGTGTGTGTGTTTGCGCCGGACACACCGTTCTCACCTGTGCTGGGCCTTCCACCTGCGGCTCCACACGTGGCCGCGAGTGCACGGGGATTAGCTTCAGAACCATCGAACACACACACACCCCCCACACACACCTTCACTCCCTCCCACGTTAACAGCGGAGCAGCGTTACGAGTCGACGTGGTGATTCAGTAGGGCGAGATCTTGTCTTATATTCATAGGGAGCGCCTTAAAACAATGCGCTCTCTCCATAGCAGAGTTGATAGCGGTAACAAAAATAGATTATGCATTAGTATAGATTGTGCACAAATCTGGCTGTCGCCTGATTAAGCTAGTTGTAATTACTGGCGAAACGTCGTACTCGGATTGTAAATGTTGTGGTTTGGCTCTCCAACACACTGGTGGGCTGAACTGGTGACGAATTGGCCACGTTCTGTTTACGTGACAACCCTTACTAGTTGGCTGTGTCGGGTGGTGGCGGGTTTAACGACGCATTTATATATTTACGCGATCTAACCCAAAATCTGTATTATGGATAGATGATACACTATGTAACGCAATTCTTGTTCCTGGGTAGTAAGTGTTATTTCCTAATTGCTTATGCCTAAAAAGTATAGAAAATGGCTAGTATTCCCCACAAACTTTGCTTTTGTGACCAGGACAATGATATTTTGAAATTTACCTATTTTCAATGAGAAAACGGGCGAATTTGTGTATTTTCGTTCACATAAAGTCAGAAAAAACAACATATGAATCTAAATTAATATGTACTTATACTAAAGTCATACAAAAATGACTACAATAGATTTAGAAGTGAGCAGTTTTTCGAAATTTACGATTATACTGTAAATTACTTTCACGAATCAGCCCCCAAATGTAGTCTTCCATCATGTTCTCGTTATACTGTCCTTGGTTGCGGCGCTCAAAGTCCAGTATATCCTGGTGGAAGCGCTCGCCTTGTGCCTCTGAGTACGCTCCCATGTTCTCCTTGAATTTATCAAGATGAGCATCAAGGATATGGACTTCGAGGGACATCCTACATCCCATTGTGCCGTAGTTCTTCACCAGTCTCAACCAGCTCCACGTAGTTTTCGACCATGCGATTGCCTAAGAAGCCACAAACCACTGCGACAAAGCTGTTCCAAGTCGCTTTCTCCTTACTAGTGAGCTTCTTGGGGAATTCATTGCACTCCAGGATATTCTTTATCTGTGGTCTGATGAAGACACCGGCTTTGACCTTTGCCTCAGACAGCTTAGGGAAGAAGTCTTGAAGGTACTTGAAGGCTATCGACTCCTTATCTACAGCTCTGACAAATTGTTTCATGAGGCCCAATTTGATATGCAGTGGTGGCATCAGCACCTTCTGGGGGTCCACCAGTGGCTCCCACTTGACGTTGTTCCTCCCCACAGAGAACTCGGTCCACTGTGGCCAGTCCCACCTGTGGTAATGCGCCTTGGTGTCCCTGCTGTCCCAAAGGCAAAGATAGCAGGGAAACTTGGTAAAACCGCCTTGGAGACCCATCAGGAATGCCACCATTCTGAAGTCTCGGATGACCTCCCAGCTGTACTCATCATACTTCAAGGCGTCCAGCAATGTCTTGATGCTGTTGTAATCCTCTTTGAGGTGCACCGAGTGAGCCAGGTGAAGAGACGGGTGCTTGTTACCATTATGGAGCAGCATGGCTCTGAGGCTCCTGGATGAGCTGTCAATGAAGAGGCGCCACTCATTCTGGTAACAGGCGATTCCGATTGCCTCAAACAGACTGGTCACACTGCCCATCTTGACGGGTGAAGAAGCTGCAAAAAGGTTGGCGACGCTTCCTCCGATCTGCAACTTGCACACATTCATCCAACAAGTTCCACTGCTTGAGCCTAGACGTCAAAAGCTCGGCATTGGACTCGGTTAGACCAAGATTTCTGATCAAGTCGTTGAGGTCTTGTTGGTTGGGGTAGTATGGGTTTCTCTCCTCAGCTCCACCTCTGAAATTGTCATCTGGATCTACAACGTCTTCCTCACTCTCTGACTTGCTGCTCTCTTCTAAAGACGGCTGCTCTCTCTCCGGAGGAGTGGGTACGGGGAGCTCATGGCAGTGTGGCACCAGGGCGATGGATGAAGGAAGGTCCGGATACGTGATAGCAGGTGCATTCTTGCCAGTCCGACGTTTGGAAGGGTCCACCATGCAGAAGTAGCAGTTGCTTGAGTGGTCAGTGGGTTCCCGCCAAATTATTGGGATGGCGAACTTCATGGCTTTCTTTTCCCCTCTGTACCATCCTACAAAAATACATTTATTTCACCCATGATTAATGTGTAAGAGATTCTTGCAACATTTTTCATATTATAGATTTTTTCAATAACATTGAAAATTGTAAAACATTAAAAATTTTAATAACATAAATTTCCAAGCAACAATTGTCCATCTTACCTTTCAGTTTTTTTGCATTGCTCGCAGGAGAAATAAGGTGCCCAGGCTTTGTCTTGATCCCCGACAGGCATGCCTAAATATGCCGTGTAGGCCTCACACATCTTAGCAGATGCTTCCACAGAGGACTTTTTCACTCTTGTCTTGATAAATTGGCCACAGACATAGCAAAATGCGTCTGCCGGATGCTTGAAGCCTCTTGATGCCATCTCAGAAAAATGCAGATATGTATCTACGTAGGCAGCTGGAACTAAACTGAACTGGTGGGCTTAAGGCCCCTGTATTTATACTACTATTTATATTACTGGAAAGTTCTAGAATGTTCTAGAAGTTACTTCAAGTTTACTCAGCACTTAATCTATCTGGGATGTTCTGGAAAATAGGTATATGTCAAAATATCACTGTCCTGGTCACAAAAGCAAAGTTTGTGGGGAATAATAGCCATTTTTCAATTCAAAATCCTTCTCCTCACACATAAAGCCCTTCATAACCAGGCCCCTTCCTACCTCACTGACCTGCTCCACCGCCACAACCCATCCCGTAGCCTTCGCTCATCTGACGCCAACATCCTGACTCCACCTCTCAGAACCAAGCATCGAACCTGGGGCGACAGAGCCTTCTCTATAGCTACCCCCTCACTTTGGAACTCTCTCCCAAAACAAATCCGTGACTGCACCGACCTTCCAGCGTTCAAATCAGACTAAAACTCACCTTTTTAAAATTACTTTTAATGTTTAGCTAAGTTTGATGTGTTTTTAGTGTTTTTACCATTTGATTTTGTTTTTGCTATTATGATTTAATGTAAAGTGTCTTTGAGTATTCAGAAACGCGCTCACAAATAAAATGTATTATTATTTTCTGTACTTTTCAGGCATAAGCAATTAGGAAATAACACTTACTACCCAGGAACAAAAAAATATTGTTACAGTGTTATGCATGTTGAACTTCTTTGGCACCGTACATAGCCAACTCGTGCTGTTGTGGGTTTACTCTCCAACACACCGGTGTGCTGAACTCGTAACTAATTGGCACGTTTAGTTTACGTGACAAACCTTACTAATTGGCTGTGTCGGGCGTGGCGGGTTTAATGACACATTTATATTTACGCAATCTAACCCAAACCCCCCCACCCCCCCCTTATCACGGCTATCATTAGTCGTGAAAGCCTTCCACGCGTGAAGCAGTCGCAAATAAATTCGTTTTCAATCTGGGTTTGGAAAAAAACGAGCGGTTGAGATGGGCAGGGCCAGTGACAGTGAATCCTCTCTCTCGGAGCGATAGCGAACCCACCGGGGTGACGAGGAAGCAAGTGGCGGGGATGGGGGACTATCATCGGACGACACCGTCCTTCGCGGTTCCGGCCTCGCGAGGGCCAACTCTGGCCTGCGGGTCCCGCGGAGGGCGCACCGACTCGCTGCGGAGTCGTGCGGTGGCCTTCTGTGCCCGCCACCGCTTGTAAGTCATGGGAAGAAGGTGGTCGTGGTGAAGGGGCCACGGTGAGATCACGGTGGGGAGGAGTTCCTGGTGGTGTGGAGAAGATTGTGGTGAGGCGGTCCTGGTGAGGGGGTCATGGCGAGCAGGTGGTCGTGGTGAGAACATGGTGAGGTGGTAGTCGCAGTGAGGAGGAGCTCGCGGCGCGTGACCCCCAGCCGCGTGCTACTTGAGGGCGTGCACGGCGTAGTTCACGTCCGTGGAGTAACTCCAGCGCCGGCTGCCCCTCAGGGGGCTGTAGGTCATCCCGCGTTCTGGACGAACCCGTTGAGTTTTGCTTATGAATTAAATTCACCTCGACTCGTCCGATGGCTTAAGGCACCCGCGTGTTTCAACCCGACAGTCATCGCGAGCGCGCATTCACGCTCGAGCTTTGGTTGCCACCCGCCCTGTTTTCCCCGGGATCGTCCTCATGCTAAGGGGCAGCTAGCAGCGGCTGCTGCACGTGGTGCAGGAGCGTTTCACAACGCGCCGATTGTGACCGTTTCGCCTCACCCACTCACTGAACCCACACATCCACTCACTCACTGAACCACTCACTCACCCATCCACTCACTCACTGAACCACTCATTCACCCACCCACTCACTGAACCCACACATCCACTCACTCACTGAACCACTCACTCACCCACCCACTCACTGAACCCACACATCCACTCACTCACTCACTGAACCACTCACTCAGCCACTCACTCTCCCACTCACTAACCCACTCATCCACTCACTCCTCCACTCACTAACCCACTCACTCACCCACTCACTAACTGAACCACTGACTCACCCACTCATCCACTCACCCACCCACCACCCACTCACCCAACCACTCACTGGTTAAGTTGCAGAACAATTCTCACAACCAATGTTATCAGCGATTATATTCGCGACGTTTCACTTGAAATTGCATCATTCATCTTCAGGACACGATCCAGGAAGTCATAATAAAGGATTCTTTCTTCCGATTTACTGGGTTTTATTACCAGAGCATGCTTTTGTTGGCATGTTCACCACGTTTGGTGTTTGAACATCTTAACACCTCCTGTTTCATTGCCAGAAAGGGTAAAACCTATTCTTCAACTGGGCTTTACTTGTTGTGATCGTAGTGTGGAGAAGACTGCGGTGAGGTTTGGGTGAGGTGGTGGTGAGGTGGTCCTGGTGAGGTCGTGGTGAGGAGGTAGTCATGGGACGAAGGTGGTCGTGGTGAAGGGGCCACGGGGAGGAGTTCCTGGTGTGGGGAAGATTGTGGTGACGTCATGGTGAGGCCGGTCCTGGTGAGGGGTCATGGCGAGCAGGTGGTCGTGGTGAGGACATGGTGAGGAGGTAGTCGTAGTGAGGAGAAGCTCGCGGCGCGTGACCCTCAGCCGCGCGCTACTTGAGGGCGTGCACGGCGTAGTTCACGTCTGTGGAGTCACTCCAGCTCCAGCTGCTCCTCAGGGGGCTGTAGGCCATCCCGCGCAGCTCCACCACGCTCAGCCCGTCTGCAGGAACAGGGCCGTCGGGGACGCCGTGGTCACGACCTGCCATCGTCACAACGTTCCTCACCCCCGACAAACCTCACCGCTCTTCTTTTAACAAAGAGGCAAAACATTTTCCCCGCCGATGCAGTCGCGATCGCGCCGCTACCGGCGTCGTCATCGTCGTCACGACACCGAGGAGGATCCGGTCGGAAATGTCGTGGAGCGACACGCGACCCGACCGAGGCGTTGGTGCTCATCTCCCGTCAACAGCCCTGAGCCAGCGGTGGGAATTCCCTATTCCTATGGCAGGGGGCGAGGTTATCCAGAGGACAACCGCCGTTGACAAGCCACGGTCGTGCGACTGTGGCCGTGCAGCCCAAACTACGGACCGCACAGTAAACCCACTGCGGTCTGCCCACAGAGGAGGAACAGTGACACGACGCGAACTCTCTCTCTGCTGAAGCCCTCTCGTCGTGACCAGCAGCAAGACATTGACATGGACATCGAGCTCTGCTGCCGTATGGCGCAAGACCAGAACAGAACCACTGTGGGAACTTCCCCGCAAATTGGCACTGATTTTATCGACCCTCGAGGGATGATAATGACGATGATGGGCTTGGGTCAACACCTCTCCAGCGGGAGCTTTGAACCCGCAGCCTCACGACTGCGAGCCGCCCGCTCCCTACCGGCCGAGTCGCCCGCGTCCGGTGCCACGGGACGGGGACCGGGTGCCGAGCGGAAGCGGCGTGGTGGCGCCGGTGGCAGTGGCGGTGGTGGCGGTGCCGGGGTTGACACTCACTCTCCTCCAGGGCGGAGCGCACGGAGCGCGGCTCCACGAACGACTCCCAGGCGTGCGTGCCGCGCGGGACGATCCGCAGCAGCCACTCCGCCACCACGATGGCGAAGGCAAAGGAGGCCGCCGTCTTGTTGATGGTCGTCAAGAAGAGCGAACCCCCGGGCTGCGGGCGGGTGGGGGGGGGGGGTGCGGAGGGGACGCGAGGAGTCCTGTGTTGGGGAGAGCACGTGGAGCGGACGGACGAAGCGGCTCGCGGCGAACACGTCGGACGTCGAGCCGCACGCCGCGCGGCACAAAGCAAACGAGCACAGGGGGAGGGCGATCAATGGCTATGCTGGTGGTGTGTGCGTGTGTTGAACTTCTTTGGTACCGTACATATCCAGCCGTGCTAATCGGAGGTGCGGGTTGGTTCCGCGTATTCACCCGGGACGGCCTCAACCGAGTCTCAAGACTCTTTTTCAGGATGGTCCTGCCAGATTTTCACATTAGGGGGCAGGTGGATGTCGCTGCTGCTGCTGCTGCTGCCGCTACGCGATTCCAATTGCGTAACTTTCAGGTAATTTCTTAGCAACGGGCGGTGTTGTTCTTTGGCCACCACCAGCTACACTGCGCGCTTTCATTTTAGCTGTGCGAGGAGGGAACCGGAGAACCCCGAGAAAACCCATGGAGAACAGGGGGAGAACACACGGACTCCATGCCGCGAGACGCGGAATCGAACCCAGGTCCTTCTTGCTGTGGAGCATGAGCGCTGCCGCTACGCCACCATGAGAGAGAGAGCAGGAGCGAGACAGCCAAAGGGTGAGTGGGAAAGAGGTACAGAATGAGAGTGAGAATTATAGAGGGAGTGAGTGAGTGGGAGAGAGAGATTGAGAGAGAGCGTGAGAGAGAGTGAGAGTTAGAGAGGTAGTGAGTGAGTGGGAGAGAGAGCGTGAGAGTGTGAGTTAGAGAGGTTGTGAGTGAGTCAGTGGAAGAGGGAGAGAGTGCGAGAGGGTGTGAGTCCATAGCAGTGTCCGAGAGAAGGAGAGTGGGAGAGCGAGAGCGTGGGAGAGCGTGGGAAAGCGGGAGCAGCGGGCGTCTCACCTTGACAAGGCGGCAGCAGCAGGCGATGAAGGCGGCCGGGTCATGGACATGTTCCACCACCTCGGAAGCCACCACCGCGTCAAACACCGGCCCCTCACGCTCCGCCAGATCCTCCACCTGGGCCACCTCGTACCTGCAGGTCCACCACCGTGTCCACCTCGTATCTACAGCTCCACCACCTTGTCCACCTCGTAGGTACATGTGGGCTGTGTCACCCAGCCACTAGGGGCGCTAACTCCGCCGGCTTCCGGTTACATCCCAGATCAACTCCAAGACTGCACACTCACCGTTACAACACCCTCCATGGACTCGCCCCTCCCACCTCATTCTCCTTCCCTCCCACCTCACTCTCCTCCTCACTCACCTCACTCTCCTCCCCTCCCACCTCACTCTCCTCCTCACTCACCTCACTCTCCTCCCCTCCCCTCCCACCTCACTCTCCTCCTCACTCACCTCACTCTCCGCCTCTCCTCTCTCATCCCACTCTGCTCCCCTCCACGTGCGCTCTCTATTCCAGCAGCCGAAGCCCTACGTCGACCTTCGCTCAGTGGGAGGTCACTCACTCCACATTCACTTCCCCCAGCCGTCCGTGCTGTCGACTCCCTGCCCCCGCTCTAGTCCAGGCTCAAGGTTTCCCGTCGCGCTACTCGCCGACGGGCCGCCTCCCTACAGAACCGATGCGCCCGCCGTCTCCGTCCTGCGTCCCGAGACGCGGCCGCACTGAAACGCGGGCGGGGGGGGGGCGAGGCCACGCGGGACCTCGAGGTCGGCGAGTTCGCGGTCTTGAAATCGACCCGGGGATTCGATCGCGAGCCCGGCGGAGGACGCGTCGACGGATCCGCGCGTCGTCACGGCGACGGCGCCGCGCGTACCGGAGGCGCGACGCCAGCTGGGGGTCGGAGCGCGCGTGGACGCGCGCCGTGCCCACGTTCTCCTCCAAGGGGTCGATGCCCAGAACCGTGGCTCCGATCCTGGCCAGCGGCTACGCACAACGCGACAGACGGACGGACGATGGAATCGTACCACTCCGCAACGTTACCGCGATCGCGCCATCGGTGTCGCGTCGTCGCGACACGGAGAATGCATTCGGAAATCTCGCAACAGCGGTGCCCAGAGTATGGAGGGCGCAAGGGATGATTTTACCCGGGCCTCATGCCAAAAAGGCCCGTTTAGTACGTACTAAACGGGCCTGTTTTTGTTTGTCGCTGATGTATAATTTGGCCGCACGTGGCCTCCTGCCCCGGGCCGCCTCCAAGAACCTTGGGGCGGGCCCTGGTGATGCATCGGCCCGCGTGCTCGCGAACAGCCCACAGAAGACGGTATAACGGTCCTGCTTCTGAATCTGTGTGAGTGACACAGCACTGAGCCAAGCACCGCTGAGATTCTGAGCCAGACTTTGAGGCACACCACTGTGATTGAACCGGGTTCTCAAGCGTCGTGACTTTACGGTTTCACTGTAGGCCAGAAATTACTTTGCAAAATTATGCGAGTGGTCCTTCCCAAACCAAGCGATGTGGCGAGTAACCGATCAAATTTGGCAACGTTGGACCGTGACGCTGACATACACACGGCCAACTACTCCGTTTAGAATATCGTCACAGATTCTTTAACGTGCCCACTGCGAAGCTGTTGGTGCGGGGTACTTTTACGGTAATTATTACACCCCCCAGTATTAACCAGCGCAGTCCCTGGCCTCGAACCGAAAGTGTCTGCAACAAGCGGCGAATGGTCTACCGCCTGGCCTTGTCACTGCACTCCGATCGATCTTGGAGGTGGCCACGGGGTCATAACGACACAACAATTACTTTTTCGCCCAGGGGAGCCACACTCGAGTCCGAAGACTCATTTTCAGGGGGGTCCCGCTACAATGGGACGCTTAGGCAGCACCAACGGAAAACCCATGCAGAGAACGTACAAAACCCACACCACAGAAAGGCGCCCGAGTCGGGAATCGAACCCAGGGACTTCAGGCTGCGAGGGGATGAGCGTTACCACCGCGCCACCGTGTTGCCCCCAAATCTGCGTGAGAGGAGGGACCACCCCAGTGTGTCAGTGTAACCCCCCCCCCAATTGGGGGGAGGGGGTGTGAGGTGGCAGGGGGGGGGGGGCAGTGTCGACCTCGCATAGTAGGCCCCCTCCGCAGCCCACGTCCAGGATGTGGAAGCCTTTGAGAGGCAGCGCCCCACGGGTTGGGGCCTCGGCACCGAGCAGCCCATCCCTGCGGGGCACACGGATAGACACGCGACCCGCGCGGTGTCACCCGCGGCTGAAGAGGTGGGGGTCGATCATTGGTAACGATCGTCATCACGTGGAGTTTAACTCGGCCACGGTGGTGCTGGTTTTTTTTTTTTTTTGCGATCGCTGCTGCGACGACGGACTAATAAAATGCAACGAAAACGGGAAAAGTGCGCCAAGAAGCACGAGGAGACGCTGCATCACAACGAGATACGTAGAGAGGAGCAGCTGGAGTGGAGAGCACAATGCAATGTTAACATTGACATCACCCGGACTGTTGTGAAAATTGAGTGGGGCTTGGGCAGGGCGCGTTTCGAGCCGGCCGACGGTCAAGAACAGTAATGGAGTGGCGGCAGAGGAACGGAACGCGTCCGACAGGACATTCGACGGGGAGATGGAGCGACGAGATCGGCTCGTGCGCAAGTGCCGGGGCGGATCGCTGCATTGCAGGGCCGTGTAGAGACGGGTAGGCCTTCATCCGGAAAACATTTCTCCACGCGGTGCTTCTGAGCGGCCCTCGCCACGCCGCCCGGGTGGGGAAGCGTCGTGCGCGCGGGTGCTGAACTTAGGCGGCACCTGATGAGGGGCACGCGGAGCGAGTTGAGGCTGTGCAGGGGACCCAGCTCCCCTCGCTCGTCCCACCACGTGTGGGCCAGGGCTTGGAACTTGGCCAGCTCGTGGGGGTTCACGCTGCTGGACTTGCGCTCCGCGTCCCATGTGGCCTCCGTCGCGAGCCCGCGGGATCTGTCCAAGGGAAACGCAAAGACAAAGATCCCCCGTGTAGCCATTGACAGACCGTCAGGGCAAGTGTTGTTCGCGTTAACCTACGAAGGCCGGCGCGGCACACAAGGGGGTGGGTGGCCAGCACCACGCCCGGCCGCCTTTGTCGCCCCAGTGCTGATTTTTTTTCACACACACACCAACAGATAATTATTTAAGGCTGAGCCGACCTACGGGAGGCCCAGGACCGGTTCAGATATTCGTCACCGATGTTGGCTGTGAACGAGGGCTCCGGCCACACCGGGTTGGTTGTGAGCGTTGTCCGACCGCAACTCATCAGCAGTGCAGCGGCAGAGCACGTGTCGTAGCAGCCTGGTTGGTAAACCATCGCACGGACGTTTGTGCAACCCCAGTATGGCGTCGAAGAGATGCCATAACCTGGCTTACCACAAAGCAGTCCAGCAAGTGGACTAATCGCCACCTGTTTCCATCTGTACGGGGGTGGGGTTGGTATAGAGTGCTGCTGCCTCCCTCTGCGCGAGTGGGTTTTCTCCGGGTGCTTCCGTTTCCTCCCACTTGTAAACACTCTCTCATCATTAATTGGCCGAAAAACATCAAACGAATGGAAACCCAATGTGGCAGGACCCTCCTGAAAATAAAGTGTCTCACGACTCGCGTAAAAGACCGCGCTGGCGGGGTTTGTGATGATGCGGGGGGGCAGACTGTACATAGATTAGGGGGGCGGGGGGGTCATAGAAGCAGTGCAATGGGTTCCTCCCTACAGTGCCCTCTGCTGACCGCCACCGTTGCACAACCCGGCCACCGTAGGCTATTGGTCAACCTCACGTGTCGTTGTGGTCACCCATCCAAGCGCTAGCCAGTCTCGTCGCCAGCTTAGCTTCCGAGATTTCTCCACGTTATTTGGCTCATGGGCGCGAATGTCGCCTCTTATCGTGGCCTATTCGTGGTATGGGGCCATCCATTTAGTAGGTACGCAAAAGTCTGTCAAAACCTGACCCCTGCCCCACTCCCTGTACGCACGTGGACTTTTTACACCCCCCACCTGCATACGTTCGCTTGACGCATTCTCCCCCCCCCCCCCACCGAATCCTATAGAAAGGCCGATATTAAATGCACGCAGAAACGATCAAGAATTAATAATATTAACGTGTTTAAGCAAACAGATAGTCCACCGCCGGACTATCTAACTCATTTGATGGCCAATGTAGACAAATTATTATCGAGGCTTCAGCCCCCCCCCCCCCCACCGTTTCCTATGCGTACGTACATTGTCAGTAGACCCCCCCCCCATACACAAGCGTACGCATTTTGGATTAACCCCCCCCCCCTGCGTACGTACTAAATGTATGGCCCCCTATTTTCGTGAGATAATCATTCCTGAAAAGGAACCCACTGCCTCCAAATCGCCAAAGCCTCCTGAGAGGCGGCCACGGGCTCGACGAGGCGATGGGCAACGCGCGTTGTGACTGATCTATAGTCCACGATGTAACAGCAACTCAGCGTCGGATTATCCTCGTAGCAAAAGTAGCAAATGCCACGGGCCCCGCGCTTAACGCTTTCAAGCTATCAATTTCGGTTCAGTGATTCTGCACTTGCTCTATAACCATAGTACTATACCGCCTTACAACTTTTATGAACGACTGGGTGTTTAAGGTTAGCGGATTTGTCGTATGATCCGGCTGTATAGCAAATGAAAAAATGACAATTGCTTTACTATGCAAGTGAAAAATGTAAGTTTTAATATTTACTTATTTTATTTTATTTATAACAATATGCTGCAGGCCCCGCGCTAGATTAACCTGGCAGCTATTTCTCTCGGTGATGAGACTGGCACACGGCGTGGACAAGTGATGAGACTGGAACACGGCGTGGACAAGTGATGAGACTGGAACACGGCGTGGACAAGTGACCAAGAAACCGGGAACAGAAACGGAGGCACGTGTGGAGGAGATGCACGCGCGTGGAGGCTGTGCGCCGAGACTCCAAAGATGAACGCGTGGATTCGACAGCCTACACGCAGAGAGGAACCTCAATGACTGTTAGGGGAGAAAGTGAGAGAGGGGGGGGGGGGGCTTGGGTAGGACGCGTGGGGTGAGACAGAGGTGGATGACCGGCCCAGCAGTGATCGAGGCTACAGACAGACGTCCTCCGAGAAAGACGGAACGCCGGGATCAGCTGGACAAGCACGGAGCTGGGGTGGCGTCGGGCTCTGGGAGGTCATCATCCAGCAGTGGATTAGCCATGGCCGAGAGCTGGGCACTGGATTCGTATCGCGATTAACGAGACGGACCGCTGCTCACAAATCTCCATCATGCCCCCTCTCCACTCCAGAAAAAACGATCCACGACCTCTGAGATTACCCCCCCCCCCCAACACACGCACCCGAGACCCCTAACCAGGGCCGCGATGCCGAACCCCGCCGCGGGGCCAGGGGACTCTTGGAGGGTCCGCGGGGGCCCCTCGGGTACGAGGCGCCCCGGGGTGGAGGAGGCGAAGCGACGGCGCGGGCAGCAGGAGGAGAGGGCACGGGGCCTGAGCAGCAGCGGCAGGAGACGACGGAGCTGCCGGGAACGCAGGCCAGGCGCGGCCATCGCTACCACGGCTGATGTCTCACTGCCACTGGCCCTGGGCTGAGTCGGGAGCTCAGTGGCGCCCTCTCATGCCCAGCCCGGCCGGTCTCACACAGAGGGAAGCCTCCCACCTACCCACCACCCACCTACCCACCACCCACCTACCCACCACCCACCTACCCACCACCCACCTACCCACCACCCACCTACCCACCACCCACCTACCCACCACCCACCTACCCACCACCCACCTACCCACCACCCACCTACCCACCACCCACCTACCCACCACCCACCTACCCACCACCCACCTACCCACCACCCACCTACCCACCACCCACCTACCCACCACCCACCTACCCACCACCCACCTACCCACCACCCACCTACCCACCACCCACCTACCCACCACCCACCTACCCACCACCCACCTACCCACCACCCACCTACCCACCACCCACCTACCCACCACCCACCTACCCACCACCCACCTACCCACCACCCACCTACCCACCACCCACCTACCCACCACCCACCTACCCACCACCCACCTACCCACCACCCACCTACCCACCACCCACCTACCCACCACCCACCTACCCACCACCCACCTACCCACCACCCACCTACCCACCACCCACCTACCCACCACCCACCTACCCACCACCCACCTACCCACCACCCACCTACCCACCACCCACCTACCCACCACCCACCTACCCACCACCCACCTACCCACCACCCACCTACCCACCACCCACCTACCCACCACCCACCACCCACCTACCCACCACCCACCTACCCACCACCCACCTACCCACCACCCACCTACCCACCACCCACCTACCCACCTACCCACCACCCACCTACCCACCACCCACCTACCCACCACCCACCTACCCACAACCCACCTACCCACCACCCACCTACCCACCACCCACCTACCTATCCCACCATTGGCAAAGAGCTGGCAATTCGAAACAAAAAATTGTATTACAAATTTTTATTTTTCCAGGTTAAGGCCCACTGAGCTGTGTATCTTGTTTTTTCAGAAGCTACCTAAACCATCACAAACGTGTAAATTTACAGCAGTCAAATCAGTGCCGGATTGAGCTCGTGCGTGGCCTGGAGCATATTTGTTGTTATAAAGGGGCACTAAATAAAAAAATATATTAAAGTGCATAGTAAAGTAATTGTATTTTTTCATTTGCTATACAGCCAGATGATACGACAAATCGCTAATCTTAAAGACCCAGTCGTTCATGAACGTTGAAGGCGGTATAGTACTATAGTAATAGAGCAAGTGCAGAATCACTGAACCGGAATTGATAGCTCGAAAGCATATAGCGCGGGGCCCTTGAAAGTGCGGGGCCAGTAGCATTTGCTACACCACACTAAGACAACAACAACAACAACACACTGGTCAATACTGACACCACACTAAAACAACAACAACAACACACTCGTCAATACTGACACCACACTAAGACAACAACAACACACTGGTCAATACTGACACCACACTAAAACAACAACAACACACTCGTCAATAATGACACCACACTAAGACAACAACAACACACTGGTCAATACTGACACCACACTAAAACAACAACACACTCGTCAATACTGACACCACACTAAAACAACAACAACAACCACATCACCACAACCACAGAATGAACGCGCGCGCGTGCTCGTGAAGGCGACGTCACGTGGCGCGTCACGCCTCGAACGTCGTCACCGGAACGGATCTCACATCAACTCCATATTACCTCTCTCACTCTCACACACACACGGCCGCCTTTGTCTCTCCTCTTCCCCATCATCATCCACCGCCGCCGCCACAACAACAACCACAACAACCACCACCACCTCCCACAGTCATCGTTGTGTTTTTTTAAAATTTCCCTCGCGTCGTCGCTGCCGGGAGACGCGGGGAGACCCGGGGTCCGGCCGGGGCGTCTATGGCGGCCGGGGAGCCCTCGCTGCGGGCGGCAGGTGAACAAGGATAGAGAGGGGGCAGGAGGAGGCCCTGTCGGGGCCGCCTTGTAATACGGTGGTGGGGGGGGGGGGCAGCAGAGCAGGGAGGTTCCGGGGGAGGGCAGCGAGGCGACAGGAAGAGCAGCGAGACACGAGAGGGGGAGCGGATAGGGCAGCGGGGAGAAGGGCAAGCGAGACGATATGACGGCAGAGAGGATGGTCGGAGGGCGGCAGAGATGATTGAGGGGGCAGCAGATAAGACAGAAGGGCAGCAGATAGACGCAAGGGTAGGAGGGGGCAGAAGGGTAGGAGACGGAAGGGTACGGGAGGCAGGTGGATGCCCTCACGCCGTCATTCGTGTGTAGAGGGGCAGCAGAGTGCAATAGGTGAAAAGGGCAGGGAGGCAGCAGGGCAGGGAGGAAGGAGACAGGAGGGTAGGGGTGCAGGTAGAGGAGGAGGGCCTGTGGCGGGGCCCCATACAAGGGCAGCGGTGTGGAGGGCAGCAGGGAGGAGGGTAGGAAGACAGAAGGGCAGGGTGACAGGTGAAGGAGGGCTTGACGGGGGTGGGCAGCGAGGTAGAAGGACATCAGTAGAAGGGCAGCAGAGGGGAGGAGGGGGGTAGGGAGACAGGTGTAAGAAGGCTTGACGATGCATCATCGCGCCCACAGCCAGCAGGAGGGCAGGGATGAGGGCAGCGAGATGGCGAGGCAGGGGGGGGGGGTGTGGCAGCAACAGAGGAGGACAGAAGGCTGCCCTGTTGGGCCCCGTAGTGCACACGTAGGTGGGCAGCAGGACAGGGACACAGGAGGGGCAGATAGGTGGGAAGAGAGGCAGGAACATCAGGGAGGTGGGCAGGGGGGTAGGGAGGCGTGAGGGCAGGGCTAGAAAAGGGCAGGGAAAGAAGGGAAAGAGAGTGCGATGGAGACATAGAGGGAGACAGAGAGAAACAAACAGGGAGACAGAGGGAAACAGGCAGGGAAAGAGAGAGACAGGGAGGGAGTGAAGCCATTAGGCAGGGAGGTACAGTGTTGGTTAGGGCCGAGCAGTCAAGGCATTCCTCGTGGAGCTGATGAATCACGTTTCTGAGTGACGGCTCCCAGTATTAAACAGCCACCGCACACACCAAGCCTGTGTAGAAGGTCAATCATATTTACAATATTTACAATACTGTATGCGACCAGCTAAGCGCAGCACAGGGTGCCCATACACACACCCTGCAGTTGTGAGATTTCAATCGGTGCTTTCTTGTCACATGAGACACACACACACGACATGTTAATTTGAATTAGCTCTCGCCAACGTCACATGGAACACACCTCCACACGCACACACAGTGGTGCACAACACAAATAACATGGTCCTCATGCACAGCACAGAGCATCCATGTGCTACGAAGCGTCGCCTGTCATATGTTATCCTGTTTAAGACCACACTGTTATTGACGAATGTGTCGAGTTCATTGTTACGTGCACGCACACAAGATCTCTCTCAACATCATTCGATCCGGCGATCTCTGCGTCACTTGTTTGCCAATCATCAGGCTCGTGCGGTGCACATAACGACGCTGTGGTGCTTGAACAAAAACGACTGATGATCGTGGGATCGGTGAATACCGTGACGGATTTGCGAGGATTGCATTCGGGGAAAACTTGTCCGAGTCCCAGGGGCAAAACATAAAGCAATGCCACTTAGGGCGGACACATGTTATCAGTACTTACGTGTTCATGTGGCACAACAAGTCAATCATGTGATTCATTTTAAAAGGTCATGCAATGCTTTACGTACGTCCTTTGGTTATTTACAGACATGGTACTGAAAAGTGAAACTCTGGTATTGGCACATTGACTGCCTGATCTTAATACGTTTATACTATTCTTGCGTATGTTGGTAATACGTTCAGGAGCTAAATGCCAATGTCTGAAATCTGCTAGCCACGAAGAGGGCTTCAGGAGAGAGTCGGTGATGTGTTGCTGTTCCTCCTCCGTTGAAGGAGTGCCACATACTACATTGGTTTCATCATCATAATCGCGATCCATCGGTAGATAGCCCGTAGGTGTTCACTGCGCATTTCGTAATTTGTTTCCACTTTTCTCTGCCTTGTGCCAATATGCTCAAGTCGTGGCCACATCTTTCTGGCACCAATCTCTGATGTTGCCGTCAAGCCATTCTCTGTTCGGTCTTGCTCTCTTTCTGGTTCAGTGGTTCACCATGTGGCCAATGGTTTGGATTTCATGGCCACAATCACACTGTGGCTTGTCTTTGATTTTACATACATGAACGAGATGTGTGCATTGGGTGTTCTGATGGGATTGATGCTTACGGCCAGTGTCTTCACGGAGGAAGGTCAAAACCAGGAGGTGCGATTTTTGGGTCTCCAGTGAGGTGTTTTTTTTTCTGGACGGCCGCGTTGTTAAACTCTGTTCGTCAATGCTCTTCCGGATCTGGGTGAGACTCTAGGATGGTGACAGCACGATCCCAGAAGGGGGATCGGGACTTGAGTTGGCAGCGAGGGACATTGTCGAGGTCTTGGTTCATGGGGGAAGGTTGTCATTGGCAGTTTTCATGTCTCTGCGGACACTCTGTTTGGTGCCAGAATGTTTGCCAGAACAGGAAGCCAGGAGATTGGTTTCAGTGTTCCGGTTAGATTAACACCTTAATTATAGAGGCCTCACGAGGTCATGTTAGTCATGGGGGGTTCTTGACCATACTTCACCTCACTGGTCAGTGCGTGGTGAAGAAAGGGGTTGCCGAGGACCATTTCGGATATCGCTTCCACTAATTTTGACAGTTGCCCGGATTGTAGTAATAATGGGTTTTAATGACCCAGGGGAGACTCACCGAGTCTCAAGGCTCTTTTTTTGTTCCCGAAGGGTCCCATTAGATTGGGATGTTTGGCCGTGAATTAAATTCGTAATGAGGGTTTAGCTTTATGAGGGGGGTAACACTCAAAGCTCCACACGGATGTATTTAAGAATAAATTGCTGTACTGCCATTGACTGGCCAACTCGTAGTCCTTTACGGACCATACTGGGGCTCATTTGTGAAAGTAATATTCTAAGCTAGTAGAGCTGGTATACCTCTGCCATAATTTTTATGATGGCAGAGGTATACCAGCTCTACTAGCTCATGCCATCATGTCTGACTATCAGGCCAAATACCTTCTAGAAGGGATTTCTAGAGCTCCCTCTAGCGGAGGCACTTCCTTCAAGCAGTAGCAAGAGCAGGGCTGCGCTTTTATTTTTTTACATTTGCTGTTTGTGCCCTTCTTACTGCAGAAGGCTATAATTAGTTTTACGGCAGTGACAAACACACTGTGATTACAGTGCATTACGGGTGACAGGATCACAGCTGTAATTGGCTCCGGGCCTGACTCAGACCATGGTCAGGCTGTGTTTGGCTGGAGGTGAGCGATCGGTGTGAGACGAATCTTTGTGTTGGTCATCGCGAGGGTCCGGAGTCCGCGTGTGGGGCGTGCGTTTCGGTGTTTGTCGATCCGTGCCGTGCCGGGTCGTGACGGCTGATGACCTCCGCGCCTGCCCGCACATGGGCACGACGGTTTGGGTTGGTGAGGCTTGCAAACGAGACACATTGTTTTAACTAATGATTGATTATTCGGGTTTGGCCGCTTAAGGATCTGGCCAAATTTGTGTCGTAATTCTACTTGCCGCCCGACATGGCCAAATTGATTAAATTGTCACATGTACAAGTATTTAACGCACCAATTATTATTGTTTATGTAATATTGTCTGCGATAACCTGTGTGTCGTCTCCCTATTTTTATGTTTATTTGTGCGTTTCCCAATTGTCAGAGCACTGCTGCTAGAAGGGATTTAGGAAGATGTGGCCGTATGCACGATATTCCAATCGTCTATGTGGTCACCGGGTGGAGCCTGGCTAGTGACTGGATGGGTGACCACCATGCACGACAGGTTTTTATAGACTGCGGGGTTGTGCTATGTTGTGGGCAGCAGCGAACATTTTGAGTTCCCCATGGCTTCCTCATTTCGTGACTTGACACCGATCGCGCAAAGGGAGATAATATTGCAGAAAACGATTCAAGCGTTTATTTTCAATTGACGGAATTTCCACGATGACCGCTTGACCCCTTTGACTCGCAGGCGACGAGCGCGCGGCGTTAGCGCGGTGCGCGAGGATTCGGTAGGAGCTGCGCCGATCGCTGGGCCCGCACGCCGACGGGCGCCGTCAGGATGAACGCGGAGGAGATGGAGCTGCTCAACGACCCCAAGTACCGCAGCTACGCGGCCACACTCGACAAGGCGCTCAAGAGCTTCGAGTACAGCAGCGAGTGGGCCGACCTCATCTCCGCGCTGGGAAAGCTCAACAAGGTGGCGTGACGGAGGGGGGGTGGAGGGGGAATGGGGTGGGGGTGCAGAGTGGGAGGCACAGCCTGCGCCATTATCTCCCAGCAGGGGCGGCTGCTGGGTTGGCGTGTCAGCGCTGCCTGAAGCCCAATCTGTAATACGGTGAAGTTTCGATTTTCCTGGGTAATAGTGGGGGGGGGGGGAGTAGTGGCGACCCGGATAAAATGAAAACAGCATTTGTTTAACGTGGCCCGACTCTTAAATTTGAAACCGGTGTCGGTGGTGAATTGCTCTGTGCCTCCTGGTCAATGGGGCCTCGCCAGCTGAAATAATAAAGCCCAAGTCTGACCTAAGGGGGGTAATTTTGTTCACGGGAAGGAAGTCATATTACCATAATAGAATGTCCACCTCTGGCGGTATTGAAACAATACGTTGTTATTCTGACCCCCGGGGACAAAATTTATGGCATCGCCGAGAATGATCCCCGTGTGACCCCACGGCAGGTGCTGCAGGGCAGCAGCAAGTACCCGGTTCTGCCGCGGAAGCTGACCATCGGCAAGCGGCTGGCGCAGTGCCTGCACCCGGCGCTGCCCAGCGGTGTGCACCTCAAGGCGCTGGAGACGTACGAGATTATCTTCCGCATCATCGGCAGCAAGCGCCTGGCGCGCGACCTCTTCCTCTACAGGTGGCGCACCGCGTAACGCGCGCATGCACTGTGCCATGTTGTGTCAACCTAGGGGAGGCCCGGGCCGAATCACATTTTTGTCACGGATGTTCGCCGTGAGTGGGAATCGAACTCGTGTCAGTTGTGCCACCGCTTCCCGTAAATCGCACGCACTCTTTCTCTCTTCCCCTCCCCCCTCCTCCCAGTGCGGGCCTCTTTCCGCTGCTGGCAAATGCGGCAATGTCGGTGAAGCCGGCACTGCTGCAGCTCTACGAGACTTACTACGTGCCCCTCGGCAAGACGCTGAAGCCTGGCCTGCAGGGCCTCGTCACCGCCATCCTGCCCGGGCTGGAGGAGGGCTCCGAGTACTATGACCGGTGCGATGCAGTTGTTGTGGTTGTTGTGGTTATTTCGTTGTGGTTCTGTCCTTTAATTTGCCAGGAAATGAAGTAAACCCATCGAGATGCAATGAACCAACATGTCATCTTTGGCAAGGGTGACCTAGATGGTTTAAGGCTGTGGTACCAAAGCTGTAACACAACCGTACCACAGCTGCACCACAACTGCACTACAGCCATACCACAGCCACACCACCATTCCACCACAGTCGTACCACAACCATACCACAGCCGAACTGCAACTGTATCACAACCGTACCACAAAGATGCCACAATCGCACAGCAGCCACATCACAACCATACCACAATGATAGCACAAACACACCACGTGGGTTTATACAGCACCTCGGTGTGACTGCAGCTGCAGAGGCGAAGAGGAAAGTCTTGCGTCTGGACTTGAACCTGGGCTGGGAGCTGCCAACACAGGAGGTTGGAAGGATAGGAGTTCCAGACTTTGGGGGCAGCACAGCAGATTGAGTAACCTCCCACTGAGTGAAAGTCGATTGAGCGATTCATCAGAACGCCTTGGTTGCCGAAGCAGAAAGTGCGTTGAGTGGAGTAGACTGACATGAGAGGGGAGATGTAGGAAGGGTTGAGTCCATGCAAGATCCTGAAGACTGTGTGAGTCTGACCCTGAAGTTGATGAGGGATCGGATTGGGAGGCGGTGGAGAGGTCCGGGTAATGGGTGATGTGGTCTCGTTTACTGGCGGGGAGTCTGGCAACCGCGTTGCAGATTGCGTGGAGGTTGGAGGTGAGGGATTGGCGGAGGCCGTAGAGGAGAGGGAGCTGCAACAGTCGAGTCGGGATGCGATGACAGTAAACCAGGAGGGTGGCTGCCACGGGCGTGCATCCCCGCATTCCCGGAAAGGCTCCCAGCTTCACCGGCGATGCCTCGGGCCTGCGCCGGGCGGGCCTTAACCGAGCCTTTTGGCACCGGCGTGCAGGAGTAACTGCTTGCTGGAGAAGACATCGCTGGCGGTGGAGCCGTGTGTGTTCTTCAGCGCGCTCTGGGGCAGCGTGCTCACCAGCCCCGCGGTGCGGCTGCCCGCCGTCACCTACACGCTCACCCACCTCAACCGCAAGCTCTCCATGGAGGACCAGCTCCATGTCATTGGCACCGACGTCGATCTCATGGTGAGTGGGGGTGGGGGGCGGGGGAGGGGGGCGGTACGTCGGTTGTGGGAGGGCGGTGTGTTCGGGAGGTGGGGGCCACGGTGGATTTGGGGGTGGTATTGTTCGTTACAGGCCTAGAATGCCGCATGTGGCAAGCTCAATGACAGAGATCTGGGGAGAACACAGTGTGTGCGTGTGTCCGTGTGTGTGTGGGGATCAGTGGTGTAGTGGTTAGCATACTGCTCTGAGCCTGGCGACTCGAGTTCGATTCCTGCTCAAGACCAACACCAGTGACGATTATCTTAAGTGGTCCCGGGCCTCCCCTGGGTCGACTCAGCCTTAAATGAGCAGTCGGTGTGATGTGTATAAAACATCAGCACTGGGGAGACAATTGTGGCCAGGCGTGGTGCTGGCTACCGACCCCGTCGTGTGCCGTGCCGGCCTTCGTAGGTGATCGCTCACAGCACTTGCCCCAGTGGTCTGTTAAAGGCTCTCCGGGAGATCTCTGTACGTGCTTGTGTGCGCGTGCGTGCGCGCAGGTGGAGGCGGTGTGCGCGTGCGTGCAGGACTCTAGCGTGCTGGTGCAGAGGAGCACCCTGGACCTCCTGCTCTTCTGCTTCCCCTTCCACCACAGCCAGGTTCGTATCCTCTCATCCCACCTGCACGCGGTGTCCCTTCAAGCAAAATCCCACACGTCGTCGCGGCGACCCTCATCGCGAGGGCGACGACGTCACGCGACGCTAGCTGCGGACCTGAGCACTCGTGCCCACGTTCTCCTCCACGGGGTCGATGCCCAGTACCACCGTGGCTCCGATCCTGGCCCAGGGGCCTATGCACAGCGCGACGGGCCGTCGATGGAATCGGACCGCTCCACAACGTTACCGCGAACGCGCCACCGGTGTCGCCTCGTCACGAGACGGAGAGCAGTGCACGACCCTTGGTGTTATGGATCCCTTCTTTATGTGAACGCTGGTTTGCTCGGCGTAGAGGGCCGCACTTTTGCCACGCGCCCGTCACTGAGAGAAACGTTCGTGGCTTGGCAGTCTTAATTGGTGTGTTTAATTCTCAGAGCTGGGATTTAGGCAGTTTTAAGTGCGGAACCAAACTTAATGTGACGGGGTTTTTTCTGTGCATTCATCGGTGACCGGGCAGAGACCATCAGTCATTGCCGTGGTTGCCATACCGTGTGTTGTGGTGCGATGTGGTGCGGTGTGGTGCATTGATGTGGTGCGGTGTGTGGTGTGGCGCGCGTGGTGTGGCACGGTGCCGCGCGGCGCGTGCGACGCAGGTCACCAAGCTGGACACTGTGCGCCTGCTGTCGGCCGTGCTGCACGTTGTGCTGCGGCGTGACATGTCCCTCAACCGCCGCCTCTACGCCTGGCTCCTGGGTCCGCTCACACACACTCACACACAGACAAAGATCCCCCGTGTAGACTTAACAGACTTTTGGGGCCATTGCTGTGAGCGAGCACCTATGAAGGCCGGCACGGCACACACACGCACATTGGCACATGGTGTGACAGCACTTACCGTCCGTGACTGTTACGCATCAGTGAGAAGACAGCTGCCGGTCACATCCACTGGTTAGGTTCACTCACCACAGTGACTCATTGAGCCACACACCCAGACAGGAGCAGTATTAATTTCCAATAACAGAAATAACAATCATGCATACGCATGTGCCTTCCCCCCCCTCCCCGATTAGACGTACATACTGAGCTCACGCATTTTTGCACTCAACATTTGCGGGAAATCGTTCACAATGATCGGAGATAATTTCAATTAAAACTGAATGGCGTATTTGTATGCTTCGTGGCCGCGTGTGTGTGCACATGACCGTGTGTGTGCGCGTGACTGTTTTTGTGTGCATGACCGCGTGTGTGTGTGTGTGTGCGCGTGACTGTGACTGCAGGGTTCGACAATAATGGCACTGCGTTGGGGCCCCGTATGGCGCGCGACGAGTCGCGTGAGGAGCACGGGGCGCGCTACTTCAGCACCTACTCCCGCGAGCTGCTTGTGCAGGTACATGCGTGCACGTGCTTGCGCGTGCGTGTGTGTGTGCGCGCTTACACCAGGTTTATCAGTAGTTAATCTCACTATTTTGCACCCTTTGCTGATGGCGTCTGCGGCGAATAGTAGAATCAGTGTGCGCACGTTTCACCGGCGGCACGAATGAGCGCGGTTAACCCGTAAAGTGGGCGATCCATGCTGTTGTGTACGGTTGTGTTGATGTGTGTGCGTCTGTACGTACCTCCATGCGTGTGTGCGCGTGTGTGCGCGTGTGTGTGCGTGCACTCGCAGGCCATGGTCGGGATCCTGAAGGGCCGCGGCGGGGGCGGCTGCGGGGAGGAGGGCGGCTCCGTCTCCCCGGACCTGAGGCCGTTCCGCATCCTCCTGAGTCTCCTGGACAAACCTGAGATCGGTGAGGCCGGGCGCGTTCCCGTGGCTCGGGTGTTCGCGCGTGCACGCGGTGCGGTTCTCCGACGCCATTCAGGGTCGTACCCACGCGTTGTTCAGCAAGATTTGTCCCACTCTCCTCCCCGCGTGCTGCGAGCTTCTCCGGGAACGGTGGCGATTGTGGTGGCGGTCGTGGTGGAAGGCGATTGTTGTCACTGTTTGTGTTGTTGGTGGTGGTGGTGATTACGGCAAGTGGTGGTGACAATGGTGGTGGCGATGGTGGTTGTGATGGTGGTGGTGATGGTGGCTATGACGGTGGAGGCGGTGGTGATGGTGGTGGCGGTGCGGTGGTGCTGCGTGGACAGGCCCGGCGATCCTGGAGGAGGTGCTGGTGGAGGTGTTCCGTGCGCTGCACGGGCAGTGCGAGATGGAGCTGGGCACCGGGATCCAGCCGCTCTTCAGCAAGGACCGTAGCCAGCTCAGCAGGTGCTGGCCCGCGTGACGGCCTCACAAGGACCCACAATGTACCGCAAATTAGCGACGGTAGCTCAACAACAATTTAGCGTCTCAAAGCAGCTGCGTGTCACTCACCAGCGATTCATCAACAATTCTTAAACCGAGCAACAGTGTACTCGTAATACGCGCTTACCAGCAACTCGCGCAGTCACCAACATTCCCCTCTTACATTATGAACCCATGGAGATTCACGGGCACTCACTGACAACACTCATCGAAGACACTCACTGAGGACACTCGCCAATAACACCCACCGACGGCACTCGCCGACATGCGGCGACAGATTTACCATCACACGCCGGCGATGCGCGGAGCTGCGCTCGTCGACGCGCGACTACGCTCGGATGCGTGCCGCCGTCCGTGTCGTTCCATGCGCGCGAGGTCACGCGCGTGCACCGACCCGCAGAGGGGACGGGCAGTGAAAGCGACAGCGCGGACTCTGTGCGGCGCGGGGCGGCGCGGGTCGGCACGGGCGACGACCGGGCGCGTTTACCTAGGGGATTAGTGCACCGCGAGCGCCGGGCGGCACCCGCGGTCTCGGGGGCAGGGCGCGCTTGACAGCGTCCGCGAGTGGCAGCAACGCCTCCAGGAGCTTAACGGTGGCGGTTGTAACGGGTGCGTGCCGCTGACGCATAGAGGAGGAGGGGGGAGCTGGAGGCTCGGTCACCGGGCTGCCGTGGCCAGCGTGTGCGTTACCTGCGCGCGTCGGCTCTTTGCACGCAGCAAGATGAGGGAGAACAAGCAGACGGCCGAGGTGGTGAAGACGGCCAACCTCCTCTTCAACTCGTTCGAGCCCTACTACCTGTGGGACTACCTGGCGCGCCTCTTCCAGAGCTGCTGCAGGTGCCGGCCAGAGCGCGGGCTAGACTGTGAGGTTGCGAGCGAGCGAGACTGAGCGAGGGCGTGAGAGCGGTGGTGGTGAGCGTGTGTGTGTGTGTGAGTGTAGGTGAGTGAGATTGTGAGCGTGTGAAGGGTTGACGGTCGCCATCCCCAGTTCTTCACGAGAGCACGTGTGTAAACATGTATGCGTATACATACGAACGCGTGCGATCGCACCGCTCTTCTCCGTCGCGCTCGTGCTGCGGGTTTTTTGCGCAGCCGCCACTTTGTCGCTGATCATCGTCGTCATCGTCACTGCCACTCCCCCACCCCCCCCCACCACCGTGCGCCCCTGTGCCCGCTTGTTGCCGCGGCGATGGCAGGCGGTCCCGGCGCGGGGTGAGGAGGGCGCGGAGGCCGAGCGGCATGAGCGAGCAGGAGTTGACCGTGTGCGAGCTGTGCGTCCTGGCCGACTTCCTGCTCGACGTCGTCTCTCTGGTGGGGTCGCCGCTCCTTGCACGCACACGCGCGTGCTCGCGCACGCACGCGCGCACGACCCCGGACGGCTACACGCGGTCACTCGCCAACGACACTCGCAAGTCTACGTGTTAAACTAACACTCGCCAGTACTCGCCAACACTCGTGGTCACTCGCAGTCACGGTTACTCACAAGTGCTCGCCACCCCTTACAGCCAGATGAACACAGACGCACGCGCACACATGCATGCATGCACACACGCACAAAACAAAAGACAGGCGCACGCGCGTACGTACACACACGCACAAAGCCACGGGCAGGTGATGTGGGCGTGTGTAGCGCGGCGCTTGAGTCCTGGCAGAGCAGTAGCGGCAGCAGCAGCTCATGGCCGTGACCACCTCGGTGGGTGGCAGGGGCGAGAAGGTGCGAGCGTGTGTGTGTGTGTGTTGTCGTGCCCGTGTGCGTTTCTGCGCATGCGAGCGTGCGTGAGCACGCTTGTCCACGTGTGTGTGCGCAGATGCACGCGTGTGAGTGTGTGTACCTGCTTGTGTGCACGCCTGTACATTTGTGTGCATGTGCTTTTGGGTGTGAAGGGTGCAGTAGGCGTAGCGGGTTAGCGCGCTGCGCTACGAACTCGGTAACACGAGTTCAATTCCCGCTCGTGGCCACCAACACCAGTGGCAATTATCTGAACTGGTCCTGGGCCTCCCCTGTCTTTGTGTGATTGTGTATGGATGTGTGCGAGTGTGTGAGAGTGTGCTTGCGTGCGTGTGTCTGCGCACCTACTAGCGTGCGTTCATGCTTGAGTGCGTGCGTCCACCTATGCAATGCCAGCCTATGCACGTGCGCCTTTGCCGGGGTGTCTACACGCGCACGTCTGTGTGTGCGCAAGTGCGGGTGCGTGTGTTACCATGTACGCGTGAGTGTGTGTACCCGTGTGCGCGCGTGCAAGCGTGCACGCGCTCACGCGCGTGTGTGCTGATATATATGTGCACGTGTTCACGCATGTGCGAGTGTGTTCATGCGTAACCCGCGTGCGCACGTTTTGGCACACGAGCGTGCGCGAGTTCTCCGTGCGAGAGCCCGTGCTTGTGCGCGCGTCCGTTCACGCGCGAGCGTTTGCGCGTGTGCAGGTGCGCTTGTGTTCCTGCGTGCGTGTGTGTGCACGCGCTTACGCGTGGGTGCGTGTCACGGTGGCTGCCACGGTGTTGTGGCCTGGCCCGGCGCAGCGGTAGTGACCCATGCTTTGCGCACGTGTGTTTGGCCGTGTTCCAGCCGACACCGAGTCTGATGGCCGCGCTGTGTCAGGTAGGCCGTGCGTGCGTGTGTGCGCGCGCGTGCGCGCTTGCGGGCGCGTGTGCTCGCTCGCCATCTCTGCATGCAGCTTTCCACTGGGACGCCTCCAATCCACAATCAGCTGGTGATTGCCAACACAGAAATTGTTTCTCCGTGATCCTCTCTCTGCAATCCTCGCGCGTGGTCTCTAAAATATTCTCGTTGCCCGTTACTAATCGCTGACCGATCCTTCCGTGTCTTTGATTTGTGTCCAATGAGGGGCGCCGCGGCGGTCGCGTGTGGGACGGGCGTCGTTAACTTGGGGGCAGACGCTCGCACAACACCAACACGGCACTCATCCAGCAGTGGATCGGCACGAGGGACGATCATCCTCATCGTCATTCTGCGGTTAGGATAGGCTTCGAGCGATGGGTATCGGACGAACTCTGAGGCGAGGGGGGCGATGGTGTGAACATCAGGAACGTATCGCGGTCACAGGCTGAACAGGTGACGCGTCGTTACGACGGAAAGGAAGGGGCGGGTGGATCCAGCAGTGGGCCAACAACGTTGCTGCCAAACGAACTAAATTGAGCGCCAAGCTGAGCGAGCGACTCGCGGGACGATCGTGTCGGTGTTGGGGGAGCGTCTGCCGTGTCTCCACGTCTCTCTTTGGCGGCTGGGGAGCGTGGAGCCGTTTCCGTTACTCGGGGGTCATTGCGGTTACTCGGGGGTCACCGTGGTTACTAACCCTGGGGTCGCGGCTGTCGGGACGATGACGGCGCCGCCCGCGTGGACGCTGGGCTCCGAGGTGCGAGGAGGAAGATAAACGCCGGCTCGTCTTCATCACCGGCGGCGTTATGGTTGTCACCATCGTCATCACCATCATCGTTTTCGTCATCGTCATCACCGTTATAGTCATCGTTCACTGTCAAAATACTTATAATCCGTTTTGTTATCGCCAACATCAGCTGTACGGCCAAAATGATCATCTTCATTATCAGCAGCAGCATCAGCAGCACCTGCGATTAGCATGGCCGGCTACGTACGGTACGGAAGAAGTTCAACACACACATACATCGATCCATATTTGAGAACGGGTCGAGCAAGCGGACAGAAGGCCGCCGCCGCCTCGTGCTCCAGCTGAACGTTGTCGCTTCACCTTCACTCGAATCTCAGCTGGGCCACGGAGAGCCTGGCCCTCCCCCCTCCGTAGGGTCTTGTAGAGGAGAGGGGACCACCCGCCGGAACGCACGTTGGTTCACGTCGCACGCGTGTCGTTTAGTTGGCAAAATTGGGCGGCAAGGGTAACCGTAGAACTCACTTCCTCCATCCTGCTGGCAGGGTTCAGCATTTGAAAGTCCTGGTAATGGCACTTGACCCCATGAATGCATCATTAAGTGCATGACGCCGATTATAATTCTTTTGAAATGAGAATTGAACCCCAATAAATAATCGCTTAAATGCAATCTGCTGATTGCAATCCTATTGAAATGAGAATCGAGACTGCATCACGAAGTTAATTTTTCTGGTTCCAATCCTATTGAAATGAGAGTTAAACTCAATCAATAATCACTTGTGTGCATTACACTGATTCCAATCCTATTGCAATGAGACTTGAGCACACGAATGCACCACTAAGTGCATTGCGATGATTCTAATCCTATCGAAATGAAAATAGAGACCAGGCGATCATCACCGTCACCACCGTCGCCATCATCATTCCGGCGCTGTTCCTCGCGAGCAGCGGAGAACGACGGCGCCCACTGCTCGTAACGGCGACGGCGGCAACGCCGGCGGCTCTGACGCAGCGAGGCTAACGAGCGCCGCGCGCTTGCGCGTCTGCGGTCCCCCTTCCCAGGAGTCGTACATCGAGATCCAGACGGAGCACCTCCCGCGCCTGCTGCGCCGCCTCATCGGCTGCCTGACGCGCCACCTGGCGTCGCTCTCTCTCACCGAGCTCACCGACTCGCTGCGCCTCTGCTCCAAGATCCTGAGCCGCGTGCAGCCGCCGCTGGTCCCCGTGGCGACCGCCGCGATGCCGGTCGGCCCCGGCGACGATCTCCGTGCGACGGTTGGCGCGGCGACGGCCGAGCGGGTGGAGCCGTCGGAGGAGGAGGAGGTGTCCAGGGGAGTGGGCGGCGACTCGGGCCCAGCGGTACGAGGCAGGGTGGCGTCGCCGAGTCTGGCGAGTTGATGGTCACAGCCTGGTCACTGACGGCTCGCATAGAGACCCATGGACTCGCTGTGCAATGCCGAGTGCAGCGCGTGTGCGAATGTGCTGCCCTCTGCTGTGTGGACCAGAGGTCACTTTTAAGGCATCTGAGAAATGGCTCTATTGCTAACTTCTTCCACAAAGACCCCCCCTGTATGACCTTTTGGGGTTAGTGCTTTTAGCAAGCGCCGATACGAAGGTCGGCACGGCACCATGCCCGGCCGCATTTGTCTCCCCAGTGGCGATGATTACATACCGCACCAGGTAATCATTTGAGGCCAAGTCTCCCTAGGGGAGGCCCAGGACCGGTTAAAATATTCACCACTCTTATTGGTCGTGAGCGGGAATCGAACTCGGGACGCCGGGCTCGTAGCGCACCGCGCTGACCATTGCACCACCGCTCCCCACAAGCGCACGCACAGTCACACGCGTCCCTGTCGGCCCCTCCCCCCGCCCCGCATAGCCCGCCGCAGGGCCCGCCCCGGCGAGAGGGCCCGGCGAGAGCAGCTTCACAGAGTTCGTGCAGTACAGCGGCGGCAGGGGCGAGCATCCCGGCGCCGGCACGGGCTCGCGGGAACAGCAGGAGGGCGGCGCCCGGGAATCGCCGAAGGAATTGCGCGGCTGCTCCGACGGCGCCGGCTCCGGTTCGGAGCGCTCGCGATCGTCCTCCGAGTCTCCGCCGCCGCCGGCACGCCGGCGCCCCGGAGACCCGGCCCGCCACGACGGCGCCCTGGCCGGGACGGGGGATGCCGACCCGGACGAAGACGAGGAGGAGGAGGAGGAGGAAGAGGAGGAGGTGGACGACGGGGGCGAGGAGGTGTACAAGGACAGCGATGACGACGAGGGCGACGAGGGCGAGCGGCGCCAGCAGCAGCGCAAGACGACGATGCAGCGATGCTGCGAGCGCTTCCAGCAGTTCCTGACGCTCTTCTCGCGTCGCTACGTCCTGCGCAGCGACGGCGCCCCCGCGCAGTTCGTGCGCGACATCTCGCTGGGGGGGGCGCTGAGCGGCGCCGGCGCCCTGGCGGTGCGGGGCAAGCGCCGCGGACGGACGGCGGACGGGGAGGCGGAAGGCGGGGGGGAGGACGACGGGGCGGGCGACGGCACCGCCGCCGCGGACGGCTTCTCGGAGGGCCACCTGGCGGCGCTGGCGGCGGCGTGCCAGCTGCTGCTCGAGTGCTCCAGCTTCCCCGTGTACGTGGCCGAGGGCAGCCCGGCCTCTCCGCACCGAGCGCTGCCCGCCGGCACAGGTTTGTCCGTCCTTCGTGGCATTCGTCGGTGTGGTGGCGTTGGCGCGGTGGTGGTGACGTCGTTAACGATGCGGGCGACGCAGATTCATGATTGATTTTGGGATTAGGCCACTTCCTGATCTGGCCAAGGTTTTATTCCCAAATCCATCTGGTGGAGGGTTTTACAACACAAATCTGGCCGGATCGTTACGTGGCCTAACCCCAAAGTATTTTACGAGTACTGACATCGGCTGGGAAAACCTATGCCTTGAGATGATGCGGAGCGTTCGTTGGCGTTCGCCACTGCATCGAGATGTCACCGATGCCATCGTCGTTGTCGTCGTTGCGTGCAGACGACACCGCGGGCGTCCTCCCCGAGTGGCTGCAGACCCTCCTGGCCTGCTGCTGCTACGGCTGCGGCTTTGACGCAGGCCTGAGCGGCAGCGAGGCGTTCCCCGTGCGCGGCACGGCCATCGCCTGCTTCCTGGACCTGCTGCACCTGGCGCGCTCCGTCTCCGCGGTGGCGGTCTCCTCCTCGCCGCAGCAGCAGCTGCAGCAGCAGGCGACGATGGCGTACCCGAGCCCGGCGAGCCCCGGACGCGTCGCCGTGGTGATCGTGCCGCCGCTCACCGACGCTCACCTACGCTACCTGGCGGAGAAGACTCGCTTCTTTCAGGTGCGTGTCCGCGCGGTGACGGCGCGGCGCGGCGCGGCGCGGCGCGGCCGCGGTACAGAACAGCTGGAGTCTGAGGCGGTGTAATTCAATACAGCTTTGAGATGTATACAGGTATAATACATTTTTTTAAATTTTATTTAAAGCTTTCGTGACTGCAGGGATTCATATTCTTGGTTCTTTCGGTAAAAAATATAAAGCAATAAAAATTCTCACGACGTTTCGACTGCAACACAAGCAATCATCATCATCAGGTGTGAAAACCACAGCAAGAAAATTTGAAAAAAAAAAGTTTTTTGTGTTGCAGTCGAAACGTTGTGAGAATTTTTATTGTTTTATATTTTTTTTATTATTTTAGCTATAATACAGTGCAGCCGAATCTAATGTGGGTGCAACACAAAGTCGGCCGGACTTGAGTTAGCCAGAATTTTTGGTCAGCTGGAAGGCTTCCCAATTATACATCTAGAAAGCCAAAGAAAACGCCAATCAGAACGCTGGGAATGGGCGACGCAAGCTGCACGCGGTAAGAGGTGAGGGGCGGGGCGTGGGGTGAGGGGCGGGGCGTGGGGTGAGGGGCGGGGCGTGGGGTGAGGGGCGGGGCGTGGGGTGAGGAGGCTCGTGAAGGACGCTGCTGCTGGGCAGTTGGAGGCAGTCGCCCCCCAGCAACAACTGAGGGTGGAGGAGCGACGCTCACAACAACGAGCGGAGCGTCGGGCATCTAAAACACAGAAAGTTGGCACAGTAGAGGGCACAGGTGGTGCATCGGCCAGTCATCTCAGTCAGTCGACCCATGGCACCTGGGTCTGCCCCGTGACCTCCTGTCAGCGAGCCTTTGACACTTTCACGTGGCGTCAAAGTGCACCTGGCCTGGCACAGGTGTCGTGGTGACGTCACCGTCTTAGTGGCAAATGCCGGGTATTGATAATGGTGGGGTGAGTGGTGGGGCGTGCGGTGAGGGGCGGGGTGTGTGCCACGCAACTTTATGCTGCATTACTTATCATGTTGGATCATCGTGGCGGACAGAGCTAATGCATGAATACGTTCATCCTCGCGTGGAAGCCGTTAACAATGTGGACCCTCGCGTCGGCGGATATTAAAGACGACGGCGCGGCAGGGAGCGCCGCCGCAGTCCCGGCTCAACTCCCGTCCGCTCGTGTCGCGCGTCGCGGGCAGATGGTGGCGGCGATCCTGTGGGCCCAGCTGGGCGAGGGCGGAGGGGGGCGGCACCACCGGCGCTGCGTGGAGCTGCTGCAGCAGCTGCACGGGCTGGCGCCCGGCCCCTCGGTGTGCGAAGACGTGGTGTCCCGCGACCTCGCGTCCCGCGTGCCGGTGAGACCCCCGTCTCCTGCAGGCCCCTTGGGCCCCCCCCCCCCCCCGCGTGACCCTTCTGTTGATCCGCTCTGCCGGATGTTATCCGCGCCTCTCAGTTCCTTCCGTAAGCTCCGTTGCTGCTCCCCGACTAGCCGTGCCCTCTTCTCCGGAGTCCGTCGGCTCTCCCCTGTTGGCACCGTTGCTTGAGGTAGGCTGGGCTCATCGGCTGGTCTAATCTGTTTTCCCAAAGTGTCTGTGCTTGTATGTATGGTACTATGTTGAACGTCTTTCGCGCCGTATGTAGCCAACCGTGCTAATTGTAGGTCTATCTGTGCATGTGCGTGCACTTCCTGTGTGTGCATGTGTTTAAGCGTGTGCGTGTTTGTACGCACACGTGCCTGCTTGTGTTTGTGCGCGCGTGCCCTCGTGTGTGCGTGTCTGCTTACCTGTGCGCGCACGTGCGTGGTGTGCATAGGCGACGCGCGTGGAGGCGTACAGGAAGTTCGCTCTGCTCTGGCACCTGACGCGCGACCTCCAGCAGAGCAAGAACTGGGCCTTCACGCGCACCTTCGACAGGTACGCACGTCATCGATCCGCTGCCGGATGAAGGTCTCCCCGAGAGCGTTGGCAGCTCTCGCGGGTCTGGCGATGCAACGGTCGCATCCTCGCCGCTCCGTTTCCGCGACGGACGCCCCCTCGGGCGCGTTCGCTCTGTCTGTAAGTCTCCACCGCCCACCGTCTTTCCCTCTCGGAATGCGTCCTGCCCGAGCCCGCTCGCTTGTCTGAGCGGTCCGTGTGACGTCCTCGAATCGGCATGCCTTCTCTAACCCACGTGGTCCTCTTCCCGTCTCTCGGTGCAATTGCACGCGTGCACCTGCCCGTGCGTCTCTGCGCACTTGTCAGCTTTCGTTTCTGTTCCGCGCGTCGCTCCGATCGGTGCGCCCTTGGGTTTAACTCATCCCCTGCTTAAATACAGGAGACACCTACTACTCTCCTCCCTCCACCTTTCTCCTCGACCCTCTCTGCCAACTCTTCCATCTCCCCTCTCTCTATTTTCTCCCCATTTCTTGGCTCTCGCCTCTGCCCTCCCCTCACTCCCATGTGACTGACCGGCTGAGTGACTGAACGAGGGACTGACCGGCTAAGCGGGTGAACGCCTGGCTAAGCGAGTGACCGACCGAACGACCCGGCATGTCGGCAGGTCGCTGCTGCTCATGCTGGACTCGCTGCGCTGCGTGGAGTCGGATGGGCAGTGCGCCGCCGTGTGCCACGAGTGGCTGACGCACGCCGTGCAGCGCCACGACGTGCCGCGCCTGCTCGAGCCGCCGCTGCTGCTGCTGCTGCACCCCAAGACGCAGCGCGTGTCGCTGGCGGCCGTCGCCTTACGGCAGTCCGGCGCCGGGACCGGCTCCCGCGCCCTCTCGCTGCGCCAGCTCGGCGCCGAGCCGCGCGCCGGCGAGCTGCTGGAAACCGGCGCCGACGGAGCTGGGGAGATGGCGCTGCGAGACCCGGGGATGCGGGGAAATGGCGGGAGCTGCGTGGTGGAAGGGGCCTTCCTGGCCGGTGAGGCCGGCGCCCGGGAGGTGACTGGAGTGAGCGGTGAGTTTGGGGATGCTGCGGGTTGCCCCGCTGTGGGTGATTGTAGGAGGAGCTTGGCAGCGGATCGCGCACTGTGCCACGAATCCCGGGTGCGTGGGTTTGATTCTTGGCCACGGCCAACATACGTGGCGAGTCATGCGGTGAATAGCTGAATCGTTCCTGGGCTTCTCCTGAAAACCTCGTGCGGTGTATAAGCATTAGCATTGGGGAAACAAAGGCGGCCAGACATGGTGCTAGCCAGGTATGGTGCTCACCACCATGTGCCTGCTTTAGTAGGTGCTCGATAATAGCACTTTCCGTGATAGCCTGCGTGTGCTTTGTTTGCTGTGTAGGCAGTGGGATTGTGGCGCTCGCTTACAGCACTTGCTTCATGGACGATGATGATTACGACGATGATAACGACGACGTGTGTGTGTGTGTGTGTGCGCCCAGTATGCGTGCGCGCGTCCGGCGAGCACGCCGGCTACTACGTGACGGAGCGGGTGGCGCGGGGGGGGTCCAGCGTGGCCCACGGCGGGCCCCGCGTCCCCGTGGGCCTCACCGTGAACCCGCTGGGCGCCGACTCGGAGAGCCCCCTCTCCTCCTCCCCGCCCAGCACCAGCCGCGCCAAGGAGGGGCCCGGCACGGCGGGCGACGAGGACGACGACGGCGGTGACGACGACGACACGGGCTCGACGCACGGCGTCTCAACGAGGTCGCGCTCCGACAGCGGGGTCAGCGACCGCACGGGCGACTCGAGCCTTGCCGACGAGGAGGTGGACGAGGCGGACGAGGCGGATGAAGATGAGGAGGAGGAGGAGGGTAGGGTGGCCTGCCGGGACATCGATCCGGAGGTGTGCCGGCTACTGGAGGATGTGGTGGAGGCCATCGCGAGACTGGAGGGTGGAGGGGAAGCGGAGGACCGGCGAGCGGAGACGGGAGACGCGGTCGATGGTGAGAGCCGTGGCAAGTCCGGCGGCACCGCCGCCACCACGCGGAGCGTTATGGTGGATCCCACTCGAGATTGGGTTCAAGGGTCATTATTTTGCAGCGTCCATCTCGTTTTAATTTCCTGATCTCTGGTCTTGTTTATACCGTGCGTCTCGTTTGTACCGGTTTCATTTTGCCGACTCCATTCTCAGCCTCGTTTCTGCCATCTCTCGTTCGATGCTCGCTCGCCCGCTCCTCTCGCTCGCCCGCTCCTCTCGCTCGCCCGGTCCTCTCGCTCGCCCGCTCCTCTCGCTCGCCCGCTCCTCTCGCTCGCCCGCTCCTCATGCTCACGGTTCGACGCGCGCACCCCACTACGCGAGAGCCAAGTATTTACCCACGACTCCTTTCGCCACCGGCAGGCGGTGTGGTGACGGCGCCGTGCGGCACCGTGCTACCGCGGCCCAGCTCCTTCCCGCTGCTGGCGCCGGGCGTCGAGTCCGGCGCCCCGCGCAGCCGCAGCAGCAGCACACTGGACCAAGGTGGCGGTGGGGCGCGACCCAAAGTCCGGCACGGAGCGGCGCGGGGGGTCTCGGCCGCGGCGGTACCGGTGGCGCCGGCCGTCCGGGACCTGCCGATGCGGCTGCCGCCGGCGTACCTGGGCGAGGCCGGTGGGCTGGAGGCGTGGTACGGCGCCAGGGAGGGGGACGGCACCAACAGGGACTCGTCGTCCGAGGAGGAGGAGGGGGACAGCGACTCGTGCTCGCCGCGCAGGTTGGGCTCCGGTGCCGCGCGGTTGAGTTGGATGCGTGGGGGAGGTCGCCGCGTGCGTCGGAGGTCACTGCTGCTGAGCCAGCACCGCAGAGCACCTGAGACGGTCATTTTTCCTTGAGCAAATAATTAGCACGCAAACGGCAAAGGTGCAGCCCTGCAATTGCTTGCTCACATCACTGCTGACGGAGAGGCCTCTGCGATCGTACCGCTCCAGAGGGGTATTTGGGCCGCTCTTCCACGCTGGCGAGGTGCGTTGTATCGAGGTTGGAGTGCCCACCGCCACACGCGACCTGCCGATTTACAGACCACCTGTGGTGGAACTTTCACATTCACACAGCTCGGTGGACAGAGGCGGTTGGGGGCGGGGCAGGGAGCTTCATGAACTCGTCCCCCCATTGTTTCAACTGCCGCGCCGGGAGATAGAATTGGACCGGCGTGACCTCAGGATTGTGAGTCCAGTGCGCTGCTGACCGTGACTCCGCTGTGGCAGCGTTCCCAATTTGCGTATGATGTGTAATATTGTGAATTGCCATTCCACTAAAGCAGTTGTTCTTCCTCTTAACCGAGGGCATCACGCACCACCTGTGGGTGCAAGACATGGGCAGATTTTTTTAGAAGATAAATAATCGAAGCACAAATTAATCACGGGCACGTAAGTACAACTACTTTGTTTCATTAAACCTACGTATTTATGAACATTGCATATATTTTTTTTTTACTATTGAGAACCAAAGGGGGTGCAAGGCCGCGGTAAAGGTTAAGAACCACTGCACTAAATATTTGGTGCAAGTGGGACCCCCGGTCGTGATGATGCCCGGAGTCGCTGTGGGCTGGCGTGTGGACCGTTGCATCGTGAGAGCCGATGACGAAGTCGCCCAGAAAGCACCCGAAGCAGGCTAAGCAGGGTCGAGCCTGGATAGCGCTTGTACGGGGCGCCCACCACAACGGGTGGCTATAGGCGGCTGCGGGGCTACGTTGTTAGCAGAGTGCGGTGCAGAATAATATATTGTTGTGCTGCACCTGTGTGCTCCTATTGCTGCTCCTCCCCTACCTTGGCCAATCTGCTGTGACCAGCATGGTAAAGTATTAATAATGTCCGCAACTGACGCAGCCAGCAAGGGGAGGCCCTCATCCAGCAGTGGAAACAAGGACAGGGGCCACGCGCATACCACGTGGTGAGTTGCGGTGGTGCTGTGTCTCCCAGGAATACCCGGAGGATGGGAGGAGGTAACCATGGCAATGCGGCTGCCCCTTCCTCGTCTTTGGGGGTGACGGAGAGAAGCGTGGCCACCGTGCACCCCCTCTACCAGCACGTGCTGCTCTATCTGCAGGTGAGCACGGACCATTTGTTTTCAGTCTGAGCTGATCTAGGTGAAGCCCACTCCAGGTTCTCATTTCAGTCGAAGCTGACGTAGAGGCGGGGGAGCTTTCCTCCGGCACGGCGCTTCCCCAACCTCACGCTTGTCGTGGGCCCCCCCGATCAGCGCTGTCAGCTGGCCCACGCCCCCCACCCACCGTAGGCCGAATATTTAATGAGATAATTAATAATTAACGACGAGTTAATTACATTTGCATGTAATTAACACCTACGACGTTTACAACCGGTGAGTGTATAGCTTCAGAATTGCCGGTGCACCTTCACGCAGAGCAGCACCGCTTAGTAACCAACTAGCTTTACTACCCGGCTTCGCCCGGGACTTGGATTCACCACGCCCGGCCGCCTTTGTCTCTCCCCAGTGGCGATGTTCGCACAGCACACCAGTTACTCGTTTGATGCCCAGGACCGGTAAAAAATCATCGTCACTGGTGGTGGCCGTGAGCGGGAATCGAACTCAGGTCGCCGGGTTCGTAGCGCAGCGCGCTAACCACTACACTACAATGCGTTACGCTTCCACATGCGCGGGTCACGTGACAGATTTGACGTCACAGCTCACTTGCCGTGCAAAAAAAATATGCATTATTGAGCTCCCCGCCCCCCCCCCCCCAAAAAAAAGCAAAAGTGTATTTTAATAATTTTTGCATGGTGTACAGCCTGGAAAGTACCCACATGGCAAATTTCAAGTTTGTTGCATGTTGGGAAGTACGCTAAACATTTTGAACAGACACACATAATCACAACTTTGCCTTTTATATATATGGAGATGGCAGATCGCCCCAACCTTGAGACCCACACCCCCACCACCCCCCCACCTCCCGGAAGTTTCTGTTTGTAACTCCCGAGTGACCAGACCCCCAGGCCAGCCAGGAGGCAGCGGTGGCAGCGTGCGTGGCCTATAACCCAGCGCTATGCAGGCAGCAGCAGCAGCGAGGGTTGGTGGATCATGAACGGATGCTACGATACACCCACCCCGTGGGCGTCGAGGAGGAGCCCGTACTCTGGCTCACCAGGAGAAGAGGGGGGCGGTGCAGTAAAGTGCGGGCTAATCTTCATCTGTCACTTCTGTGTGGAATCGAGTGTTGCTCCCTCGTGTTGTGTGGGTTTTTTTCCCCGGGAGCTCTGGTTTCCAATCTTAATTAATTAGCTGATGACATCTTAATATATAGAGGACTGCAGAGCTTGGGCAATTGTTGGTAGCTCTGACTCCTCACCGCCTGGCTGCTGCTGCTGCTGCTGCTGCCTTCCTTTGTCGTCTGTGGCTCCTCCTCGGCGATTGTTAGCGACACATTTTGCACCAACGACAACGACCCCACGGATAAACCTAAAGCCTGAACAGTGACGGCCACCTTCCGGTGCGTGCATTATCTCGCGCAATCCCCGCTAGAGCTGTCACGCGTGCCAACCCCCCCACCCCTCCCTGGCGGTGTCCCCTACTCGCGCCCGCAGGTGTACGACACGGGCCGCGTGCTGCATGCGCTGGCGGTGCTCGGCTCGGTGCTGCGCTCCATCCCGGCCGCTTTCGTCAGCGCCCTCGCCACCACGGGCGTCAGCGGCGCCCGCACCCCGCGCCTTGTGCTGCTGCAGAACCTGCTGGCGCGCCACCGTGCCTCCTTCACCGGCGGAGACTTCTACGCCAGCTCCCACGGTCGGTGACGACTGGAGGATGTGTAGAGAGAGCGGGCGGTGGCACGGTGGTTAGCGCGCTGCGCTACGAACACCCCCAATGACTAATAATCTCACCGAGTCCTGGGCCTCTGATAGGTAGACTCAACCTCAAATTAGTGCTAGGTGCAGTGTGTAAATATCACCACTAGGGAGACGAAGGCTGCTGGGCGTGGTGCTGGCCACCTATCCCCTCATGTGCCGTGTCAGCCTTTATAGGTACTACTCGCTTACATCCCTTGCCCAAGCAGCCCGTTAAGGCTATACGGAGGATCTTTGTCTTTGCGTGTGTGTGGTTTGTGCCGCCGCCGCCGGTGCTGGCTGCTTGCAGGCCCGGGCGTGGTGGCGTCAGCGGAGGGCGGAGGGGCGCAGGCGGGCGGCTTCCGTAACGCCATGTACCTGGAGGTGGTGCTGTCGCTGGGGCTCGCGTTCCTGCGCTCGTACTACCCGCACCACGTGCGCGCGTCGCCGCGCCAGCTCTCCGAGAACCGCCACGTGCAGGCAAGGCCCCTCAACCACTGGTCCAGCTTCGTGAGAATCGGCTTGCGCTGACCGGGCCCAGCATAAGACCATTGCCGCTGAGTACCCCGAATTCTTTCGCGCAAATCCTCACCCTGAACTCTTGCCCTCTTACCCAAATCTTAACCCAAGCTCTGAACCATAATCCGACTATTATCTCTCAACCCCAATCTAATGCTACCCCTAAAACCCTAAATATAGCCTCACTCTAGCCCTAACCGAAACCTGACTTGAGCCCTAAAACACTAAACCTGAACCCATAACTCAACGCGATTATATCCATAAACCCTACCTTCGCTTGATGTATATAACCATTAACGCTAACACACACACACACGCATGTACAGGAAGGGCCACATCACAGCGCTGCCTGTCTCTCACCTCGTTACTCCCCGGGGCTGTTCAGCTCGCCAGCGCCGAGGTGCTGACGCTCCTGGTGTCGGCGCTGGCGCGGCTCGTGGACTCGGGCTGCACCGGCGCCGGAGGTACGGGTTCCGCCTCGAGCTCCGGCCCGGGCTTTGCGAGCTTCCTGCTGGACCTGCTGGCACGTTGCAAGGCGCAGAAGGTGGTGCTGCACTGCCTGGTGGCCGGAGTGGCGGGGGCGCACGCCAGGGCACAAGTGCACGGTGGGTGGTGGCCCATGGCCTCGCCGCACAACAAGGCGGTGAGGCCCACAGGTGAACTGGTCGGTTCATTGCTCGGTCCGTCAGCTGGTCAGCCCGCAAGCGTTGAGCTTATTAGCAAGTTGAGTCGCGCCTGGTAACCTGCAATTGATCTAGTGCCTTGCTATCATCACACCAGCACCAATACGCTCATCACGCCACACATGCCACTCCACCATCATCACACCACAATTGGCACGCTCGTCACACATGGTCAGCCTCACACACGAATCCCAACGCATCATCACCGCCCACGTCCGAGCGCGTCCGACACCGACGTACTTTACGAGCGATGTTCCCCAAAAAGGAAAGAAAGGTCGGCAATTGTTTCAATGTGAATTACAGCCCTGCTTTGCGTTTGCGTACGATGCCCGTGCAGCCACTTCACGATCGTCCACGTCATTGCCCACGTCTTTCGAGTGTGCGATGTCGTGCACGTAGCCAGTTATGGAATTTCCCTACCGCCAAGCTTGCGCCGTCTGCCCGGCGCCGTCGTGCGGATGCGCCGTGTGGGAGTCACGGTGTCAAAACGACGGCGCTGACGACGGCGACGGTGCCCCCCGTGCAGTGCTCTCCGTGCGCAACGACCCGGCCGCTGAAGAGGGCCTCTCCGTGGAGGGAAAAGTGAACTTTTTTGAGGACGGAGAGGAAGAGGAGGAGGAGCCGGGGGAGGGGAGTGCCCGCGCCAGCGGAGAGGGAACAAGCGGGGCCCTGCAGGCCCAGCTGCTGCGCCTGCTGCAGGTTTCATTGCGTCGGCACAGATCATATTAACTTACTACGCAGTAGGTTTTCGCAGCCAATGTTATTAGGATTCGTAATTGATTCGTGGGTTAAGCCGCAGGGTGACCATGTTGTAGCTGCTCACCCCGAGGTGTAAACGCCCTGATAGTGTATTATCTTTGTGCTGTTCGCCTTTTGGCATTCTCTGGTCTTAACACTGGTTGGCTCTCTCTGGTGTAGACCAGTTTCAAAGGTAGATGCACATATTACCAGAGCATGTTTTTGTTTGCATGTTCACCACAATTATGAGTGGTTAATGCAAACATAATTCCTTGCAAAAGGTTTTTGTACTCTTTGGTTTTTTCGGTAAAGTCACGTAGGTAAAAAACAAAATAAATGAAAACAAAAATGTTTTCATTTATTTTTTTCATTAGTTTTGTTTACTTTTTACCTACGTGACTTTACCGAAAAAACCAAAGAGTATGATTCCTTGCAGTCATGAAAGCTTCAAATCTAGAAAAGGTTTTTGTTTGGTGTTTGAACATCTTAACACCTCCTGTTTTATTGGCAGAAAGGGTAAAAGCTATTCTTATACTTTAATACTGACAAGAAAGGGCCCGGGGTGACCTGGCCACATCTTTTCATCATTCTGGTTTCATGACACGTGGAGGATGGGCACTTGTTGGAATAACAACAGCAACAATAACAACAGGAATAACTGGCGGGCTTAAAAGCTTGGACACGTGACGATTTAATTTGATTTGTGTGGCGTGCGGCTGGTGGGTGGAGGTTTACATGACACAAAATGACTGGTTAAATGCGTGGTCTCACCCGAAAATCTATTTTTTTAATAATTATTATGCACGTTTACTCAGGAAAGCCTCGCCGGGTCTCAAGACTCTTTTTGCAGGAGGGTCCTGGCGAGTTTACTTAGGAGGGGGGCGGCGATCGCTACGAACGTAATCGTCCCGATTCGCCGAAATCAACGAACTCGCCACGCGCGACCGGTCTCACTTAATCGCCAGGCCCTCATGGTGCTGGAGCACAAGGTGCTGGCCTGCACGGAAGACCCGGAGGGCGGATTCACCGAACTAGTGGCAGCGGAGCCAGAAAACCCCCCCTCCAACCACCACCAGCAGCAGCACCAGCAGGAGCACCAGCAGCACCAGCAAGAGCAGGCCGTGGGCCCGGCAGCGCCCACCTCCCTGCGCTTCGTGTCGAGCCGCCCCCTGGCGGAGCAGGAGATGCTGGGCTGGGCGGTGACGCGGGCGCTGCTGGTGTCGGCGCCGCCTGGCCGCGCCAGCTGCGCCGCTCACCCGCGCTGGGTGGGCGCCGTCACGGCGTCGCTGCCCTACCTGGGCCGCGCGCTGGCCCGGCTCGCCGTGGCCGTCGTCGCTCAGGTGTGCCGCAACCTGGACGCGGCGGCGCAGCAGCACGCCTGGGAGAGCGCGCTCGCGGCCGACCGGTGAGTGACGCTGGCTCGGGGTGGACGGCGTCGGTGGCGTTGTGCGGTGGTGGTAGTGCGGCGGTTAGAGCGCTGCGCGAAGAACCCGGCGGCCCGGGTTCGACTCCCGCTCACGGTCAACGCCAGTGACGATTATCTGAACCGGTCATGGGCCTCCCCCCTCGTGTGCCGTGCCTGCCTTCGCAGGTGCTCGCCAACAGCACTTGCCCCAACAATCTGTTAAGGCTATACGTGGGATCTTTGTCTTTGTTGCGTCATGTGGATCTGTAGCACGTGGTCCTGCATGTTATTTTAAGAATGTTTGGTGGTGGTAGTAGTGATGGGTGCAGTGCTAGTTATAGCGGTGGTAATGTGTGTGGTTTAGTGGTGATGCCGGTGGTGGTGGTTATAGGGGTGATGGTAGTTATATTGGTGATGGTGATGCAGGTGGGGTGGTGGTGGTACGAACCTGGTGATCTGAAATCGATTCCCACTCAGGGCCAACACCAGCGATGATTATCTGAACCCGGCCTAGGCCACCCGTAGGTCGACTAAGCCTCATATGAGTACTTGGTGTGGTGTGTAAATATCGGCACTGAGGAGACAAAGGCGGCTGGGCATGGCGTTGGCCACCTGGGTGTGCCGTGCCGGCCTTCATATGCGCTCGCGAACCGTACTTGCCCCAAAAGTCTGTTAAGGCTATTCGGTGGACCTTTTTCTTTGTTGGTGGTACACAGTGGTGCATCCGGTGCTGTGCGATGCAGGCCGGAAGTGCTGCTGGAGAGTGTGCCGCCCGACTACGTGCTGTGCCTGCTGGAGGGGCTCACCACCGTGGTGCACTACTGCCTGCTGGACAGCTCCACCACGCACATCCACGTGAGAGGGACACGGCATGCATGTGGGCGCGCGTGTGCGCGTGTGCGCGTGTGTTTGGTTGAAGGTGTGGACGAGTGCCTTTTGCCGTGACGGTGCGTGTGCGTGGGCATGCTTTTGTGTGTGTCCAATTCCACGTGTGTGCACGTACGCTTGCGCATGCGTCCACGCGTGTGCGTTTACGTAACATGCGTGCGTGTGCTTTGCGTGCGCCCGCGCGTCTGTGTTATTGCGTGCGTACGTACGTGCGCGTGCAGTCGCCGAGCTCCGCTAGCCGTGCCGAGGCCCGCGCCGCCATGCTGTGCGTGCTGCCCTGCGTCCTCTCCACGGCTGCCCTGCTCTGGAGCCTGCTGGGCAAGGCCGAGGGGCAGCGGGTAGAGGTCGTGGCCGGGGTCACGGGAGGAGCGGCCGCCCCCTCCTCGGTTGGGCTGGGCTCCACCAAGGTGAGCGCGAGTGATCGTTCCGCTCTCAACCAACTCTCCCCTGCGTGAGTCTCTCTACCGTCGCGCTGGTGGTTGAGGTGGATGGGTGGCTCGGAGCGCTGAGCCGGCACCTGTGATTAAACTGGGTTCTCACATAGAGACCCGTAGACTCGGCGAAAGATCCGTAGACTCATATAGAGACCCGTAGACTCCTATAGATACCAGTAGACTGGGCTTTTGACCCGAAGACTCATAGAGATCCGTAGACTCATATAGAAACCCGAAAACTCATATAGATAACAGTAGACTGGGCTTTTGACCCGAAGACTCATATAGAGATCCGTAGGCTGGGTTAGAGACCCGTAGACTCATGATGGAGACCCGTAGACTCCTATAGATACCCGTAGACTGGGCTTTTGACCCGAAGACTCACATAGAGACCCATGGACTGGGCTAGAGACCTGTAGACTCATATAGATACCCGTAGACTGGGCTACAGACCCGTAGACTCATGATGGAGACCCGTAGACTCGGCTCGAGACCCGCCGACTTGTATAGAGACCCGTGGACTCATATAGAGACTTGTATATTCACACAGAAACCAGGTAGCATAGCACGGTAACCCGTAGCGTATGATAACCGCTTCTCTGGGCCATTCCCTAACACCGAGAGACTCGCTGCTCTGCAAGAGTTTCAAACGGATTCCTCAGTCACGCCGCTCGTGTGTGCTTGGGTTTCGTCTCTCCTGCTGCCCATCTCAGATCCTGCGCCAGAAAGTGCTGGACCTGCTGAGCCCCCTGAGCCTGCAGCACGGCGTCGCCTTCATGGCCGCGGTGGCGCGCGTGTGGAACGAGCGCACGAGGGGGCGGCCCGCGGCCTCCCGCAGCCGGGTGTGTGCCGCCGAGGTCGACGATCGACCCCGCTCGTCAGGCGCGGACAACCGCGCGCAACCTCGCTCGACCACAGTTAACCGCGCTCGCCAAAACGTCCACGCCCGCCTACACTCGCCCTCCTCGCCCACACTCGCCCACGCTCACCCACGCGTGGTTAACCACGCTCACCCACGCGTGGTTAACCGCGCTCACCCACGCGTGGTTAACCGCGCTCACCCACGCGTGGTTAACCGCGCTCACCCACGCGTGGTTAACCGCGCTCACCCACGCGTGGTTAACCACGCTCACCCACGCGTGGTTAACCACGCTCACCCACGCGTGGTTAACCACGCTCACCCACGCGTGGTTAACCACGCTCACCCACGCGTGGTTAACCACGCTCACCCACGCGTGGTTAACCACGCTCACCCACGCGTGGTTAACCACGCTCACCCACGCGTGGTTAACCACACTCATCCATGGCTAACCGCGTTCATCGGCGATCCACCGCCCTTTCCCCTTGCCGAGCAGCGTCAACGCTTATCCACAATGGACCGCGCGTAACCACGCGAGCTTGAACTGTACCCACCCGTGCTTAACCTCGCTTGACTAGCCGAGCCAACCTTAACAGGTGCTCGCTGACAGCGCTCTCCGCGACTGTCCGTGTCGGAGGCTACACGGGGGTGGGGGTCTCTCTGTCCGCAGGTTCTGGCGGCCGCCAATGTGGACCAGCAGCTGCTGGTGGACCTGATTCGCGGCATCAGCAGCATGCGCACCGACAGCGTGGTGGGCACCGTCAAGGAGGTGGTGCGGCAGCCCCCGAGCGGGCCGGCCCCCTCGCCCAAGGAGGTGGTTAACCCCCGCCCCCACCCCCTCACCCCCTCACCCCCCCCACCCGTCGTCCTCCGGTCACCCCGTATATCGTCGACGAATGTATTGAGTAATTTTAGGAATCGGCCCCGGTATTTTGAGGGTGCCCCGGAATGGTGAAGCCCGTTGTGAACTCGGGAAGCTGCTGCCGCCACTGGCGCGGTCTACCGGTCACCAGCACGCTGGACTTGCAGTCCCGGAGGTCGCCGGTTTCGATTCAATCTCCCGGCACGGCGGTTCAAAGTTCCAATCGCTTCTGATCGCCGTCTCTACCCGAAGCGAGGGTATCGCATCCCTCGGAGAACGCCTCCACGCTTGCGCCACTCGCATGGCGTGGGTGCGGTGCAGGTGCGTTTAGTCGGGTAGGCGTGATGTGGCGTCCTCGCTGATCTCTCTTGTCGTGTCGGCAGCAGAAGAGCGTGCCGCTGGAGGTGAGCGTGCTGCAGTTCTTCTTCGCCTACGTGCAGAGGTGAGGCGCTCTTGGGGGGGGGGAGTGTGCGAGTGTCGGTGTGTGCCAGTGTAAGCTGCGTAGGAGCTGTATATGTGCTCTGTGTGAGTGCTGTTGTGGAGCGGCGAGTTCAATTCCCTCTCACGACCAACAACTGTTGAACTCGTCCAGGTCGACTCAGCCTCAAATGAGTACCTGGTGCGGTGTGTAAACATCTCCACTGGGAAGACAAAGGTGGCTGGGTGTGGTGCCGGACACCCACACCCGTGTGTGCCGCGCTCTCCTTCAAAGGTGCTCGTTAACAGCACTTGCCCCAACAGCCTGTTGAGGATATCTAGAGGGGGACCTTTTTTGTCTTTTTGTGGGCATTGTAAACAGAGCGCCAGTGAGCCTTACGGTAGCCTCAAAGTGGACCTAACATGGCACAAGCGTCACTTAGTGGAGAGTGGTGGCTGTTGTTGTTGTTGTGTGTGGGTAGACTAAGTTGGCCGGGGATGGTTGTGGCCGCAGAAAGCCATTCTGCACCGTGCTGGCCTTAATGGGTGCTCGCTAACCACGCTCGCCCCAGCAGTCTGTTGAAGGCTGCATGGATGATCTCTGTATTTGCGTGTTACGGGTGTGTGTTGGCTCGGCGTCAAATGAGTACCTGGTGCGGTGTGTAAACATCCACACTGGGGAGACAAAGGCGGCTGGGCGTGGTGCTGGCCACCCACCCCCTCGTGTGTCCTGCCACCCTTCATTCGTGCTCGCGAACAGCACTTGTCCCACCGGTGTGTTGAGGCTATACGGGGGATCTTTGTCTGCGTGCATGCAGGATAGCGGTGTCTCAGTTTGTGGACAGCTGGCCCTCATTGCTGTCACTGCTCAAAGAATGTTCCGCTCTCAACCTTCCTCCCCCCGGTCACTTCCTGCTGCTGGGGTACATACACTCATGGATGCACACAAAGACATTTGCACACAAAGACATGTGCACACATGCACACACGCACACACAGACTCATGGACGCACAAAGATACACAACACACAACAACCGCCATTCGCCACTAAGTGGCGGTGACGTCACCACGAAGCTTGTGCCAGGCTATGTGCATCTTGAGGCCACGTGAAGTGTCGAACGCCCGCTGGCAGGAGGTCACGGGGCAGACCCAGGTGCCACAGGTCGACTTACTGAGATGACTGGCCGATGCACCACCTGTGCCCCCTACTGTGCCAACTTGCTGTGCTTTAGCCACCCGGCGCTCCGCTCGTTGTGAGCGTCGCTCCTCCGCCCTCCGTTGTTGTTGGAGGGCGACTGCCTCCAACCGCCCAGTAGCGTCCTTCACGAGCCTCCTCCACTGAGGCCGATCTTGACACTACTGGTAAAGTCATAGACGCCTGTCCACACATACACACGCACATACCGACGCACATACACGCACACGCACACATGCGCACACACTCACCCGCATACACGCACACACAGACTCATGGGCGTACACATACACAAGTGCACACACACGCACACATTCGCACACGCACCCACACACACAAACACACTCTTGAACGCACACATACACACACGCACACACGCACATACGCTCCCACGCACACACAGATTCGGCACGCACCACGCACAGAAACGTGGACCAGTTTAATTTGTCAATGGCGATTCTCACTGCAGAATCCTCAACGAGTTTGTGATGAAGATGCCCCCCATGGAGAGCAAGAAGGATCTGCGAGACCTCCAGGTAAAGGCGACAGGGTGGCGCGTGGAACGATTGTAAGAGTGCATTGAATAAATAAGTACTCGGAGCTCCGACGCGCGTTGTGACGCTCGCGGTGCGACGCGCGGCCGCAGGATGTGACGCAGCGGCTGGTGGAGGCAGTCACGCACGTGGCCGGCTCCTCGCTGGAGCAGACCACGTGGTTGCGGCGCAACCTCGAGGTGAAGGCCGGACCCCAGGTCACGGTGGACGCTGCGGGACTGCAGGCCGACGCCGACGGTGAGAACTCGCTCGCCCTCGCCGATTCCTGCTCCGTGGATCCAGCGTCCACGCGATCCCGCAACGCGGCTGCCCGGACTCCCCCCGCCCTAAACGAGACCGCGTCACCCCACTACCCGGATCCCTCCACCGCCTCGCAATCCGATCCCGCATGAACTTCGGGGATCGCACTCGCAGTCTTCAAGATCCTCCTTGGACTCACCGCTTCCTACCTCTCATCTAACTCTACTCCTCTCCACACGTTCTCCTACCCCCTCTCATCTCACTCTACTCCCCTCCACTCACTCTCCTACCTCTCCCCTCTCATCTCACTCTACTCCCCTCCACTCACTCTCCTACCGCTCCCCTCTCATCTCACTCTACTCCCCTCCACTCACTCTCCTACCTCTCCCCTCTCATCTCACTCCACTCCTCTCCACTCACTCTCCTACCTCTTCCCTCTCATCTCACTCTCCTCCCCTCCACTCACTCTCCTACCTCTCCCCTCTCATCTCACTCTACTCCCCTCCACTCACTCTCCTACCTCTCCCTCTCATCTCACTCTACCCCCCTCTCCACGCACTCTCCTACCTCTCCCTCATCTCACTCTACCCCCCTCTCCACGCACTCTCCTACCTCTCCCTCTCATCTCACTCTACCCCGCTCTCTACGCAGTCTTAACTTCAGAAACCCTCACTGCGTAGTGGATACTCTGTTTTGTGAAGCGACACCGATCGTACTCAGCAAATGAAACCCAGGTAGAGGACGAAACAATTGCAAACAAAACATAATTGACCCAAACGTCCCGAACGAGGAGCTTGCTCGACCACGACCCTTTGAGACTCGGCGAGGCTGCAGCACTTGCCGGCGAGCGCACCGCACCGCGCGAGTTTGTTCAGCAAGCGTCTGCGTGGGCCTGGTCTGCCGTTGCAGACGCGCTGCTATTGTCTCCGGTGGCCGAGGTGGTGTCGCAGCCGCCCTCCGTCTTCAGCGTCCACGCCCTCACCCTGCTGGCCGAGGTGATGCCCGCCGCTCTCCCCACGCGACGCCCGAACGCCGTGCTCCGGCTCAGAGTTCGCTCCGGGTCTTGTCCGTGCTCTTGTGTCGGGGGTTTTACGTGGTCCGTGTCCGTCGTGGTTAATACTCATGCCAGGATTTACCTGCTCGGTGCCAGGTGTTGCTCACACCCCGTGCCAAGATTGACTGCGTTCCATGTCCGTGCTCCATGCCATGTGTTGACTTGCGCTCCATGTCGGAATGCTCCATATTCCTACCCGGAAATTACCCACACTTTGTGCGTTGCTTGTGCGCCGCGGCGGGATTTCTGGCACGCCCCGTGCCGGACGTCGCTCGGACTCCGCGCCTTGTATTCACGGCGCGCCGTGCCTCGCTCCTGCAGGTGTTGGCGCATCTCCTGGACATGGTTTTCCGCAGCGACGAGAAGGAGAAGGTGGTGCCACTGCTCATCAACATCATGTACTATGTCGTGCCCTACCTCAAGAACCACAGGTGAGCGAGGGGATCCCCCTGTCGTCATCCCCCCTCGCTCCCCTGGCCCCCACTCAGCTCCAAGTCCCGGTCGTAAACGCAGCTGTAAACTCGGCAAATGATTGTGTGGTGATGCTGCTGCTACTGCAATGCTGGCAGCGGTGCACAAGCGAAAGAACTCAACACGTTCGCCAATATAGCACTGTGGCCTTACAAGGGGAAATTTATATGTCTGTGTGTGTTTGTGTTGCAGTGTGTATTGTGTGTGTACATCAAGTACGTATGTGTGTTGCAATATGTATTATGTGTATATTGTGTGCTGCAGTGGGTGTTGTGTCTGTGTGTGTGTTGCAGTGCGTGTTGTGTGTGAGTGGTAGTGTAGCGGTCAGCGCGCTGCGCTACGAACCCGGCGACCCGAGTTTGATTCCCGCTCACGGCCGACACCGGTCACGATTATCTGATTCGGTTCTAGGCCTCTCCTAGGTCGACTCGGCCTCAAATGGGTACCTGGTGTGGTGTGTAAACATCGCCACTGGAGAGACAAAGGCCGTCGGGCGTGGTGCTGGCCACCCACCCCCTCGTGTACCGTTCTGGCATTCATAGGTGCTGTCTAACAGCGCTTATTCCAACAATCTGTTAAGGCTATACCGGGATCTTTCTCTTGGTTACATGTGTGTTGCATTGCGTATTGTGTGTTTGCGTGCGCGTTTGCAGTGCCCACAACGCGCCGAGCTTCCGCGCGTGCGTGCAGCTGCTGAGCAGCCTGAGCGGGTACCAGTACACGCGGCGCGCCTGGAAGAAGGAGGCGCTCGACCTCTTCATGGAGTCCACCTTCTTCCAGATGGACGCCAGCTGCGTCCCCCAGTGAGTCCCACCCCGTCCGGGAGTCTCACCAAGTTCCCTGGGCCTCTCACTGAACCGCCATTCGCCTCCCTATCACTCCTCTCTCGCTACTGCGGTGGTTACTGTTCCCGTGAACTTCACCGTTGATTCCTTCAACCACCACCACCACCACCACCACGCTGCAGCTCACAACCCACTCACTCACCACAGTTGCAGGTCACAGTGCTTCGCACTCCGCTTACGTGCTCACGTGCGCACACGTTTGAGAGACCCTGGTGGTGCCTGCGTTGGGGCTGACTCGGTTAATACATCGCCGCGCGTGTGTCTGCGCGTGTCTGCTCGTGCGCAGGTGGCGCTCCATCATCGACCACCTGATGACCCACGACAAGACCACCTTCCGTGACCTCATGAGTGAGTGAGAGTCAACTGCTCGCGCACGCACACGCTCACGCTCGCACACGTGTATCATCCACAGTATACGGAGCGTATATTATTTCCAGTGTAACTTTGTGTGTCGTGTGTTAGTCTGTGTGTGTTGTGTGTTAGTCTGTGGGTCCTGTGTTAGTAGTATACGAGCCCTCTCTGATGCCGTAGATCCCATGTCCTCTATTATTGTTCTACGTATCGGAGGGTTTGCCGCGGTTAGCGCACTGCGCCACGAAGCCGGCGACTCGTGGGTTGATTGGTGGCCGACATCGTTGGCGTTTATCCACACCGGTCTTGGGCACTCCGGTGCGGTACGGAAACATCGACGCTGAGAGAAGACAAAGGCGGCCAGGCACGGTGCCGCCCTTCATAGGTCACCGGTAACGGCCAGGCCACACGGGGTCTCTCTGTATACGTGTGCATGTGTATCATCATCATCATCGTCATTGTTGGTCACAATCCGCTGCTGGATGAAGGCGTCGGTTTGTCGGTGTGCACGCAGCGCGCGTGACGGTGGCGCAGAGCAGCTCCCTGAACCTGTTTGGGAACCGCGAGGCGGAGCTGGAGCAGCGTGTGATGCTGCTCAAGCGGCTCGCCTTCTCCGTCTTCTCCAGTGAGGTCGACCAGTACCACAAGTTCCTGCCCGACATCCAGGGTGAGTCTCCTGCCACCGCGCACGCGCATACGCGCGTGCATACGTACACACACACGGACGCACAGATGGACCCACGCGCACACAGACACATTCACACACACACTAAAACTACACTAAACTATTTGTATTTTACCAGGTAAGGCCCTTTGAGCTATGTAGCTCTTATTCAGAAGGGACCTGGCCAAAAAATGATAGCTCACCAAAGTGTCTTATCATCACGTAGAAAATTTATAGCAACCAAATACTCGTGCGCCGTGCCGCCCTTTGTCGATCCTCGTTTGAAGACACTTGCCACAGCAGTCTGTGTAGGCTACCCGGGGGATCTTTGTCTGTGCCTGCGCGTGAGCAGAGCGGCTGGTGGAGAGCCTGCGGCTGCCCCAGGTGCCCACGCTGCACGCCCAGGTGTTCCTCTTCTTCCGTGTGCTGCTGCTGCGCGTGTCGCACCAGCACCTCACCGCGCTGTGGCCTGCCATGATCACCGAGCTGGTGGGCAGCGTTCCTTTTGTTACCCGCGGTGTGTGAGCGTGTGCGCGTTGTTCGGTGTGCTGGTGGTGGCGATGGGGGCGGTGTTAGTTCATGTGGTGGGAGCGGTGGTAATGTTTGTGGTTTGGTGGTGATCCCGGTGGTGGTGGTTATATTTTTGGTGGTGATGCAGGTGGTGGTAATGGTGGTGGTTTTAGTACTGATAGTGGTGGTGGTAGTAGTTATATTAGTGTTGCTGATGATGATAATGGTGGTGGTTATAGTGGTGATGCAGGTGGTGGTGGTGATGTCGCAGTGTTTGTTTTCTCTCGGGCGCGTTCCCTCTCCAAGCCGCCATTCCGTTGCTAGTTCCTAGCACCGGCCATCGCCCCCTTCTAGCCGTGACGCGTCCTGCCCAAGCCCACTTACGTCACGTGACAGTCAATACGACGTTGCCTCCGAGACCTGCGCGCGTCTTCCCGTGTTCATTATTCCGTCTGCGTCTTTGTGCCGACCGCCCCTAATCTCACTCGCACAGGTGCAGGTGTTCATGCAGATGGAACAAGAGCTCATGGCGGAAGATGACATCACCAGGTGAGATGAGAGACGGGAGGGATGTGTAGGAATCTACAAGTGATGCTCAAGTAACCCGGTGGCTCGGCGGGGGGGCGGTAGGGCGGGGCGGGGGTTCATAAAGGCCGTGTTGGAGCCGACCTCATCACCGCCGCCTGTGTATAATCACGAATGGAGTTGGGCAAGCCATCTCGTTACAGGGCCCCCGCAGAGCTTGGGGAACCGTTGGCGTCACCCGCCTGCGACTTTGTGTTTAGGAGCGCCAGTCCGTCCATCACGGGGCTGGAGACAACGTACGTCGGGGGGAACGGCTTCTCGTCATCCTACAGCCAGCAGCGGTGGCTCGCGCTCTACCTCTCCGCCTGCAAGTTCCTGGACCTCGCGCTAGCGCTGCCCTCCGCCCACCTCCCGCAGTTCCAGCTGTACGCTCCTGCCCCTTGCACCCCCCTCCCCCCTCCCCCCCACTTTCGCCCCCCACCTCGCGTCCTCGCTCGTCCGCCCACGGCTCGCATTGTCCACACCTATTGCGCCTCTCCGTAACCTGCCAACACTTTGCACCTTTTCGTGTCCAGTCGCCACCCCTTTCTGAGTTACCACCTCATGGTCACCACCTCTCCATGGTCACTACCTCATCATGGTCACCACCTCTTCATGCCCACCTCTTTGTAGTCACCCATTCTCCATAGTCACCAACTCATCATGGTCACCACCTCATCATGGTCACCACCTCTTCATGCCCACCTCTTCGTAGTCACCACCTCATCATGGTCACCACCTCTTCATGCCCACCTCTTCGTAGTCACCACCTCTCCATTGTCACCACCTCTTCATGGTCACCACCTCTTCATGGTCACCACCTCTTCATGTCCACCTCTTCGTAATCACGACCTCTCTATAGTCACCACCTCTCTATAGTCACCACCTCATCATGGTCACCACCTCATATTCACCACCTCAACATGGTCACCACCTCTTCATGTCCACCACTTCATATTCACCACCTCCTCATGGTCACCACCTCTTCACGGTCACCACCTCTTCCCACCAACCTGTGCATACTCATACACTCCACCACTGATCTATTCTCACATATTTGAGCTCACTCAACCAGTGTCCACTCACTCACCTGTGTGCCCTCACCTGTGAGCTCCCTCACCTGTCCCATCACCTGTGCACGCAGGTACCGCTGGGCGTTCATCCCGGAGACGTGCGACGACTCCGGGCTTGAGGTCCGTCGCCAAGGCAACCACCAACGCGAGTTCCGTCCATACGTGGTGCGGCTCACAAAGCTCCTGCGCAAGAAGTGCAAGGTGTGTGTGTATTGTGTGTGTGTTGTGTGTGTGTTGTGTGTGGTGTGTGTTGTGTGTGTGTGTGTTGTGTGTGTGTGTTGTGTGTGTGTTGTGTGTGTGTGTTGTGTGTGTGTGTTGTGTGTGTGTGTGTTGTGTGTGTGTGTTGTGTGTGTGTGTTGTGTGTGTGTGTTGTGTGTGTTGTGTGTGTGTTGTGTGTGTGTGTTGTGTGTGTGTGTTGTGTGTGTGTTTTGTGTGTGTGTGTTGTGTGTGGTGTGTGTTGTGTGTGTGTGTTGTGTGTGTGTGTGTTGTGTGTGTGTGTTGTGTGTGTGTGTGTTGTGTGTGTGTTGTGTGTGTGTGTTGTGTGTGTGTGTTGTGTGTGTTGTGTGTGTGTGTTGTGTGTGTGTGTTGTGTGTGTGTTGTGTGTGTGGTGTGTGTGTGTTGTGTGTGTGGTGTGTGTGTGTTGTGTGTGTGTTGTGTGTGGTGTGTGTTGTGTGTGTGTTGTGTGTGTTGTGTGTGTGTGTTGTGTGTGTGTGTTGTGTGTGTGTTGTGTGTGTGTGTTGTGTGTGTGTTGTGTGTGTGTGTTGTGTGTGTGTGTTGTGTGTGTGTGTTGTGTGTGTGTTGTGTGTGTGTTGTGTGTGTGTGTTGTGTGTGTTGTGTGTGTGTGTTGTGTGTGTGTTGTGTGTGTGTTGTGTGTGTGTTGTGTGTGTGTTGTGTGTATTTTGTGTGTGCGTGTTGTGTGTTGTGTGTGTGTGTTGTGTGTGTGTTGTATGTGTTGTGTGTGTGTGTTGTGTGTGTGTGTTGTGTGTGTTTTGTGTGTGTTGTGTGTGTGTTTTGTGTGTGTTGTGTGTGTGTGTTGTGTGTGTGTGTGTTGTGTGTGGTGTGTGTGTGTTGTATGTGTGTTGTGTGTGTGTGTGTTGTGTGTGGTGTGTGTGTGTGTTTTGTGTGCGTGTTGTGTGTGTTTTGTGTGTGTTGTGTGTGTGTGTTGTGTGTGTGTTGTGTGTGTGTGTGTTGTGTGGTGTGTGTGTGTTTTGTGTGTGTGTGTTTTGTGTGTGTTGTGTGTGTGTTGTGTGTGTGTTTTGTGTGTGTTGTGTGTGCGTGGTGTGTGCGTGTTGTGTGTGTGTTGTGTGTGTGTTGTGTGTGTGTGTGTTGTGTGTGTGCGTGTTGTGTGCGTGTTGTGTGTGCGTGTTGTGTGTGTGTTGTGTGTGTGTGTTGTGTGTGTGTGTTTTGTGTGCGTGTTGTGTGCGTGTTGTGTGCGTGTGTTGTGTGCGTGTTGTGTGTGCGTGTTGTGTGTGCGTGTTGTGTGTGCGTGTTGTGTGTGCGTGTTGTGTGTTGTGTGTGCATGTTGTGTGTGCATATTGTGTGTGTGTGTGCGTGTTGTGTGTTGCATGTTGTGTGTGTGCGTGTTGTGTATTGTGTGCGTGTTGTGTGTGTGTGCGTGTTGTGTGTGTGTGCGTGTGTTGTGTGTGTTGTGTATTGTGTGTGTTGTGTGTGTTGTGTATTGTGTGCGTGTTGTGTGTGTGTTGTGTGTGTGTGTTGTGCGTGTTGTGTGCGTGTTGTGTGTACGTGTTGTGTGTGTGTGGTGTGCTTGTGTGTGTTGTGTGCGTGTTGTGTGTGCTGTGTATTGTGTGCGTGTTGTGTGTGTGTTGTGCGTGTTGTGTGTGTGTTGTGCGTGTTGTGTGTTCTGTGCGTGTTGTGTGTGCGTATTGTGTGTGTGTATTGTGTGTGTGCGTGTTGTGTGTGTGCGTGTTGTATGTGTGCGTGTTGTGTGTGCATGTTGTTTGTTGTGTGTGCGTATTGTGTGTGTGTGTTGTGTGTGTTGTGTGTGCGTGTGGCATCCCACCAACCTGCACCGCCACACAAGCTGGCCTCATAACTCCATCTCCGCGGTGGGCGTCCTGTTGACCTGGCTGCCGCCTTCGCTGCCACTCTGTTGTTACAAGTTGACGGCCTTGTGATTTGTGATATTTTTCTTGTCTCCTCCTTTCCCTCCCTCTCTCCACCCGTCTGCTGTCTCCCCCCTCGTTTCCCTCCCACTATCGCCCGCCGCTGTCCCGTGCAGAAGAGCTCGGAGGAGGAGGGGGGCGGCTCGCCGCGCATGATCCCGTGCGAGGCCGGCCAGCCACTGCTCACCGTGGCGTCGCTGCGCACCATCGACCAGCTGCTGCCCTTCTTCAGCACACTCAGCCACTTCTTCTGCAACAAGCCCATGGTGGGGGCAGCGCAGGTGTGCGCACGCACACGCGCTCGGGTTGTCGCCTTCTGTCGCCCCCTGTCTCCTCCTCCCATCTGTCTCCTCCTCCCATCTGTCTCCTCCCACTGTCTCCTCCCATCTTCATCTGTCTCCTCCCATCTCCATCTGTCTCCTCCCATCTCCATCTGTCTCCTCCCATCTCCATCTGTCTCCTCCCATCTCCATCTGTCTCCTCCCATCTCCATCTGTCTCCTTCCATCTCCATCTGTCTCCTCCCATCTCCATCTGTCTCCTCCCATCTCCATCTGTCTCCTCCCATCTCCATCTGTCTCCTCCCATCTGTCTCCTCCCATCTCCACTGTCTCCTCCCATCTCCACTGTCTCCTCCCATCTCCATCTGTCTCCTCCCATCTCCACTGTCTCCTCCCATCTCCATCTGTCTCCTCCCATCTCCACTGTCTCCTCCCATCTCCATCTGTCTCCTCCCATCTCCACTGTCTCCTCCCATCTCCATCTGTCTCCTCCCATCTCCACTGTCTCCTCCCATCTCCACTGTCTCCTCCCATCTCCATCTGTCTCCTCCCATCTCCATCTGTCTCCTCCCATCTCCATCTGTCTCCTCCCATCTCCACTGTCTCCTCCCATCTTCATCTGTCTCCTCCCATCTTCATCTGTCTCCTCCCATCTCCACTGTCTCCTCTCATCTCCATCTGTCTCCTCCCATCTCCACTGTCTCCTACCCATCTCCACAGTCTCCTACCCATCTCCACTGTCTCCTCCCATCTTCACTGTCTCCTCCCATCTCCATCTGTCTCCTCCCATCTCCATCTGTCTCCTCCCATCTCCACTGTCTCCTCCCATCTCCATCTGTCTCCTCCCATCTCCACTGTCTCCTCCCATCTCCATCTGTCTCCTCCCATCTCCACTGTCTCCTCCCATCTCCACTGTCTCCTCCCATCTCCATCTGTCTCCTCCCATCTCCACTGTCTCCTCCCATCTCCACTGTCTCCTCCCATCTCCATCTGTCTCCTCCCATCTCCACTGTCTCCTCCCATCTTCATCTGTCTCCTCCCATCTTCATCTGTCTCCTCCCATCTGTCTCCTCCCATCTCTATCTGTCTCCTCCCATCTCCATCTGTCTCCTCCCATCTCCACTGTCTCCTCCCATCTCCATCTGTCTCCTCCCATCTCCACTGTCTCCTCCCATCTTCATCTGTCTCCTCCCATCTTCATCTGTCTCCTCCCATCTGTCTCCTCCCATCTCTATCTGTCTCCTCCCATCTCCATCTGTCTCCTCCCATCTCCACAGTCTCCTCCCATCTCCATCTGTCTCCTCCCATCTCCACCTGTATTTTCCTGTCTCCACCTGTCTCTGGCTAGCTTTCTATAAATGTCATTTTACTAATTGAGATGTTTCACCCGGAATAATGACTTGCAAATGGAGCACCTCGTTTACAAGGATGTCCAGCGTGTAAAGTGACACGCTTTGAGACATGAGTGGAAGGCCCGTTACAAATAAATGGAAATTATTATTATTAAACACGCGATGATGATGGCACGCACCGTTACAGTTTACGTTTATACTGGTAGGAACCTCCTGGTTACACCAGCCCACAGGGGATTATTGTGTCCGTCCGTCGTGCATCCAAAAATGGGAGGGGTGGGGCTGGGTGGAGAGGGGAGGGGTGGGGAGGGGAGGGTGGGGAGGAGCTGGGTGGGGAGGGTGGGGCTGGGTGGGGGGGTGGGAGGGGTGGGGCTGGGTGGGGAGGGGCTGGTCACCCCGTGGTGCCCTTATAAAACTCAACGTTTAACCTACTCACGCCGGCTTGTGCCCGCCCTCACAGTCGGGCATATTTGCGGAATACACCACGTGGTGGTGCCGCCTTGACCCTGGCCATTGACTGAGCAACCCAACGTTCCTACCAGCTCCCTCCGCAGGAATGTGTTAATAATGAACATCGCACCCAGTCCAACGCACGAGCAAATGAACGCGTAATGAAGTGGTGCGTGTACCGCCGATTCATGCGGAATGCGCTGCGGTTGGACCAGCTGAGACTGTCGACGAATCTCGTGCACGAATGAGGTCCACGATGATCGTGTCGCCCGTGCGTAAAGCATCGTCACGTCGTGATTATCCTCACTCGTTCTACCTGGCTTCACATTTTATTTTCCGACTAAATACTTGTGAAATAATCCAAAAGGTGAAGCACGGAGGAAGCAAAATGCTTCCTCCCTGCTTCAACTTTTGCTTCACCCTCCTTCCTCTTATACTTAACCCTTTTCCCAGCCACCCCTACCGGACATCTGTCACAAACGGCTTCATAGCTCATCGGATTCCTCCAGGATAAAGATTCTGACTCTTGACGATTCCCTGCCTCTCCCCCACTACTACCCAGGCCTTCCTGTGCGACCCGGGACGCCCCCCGGGATCTGGCGGCTCCGGCTCCCTGGCGTCATCATCGTCCTCGGCGCTGGAGCACGCGGGGAGCGGGGAGAGTGGCGCGGGCGCCGAAGCGCAGTGGAGCCGCGCCCGCCGCCGCGTCGAGGAGACGGTGGGGCGCGACTTCCTGGAGACGCTCAATAAAGGCTAAAGCCGGGGGTTGCCGCCTCCGAGGTGCAACAGGAACGGGACAACTGAGAATATCTCGCGGCACCGGCCGCCTTCCCCGCTCGTCCGCGGTTCCACCTCGTGCTTCCGAGTCATTCCGTGTCTACGAGGGTGCGGAGCAAATGCTGTGCGGCGGTGGGGCGCGTGTTACGAGTTGAAATTATGATGATTTTTGTCGTTGTACTAAGAGGCTGGGAGAGCTGCGTGCGAACGCATCGTCTCCAGTGGCGCGTTGCGGTAATTTTTTGCACAGCCGATGAAGAAACCCGCCCGCGACGATGAGCTTTTAATGTACCCGGAATAATTTGCAGATTTCCAGCGACAGCTTCTTTAACAAGAGGACAATCCTGGGAAGAGCAGGATGGGTTGCTACCCCCTGCCAAGCTAGCTTCCTCCCAATGAGGCTCGCCCAGGGATAGCGCTCCGGGCCAGATCCTAGGCGAACTCCGATTGCTCGCAACCAAGGCGAGCTCTCACCGGGGCCAGTGGCCGTGAGCCATCTGCGCAGGCCAGCGTCCCCTGCCCCTCCCCGCACCCCTCCATCACTTGGCATTTGCATTGAAACTCCCAAGTGACCAAATGTGTAATATATTATTTCTTCTGAAGCGTTGATTCTCTCTGTGCTGGAAGGGTCTGACCAGCACGGAGATTATTTAGGTAACGTGCCTCTTGGTTAGGCCTGAAGTGTACGCGCTGGGGCCATTCGAACAAGTCGGCTGTTTCTCCAAGCCCTGAACAGCCTGAATGCCCACAAGGCGCGCTATAGCACTGCTGGATCCAGGCTCGCCGATGCTTTGTCGGGTCGTGTGCGATTATCCCACGTTTCGCTGTACGCGCCGGGAAGCTTCCTTTTCGGTTGCTGCAAAAAGCTCCCAGCACGCGGAGCGAAACGTCAGACGTCGCACCGAAGAATCGAATGGCATGACCCGGCGAAAATGCATCTGGGAGCTGTACGGCACAACCGCAGTCGTGGCTCACGCGTCGATGCACTTTAAGCCATGCAGGGAAGCTAGACGTAGAGGTGCATAGGCGGTTTTCAGTGGAAGCCACGTGCTGGCGGTAGTATTGCCGCGAGCAAGCAAGGGGTGCGGCTGGTGAGCGCGGTGCCCCGGGGCCGTGTAGGAAGTGTGCGTAGAATTTGTGTATTTGGCGTAGGAATTGCACGCTGTCTGAAATTGGCCAGGAGCGACACAAGCAAGGGACCGTCGCTACGGCCCTCGTCCCTCCCTCCGGAATCTTCGCCCCTCCACCCCCTCCCGGCATCGTACGCAGGGTGACGGTCCGCACGCTAAACCCTTCCTTGGGGTTTCTGTTACCCGCGTCGAAGTCCCACGATGTTGTTTTAGCCGATGGAACACTCGCGATGGGACTGCTCGCGCATGTGACACGTTTTTGTTTCTGTAAAAACTAAAATCCACGGATTCGCTCTCGTCGGAAAGTGGGGTTCTGCGTCGGCCGCTCCACTGTGAAGTCACGCGTCACTGGCGGCGGTGGCGGCGGTGGCGGTGCTGCTACAGGGTGGGAACACGTGCAGCGGCAGCAGCAGGTGGTGCAGCAGCTGGTGGTGCAACTGGCGTAGCCGCCACCAGCAGCAGTAGCTACCGCCGCTCGCGTGAATCTTACCCACGCTGTGCAACCAGGATTTTCGTCTGGGGGGTTGAGGACAACTTAACCAAAACGTATTTATGTCGTTGAGTCTGTATAGGAGACTCGGGATTGGTCGAGCCAAGTTGCTGGCAAGTGGTGGAGCTTGCTGAAAAATAATATATTTAGAGAGACATTTGCCACACAGATCCAACACTTGCAAGTTTATTTGTTTAACCAGGTATGAAGTCAAGATACCAGGACAGTTTATTTTGCAAGAGTGACCAAGGGCTAAGCAACCTTCATCTGAATTAGAGCGCGTGTGGCCTTGGATTGGGCGACTGGAGGTTGAAGCCTCCTTCCCATGACAATTCAGTGGCGACACTGGCTCACTGAAATTGGCTCCTAATAAAGGACAGTATTTCTTTCCTAAGCTAAATGTCAGCATCCAAGTATCCACGGCATCTATTGCCTTGCCACACTGAAGAGAAACCAAAGTCTTTCAGGCCCTCTTCCAAGTACAAACGGACAACTATCCAAGCCCTCCAGAGTAGGACCCCTGTTTTTTAATCTCTGCACATGGCCTCTTACTGGGGGGGATTTGAAGCTCCCCCACGTTTTATGGGAGAATATCATCGGAAGCGTCTCCACGAGATAGAGCCCGTCTAGAGACTAGGTGGGTTTACTCTTTCACTCTGGACAGATGTCTTGGAGGAGGATGGAGTACTCGCACTGGTAGGCCCTCCGCATGCGACTTGCTCGCTCGACTAACTGCGGTACACGTACCCATTCATAACCGCTGGGTGGACACAAGCGGGAGGGATTTAAGAAACTTGCTTCGCCCCCAAAAATGGCGACCTCTGAATTGCATGTCCAGTGTGCTTGACTGTTACACCGCGTCACCATCTTTGAGGGCATCACAACACCGATGTGGCCTCGTGTCTGTGCGTCCTGGTAACCAGAGGGCCACCTGGAGACACCTTAAAACATTCATTGAATTAACAAAAATAATAAACATGTACATCCCGTTTGTCAGTCTGCTGGTTGAAGGCCTCCCCATAACTGCAGTCATGGGGGTTGTTTGACCATACTTCACCGTGCCGGTTGGTGGAAGGGGTGAGAGCCCAGGACTGGTTCCGATATCACACTCGCCACTGATGTTGGCCGGTGGTCGGGAATCGAACTCAGGTCGCAGGGTTTATAGCGGAGTGCTTTAATAATCACTGCGCCACCACGCTTCATACTTTTTATTTCGAAATAAGCCCTTTATATCTGGAAAATGATCCGTGAGTCGCTACTCTTTATCTGGTGGAGGCGGGGGGGGGGGGGGGAGAATTTGCTACAACTGGGATGGATGTCTGGCATTTCCTCGTGTCCTTGCATGTGGTAGGGAACTGGAGCGCCCGCGGTCGAAAACCCACACATTTGATGGCTCCGTGGTACCGTTCGCTACAATATCCGACGTTCGGCACCACGTCCCTAGGGGAGCGCATTCAGTGAAACTGAATTACCCGGCATGTGGAGCGAAACATTGGACGTCGTGCCAACCAACCACACGCGCGGCCACTACCCCAAGAAGCACGGCCGGGGGGGGGGGGCAGGACAAGCTGCACAGCACAAAGGCGAGAACACCCGCGCAGTGGGAGTGCTTCGGAGCGACTGAAATATACATCTCATCTCGCATCCCTCCGCGGCGGTTGCGTATCTCACGTCACACCGCATTACACCTCCACGAACACCCCGATTGGGCAAGTGTGTGTCCCCCGTACCACAGCTAGGCGCGCCGCCGCCACACCTTGTGCGACTTTTGAGACGTCTTGATTTTTCTCAAGATAATCGTTGTGAAAGGGCGCGTGATGACCGGCGCGTGCGCGCGCGTCATTTTATAACGTCGCGTATTTCGATGCAATCTGTCTGCTCACTGGGTTTGCCGTTTTGGGGCTCTGCGTTGCTGTGGAGGCCCTGTGTCATGTTTACCAAGGTTGGAACACTGCGATTATCGCCGAGTTGCATTAGTATACAAATAAAGCCAGTTTTAAACACTTTTGCCACAGTTTGCTTCATTTTTTTTAAAGGGCATGAAATGACAAGTGGGCCGATAACGTTGGATAGGATGGTTAAAGATTCATATCCAATGTTTTGGGTCAGGCCACAATTATCTGGCCAAATTCAAGGCCGTTATCCAACGAGCCTTTTGCCTGTCCAAGGGACGGGTGTGTATTGCAGTGAATATGAAACTTGCAAGCAAAAAGCAGACCGCGACGTGATATATTCATTGTATTAATGCGTGTGCAATTTGTCAGGGTGCGGTGACACAGATCTATTTCATGTAAAGTTTACAATCCCTTGTTCATCACGACGTCCTTTTTACTTTGATGTCTCAACAGCGTTACGGAGATCACGTGACGTGAGGGTTCTGCCTTTTGTAGAGGGCTGTAAGTTGACGCCGAGGGGGGAGGAGGCGCCTCGGCCCCCCATGTGGAGTGACGTCAGCCGCTAATTATGAACGGGGGGGTGTCCATTTGAAGGACGTCACCTGCTCATGAATATTAATGAGGGGGAGGTTGGTCGATGTGGAGTGACATCACGAGCGTTAAGGGCATTCCTGGGTGCTTTATAGTAGATTTCGATTTAAAGCTTTCGTGACTGCAATGATTCATCTTCTTTGGATCTTTCGGTAAAGTCACGTAGAATGAGAATAAAATAATACATTGATAAAATAACACAATAATATTCTCACGACGTTTCGGCCACAACACAAGCGGCCTTCATCAGGTGAAGGGGCGAGACTGTCTGGTAGGACAGCGCTGGAGTGAAAGAGCCACGTTCAGATCACGGCCTTTAAGCTGTGTGAGAGGAACAAAGCGCCTTGACAAAGGAATTAGCATATAATTTAGCATTGAAATGGCTGAATGATTAGCTTGTGACTGGTCACAGAAATAGCTATGTTAAAAGTTAAAGCATACACATCCGCAGAGGCACCCATTGTTAAAGGAATTAGCATAGAATTTAGCATTGAAATAGCTAAGTTAAGGCATACACATCCGCAGAGGCACCCCTTGACAATGGAATTAGCATAGAATTTAGCATTGAAATAGCTAAGTGATTAGCTTGTAACTGCTACAGCAATAGCTACGTTAAAGTCAGAGCATACACATTCACCGAGGCACTTAGTACAAATCAAACAGGAGAATTTAGCATTGAAATAACTAGGCGAATTTAGCATTGAAATAACTGAGTGATTAGCTAGTGACTGGTCACAGAAATGACTACACATCTGAGCTATTCACAGTACTATATAGTGAACCAATAAAAACTAAAATATAAATTACCTTCATGTTATCAATACACTATATTCTCCAATCAGCTAAGTAGGTATAGGCCACAGGAGGCACTGTGCCTCGGGCCTCCTTAAACTAAATGTGTGACCCGTGTTTTTTGCTTGTATGATAAAAAATGTTTTCCCAAGATATCTTCTTGAATAAATATATTTATATGGCAAGGATAGTGAACAGTGTATATACAAAGAGGCAGTCAATCGTTTTTTTTTTTCAAAGAGAGAAATTAACACCAGAGACGAACATTTAGATTAGAGATTTTTTTCATTGCGAAATTAGCAAATAACATCTTCAAATTGTGTTTTTCGCACAATCGAGTGACGGCGGCAGTAGTAACACGCTGCAGCGGCAGCAGTACCCGCTGTAGAAAGTTATCACTTAAGGCCCTAACGAACCTTAATCGTGGCAATTGCCATTTGGCAGTGTTGGGTGGCGGAGGGTTTTACGACAGCATTTGATTTTGTCCAGATCATTCCGTGGCCAAACCCAAACATCAATGATGAATTATATTGCCCGTGAAAATCTACTCCCGAGTTAAGGATAGTAGTTTCAAGTTGTTTCATTTATTAGGTATAGCCCTGTGAGCCATGCCGCTCTTGAGTCGGTGTGCAACCGCAACAAACAAAACATGAACAGAGAAACATGTTAAAGCGACGACGCTCAAGAGAAACATCCTGGGATAAACCAGCAAATCTTCCAGAAAAAAAACCCCACCGGATTACAACGCCGTGTGCAAAAATCCCAGTGTGTGATGCAAGTCAAACAATAACAACCATAAGACAATTTAGATTAAAGTTATGAGGCCAACTCCGCTCTTCCGCAAGAAACGTGGCTGAATCATATGTTCTCGAAATCACCAAAATAAAGCTATAAAAAACAATGTAACAACAGTAATCATAGGAACTGTATGATTAAAATTTAACAATAAACGATATACATAACATGTACGACCAAACTTGCAGCCATAGTTGGTAGCATGACACTCCCAGCGTATGATGTGTGAGTGAGTCAGTGGTAGTGTGAGTGAGTGTATGATGAGTGAGTCAGTGGTAGTGTGAGTGAGTGTATGATGTGTGAGTGAGTCAGCGTATGACGAGTCAGTGTATGATGTGTGAGTGAGTCAGTGTATGATGTGTGAGTCAGCGTATGATGAGTGAGTGTATGATGTGTGAGTCAGTGGTAGTGTGAGTGAGTGTATGATGTGTGATTGTATGATGTGTGAGTGTATGATGAGTGAGTGTATAATGTGAGTGAGTCAGTGGTAGTGTGAGTGTATGATGAGTGAGTGTATGTGTGAGTGAGTGTATGTATGTGTGAGTGAGTGTATGTGTGAGTGAGTGTATGATGAGTGAGTGTATGATGAGTGAGTGAGTGTATGATGTGAGTCAGTGGTAGTGTGAGTGAGTGTATTATGAGTGAGTGAGTGTATGATGTGTGAGTGAGTCAATGTAAGTCAGTGTAAGATGAGTAAACACTGGATGGAGTTTTTCACAAACTTACAAAGCACCCTGGCTAACCCAAGTGGCTCCATCATCTAGTCCGTTCGTTGTAACCCTGAAAAGCCAAATACATTTGATAGCGAGACACGCCTGTTCGACATTTGCCCATAGACGTAACGATGCCCATAAACGTTAACGTTGCTGATCTTCGGGGTTAATATCCAAACGCGGTTTGTCCTCACAGCTTCCCGTCGTTTTTCCGCTTCACCCCGCCTCAACAAACAACAACAAGCGCCATTCGCCACTAAGTGGCGGTGACGTCACCACGGCGCCTGTGCCAGGCTAGGTGCACGTTGTGGCCACGTGAAGTGTCGAACGCCCGCTGGCAGGAGGAGGTCACGGGGCAGACCCAGGTGCCACGGGTAGCCTGACGCACCCCCCTCCCCCTCCTCCCCATGCGTTGTGACGTCATCGCAAGGAAATGTCACGTCATCGCAAGGAAATGTGTCGTTATCGCAAGGAAATGTGACGTCATCGCAAGGAAATGTGACGCTATCCCCCACCCCCCCTTTGTTGGTCATGAAGTCACCCGCCCCCTCCCGGGTCGCCGTGACGTCTTTCCGAACGGGCGTACAATCCTACATGGGAATAACGTCATGTTGATGGGGGGGGCGTGACGTCATCTCGGTAGAGAGAGGAGGGGGTTCGCATGACGTCACCGTGTGCGTCGCGAGGTAGGGCCGACGCTGAAAATCAACACCCGGACGAGGAGACGAGGAGAAGCAGCGCGAAAGAGAGGCAGGCAGGCAGGAGAGAGAGAGGCAGAGAGAAGCGGGCGGGAGAGAGTACAAGGTGGGGGAGAGAAGCAGCGGCAGCTGAAGCGGGAAGCGCAGGGGCCAGCAGCAGCAGCAGCGGCGGCGGCGGCCCACGACTATGGCCTCCCCTAGGCCTTACAAGCTGAGCGACAGGGGCATTCGCCCCTCTGAGGTGAGCAGCTGGCCCTGCCCTCCCTCCCCTCCCCTGCCCTGCCCTGCCCTCCCTGCCCACCCCTCCCCCCCTGCCCACCCCTCCCCCCCTGCCCTCCCCTCCCCCCCTGCCCACCCCTCCCCCCCTGCCCTCCCCTCCCCCCCCCTGCCCTCCCCTCCCCCCCCCTGCCCTCCGCTCCCCCCCCTGCCCTCCCCTCCCCCCCCTGCCCTCCCCTCCCCCCCCTGCCCTCCGCTCCCCCCGCTGTCCTCCCCTCCCCCCCTGCCCTCCCCTCCCCACCCCTGCCCTCCCCTCCCCCGCCCTCCCCTCCCCCCCTGCCCTCCCCTCCCCACCCCTGCCCTCCCCTCCCCCGCCCTCCCCCCCTGCCCTCCCCCCTGCCCTCCCCCCCCTGCCCTCCCCCCCTGCCCTCCCCTCCCCCCCCTGCCCCCCCTCCCCCCCTGCCCTCCCCCCTCCCCTCCCCCGTGCCCTCCCCCCTCCCCTCCCCCCTGCCCTCCCCCCTGCCCTCCCCCCCTGCCCTCCCCTCCCCCCCCTGCCCTCCCCCCCCCTGCCCTCCCCTCCCCCTGCCCTCCCCTCCCCCCCCCCACCTGCCCCCCCCCACCTGCCCCCCCCCACCTGCCCTCCCCCCCCCCACCTGCCCTCCCCCCCCCACCTGCCCTCCCCCCCTGCCCTCCCCCCCCTGCCCTCCCCCCCCTGCCCTCCCCCCCCCTGCCCTCCCCTCCCCCCCCCTGCCCTCCCCTCCCCCCCCTGCCCTCCCCTCCCCCCCCTGCCCTCCCCTCCCCCCCCTGCCCTCCCCTCCCCCGCCCTCCCCTCCCCCCCTGCCCTCCCCTCCCCCGCCCTCCCCCCCTGCCCTCCCCCCTGCCCTCCCCCCCTCCCCCCCCTGCCCTCCCCCCCCTGCCCTCCCCCCCTGCCCTCCCCTCCCCCCCCTGCCCTCCCCCCTCCCCCGTGCCCTCCCCCCTCCCCTCCCCCCTGCCCTCCCCCCCTGCCCTCCCCCCCCACCTGCCCTCCCCCCCCCACCTGCCCTCCCCCCCACCTGCCCTCCCCCCCCCCACCTGCCCTCCCCCCCCCCTGCCCTCCCCTCCCCCCCCTGCCCTCCCCTCCCCCCCCCTGCCCTCCCCCCCCCCCCTGCCCTCCCCCCCCCCCTGCCCTCCCCCCCCCCCCTGCCCTCCCCCCCCCCTGCCCTCCCCCCCCCCCCTGCCCTCCCCCCCCCCCCCTGCCCTCCCCCCCCCCTGCCCTCCCCCCCCAATGCCCTCACCTCCCCCCCCCAATGCCCTCACCCCCCCAATGCCCTCACCTCCCCCTCAAATACCCGCCCTTGCCCGTCCCTCCTTTCCCTCCCTCCCCCTATCTCCCCTCCGCTGCCCTTCCCGGCGCCGCCGCTGCTGCCCGTACCTGAGCTGTCTTCCCAACCCTGTTCGCTCACCTGGGGAAAAACGCGTGCCTGGCAAGACACTTGCGGTGACACGGACAGGTAGGGGGCCCGGCTATGTGCCCCCCCCCACCCCCCACATTTATAAACGTTTCGGCGCTCGTTTAACGCGGTAGATGCGTTTCTGAAATGTTAAGCGAAACCAATTCCCCGCCTCTCAATAACTAACGTAACGATAAAGTTTCACGAGATAACGACGTACGCACACCTACGTGAGGAAGTGAAACTGCGGGACCTCCCGATTAGCGCGGTCGGTTTACGTACGGTGCGAAAGAAGTCCAACGTACAGTGTGCGTACGGGGGCAAATAATTGTTAATTTTACGTCGCCTCGTTCTGTATCGCTGTACCGCTCAGCCGCGCTGCTCAAGGAAGTAGTTCGTCGTTGACCGCTCAGAAACCGCGTTATAAGGGGCGCGTTATCAGGGGTGCGTTTCGCGTTATAAGGGTCACGTTATAAGGGGCGCGTTATCAGGGGTGCGTTTCGCGTTATAAGGGTCACGTTATAAGGGGCGCGTTATCAGGGGTGCGTTTCGCGTTATAAGGGTCACGTTATAAGGGGCGCGTTATCAGGGGTGCGTTTCGCGTTATAAGGGGCGCGTTATAAGGGGCGCGTTTCGCGTTATAAGGGGCGCGTTTCGCGTTATAAGGGGCACGTTCCGCGTTATAAGGGGCACATTCCGTGTTATAAGGGGCACATTCCGTGTTATAAGGGGCACATTCCGTGTTATAAGGGGCACATTCCGTGTTATAAGGGGCGCGTTCCGTGTTATAAGGGGCGCGTTCCGTGTTATAAGGGGCGCGTTTCGCGTTATAAGGGGCACGTTATAAGGGGCGCGTTCCATGTTATAAGGGGCGCGTTCCGTGTTATAAGGGGCACGTTATAAGGAGCGCGTTTCGCGTTATAAGGGGCACGTTATAAGGGGCGCATTCCGTGTTATAAGGGGCACGTTATAAGGGGCACGTTATAAGGGGCGCGTTCTGCGCTGTGCGAAAAGTCTTCCCAAATGGCAGATCCGCGTTATGTACTCGTCTTCTCTGCTCCTCTGCTGCCCCAGCTTGAGACTGCCCTCTCCTCGCTTGCACTGCCCTCTAGTCCCCTTGTATTTGTACCCGTGCCTTGCCTTCTCATATTCGCTGGCCCACACGGCCCGACTCTGCCCTTGTGCTCTGCCCTCGCATTGCCCCTTCTGCCTCGTCCAGCTCCGCTGACCCCTCCCCCTGAGCGGTCAACTGCCTTGCCACCACCACCACCACCACATGGTTGCGTGGAACTAACTGGTCACGTGCAACTGAATCCGCCCGTATGTGGACGCCTCTGCGACCAGTTGCGCAGCCGGTCGCTGCCCCCACCGCTTTTCGAGCGTTTATGTCCGTCGGCGATTTGTAGCGACTGAGTTCACCCATGCGCTGCGCGTTTGAGAAGAAAGGAAAAAAGAAGTGGTTCGTGCATTGCTAAGACGAAGCGAGGGTGAAATGTCCTCGTTGCGCAACTGCTCTCTCTCTCTTCTCTCAGAGGCGGGCAAATTAAAAGTCGCGCGATTTTGAGAGCGATTTGGTTGGGCAACTGATCGGCCAGACGTTTCTCTCGGGACTGGTTTATTTGGGTTCTCGTCGCCGTCAGTTGCGCTTCCGTTGCTTGTTGATTGTTGGGAACGGCCGTTGTTGTTGTTGCTGCTGTTGTTGTTGGTTGCACCGGGGTGGGAGTGGGGGTCGTCGTAATTGGACCTTCATCCACAATTCGTAACAAAATGGACTAATAATGTTACGAATTCCGTGAATACAAACAATACTGATGCGCTGTGGGGGGGGGGGTCTCCTTGGCATTAGTCCGACTGAGAGCTATGTGTAAATTGCAAAAAAGAGTTTTATAGAAATAATATGAACATATAATACGTAGTAATCTGGGTTTTTTTTTTGCGTACGTAAATTTTGTGTTCGCTTACACCGATGACGCGGCTAAATGTTAGTGCTGAAGATGAGTGGTGCCGAGCTATGTAAAGTGGCATCAGGTACACTCAAATATTTGGTGTCACTTCTACCACTTCCAGGAAAACTCAACTATTACCCCAGCGGGGAGGTCTTACCACGACCCACCTCTAACTCTGCATCAGTGGCAATTGGTTTACTGAATTAGCGACGAAATACAGTTGCCAACGGCGCGTTATGAACCGAGATTCCAAAAAGATTTGCGTAAATAAGCGATAATTCACGGTGTGACAACACATTAACTTTTTTATTGGATGAACAACAAAATGTTAATACGTCTTTACAGAAAGATAGACATTGGGTTCCCTGTTTTGTCATCCCCCTGCAATACACAGACGCAATCAGACAATTTTACCACCACCTTATCGGCCCTACACAGTTGCACATGTACACCAGGGGACTGGCAACAACATCAAATATCAGAGGACTCCGCCTTCACGTGGGAAGCCTCTCCCTTATTCTGTTCGTTGCTCCCCGGACCACGTCAGCCTCGTGCTCTGCCACACTCGCTCTCTCAATCCCCGAGATCCACCCAGACTCTGCCTTGTGGGTCTCCTCTTGTCCACTCGACACGCACCCTTGATGCTGTCCTGCTGCCGCCAGACTCGGGAAGGATAAAATAAAATTTGTATATTTGCCAAAACTACACGTGGTCGCTTTCAATTGGTGCAAGCATTATTGATAGTGTACCGTGGTCAGGTGACGTTCCGTCTAACTTACTTTTATTCAGCCCTTGCCTTGACAAGATACCCACGGATGCTGCCAGCTTGCATTGGTTAAAGTAACGCTGTCCTGCTTTGTGGCCCCCGGGATGAATGTGAAGCTACTATTTTTACTCCGAGCACTTATCAGTCCCCTTCCAGGATTTGAACTAGGAACCTTTTGCTTGTGAACTGCTGTTTTGTGTGTGCACGCTTGCTTGTGGTGTATGCAGGTGAATCGCAAATACCTCCACACCAACTCGACCAGTCATACCTGGCCTTTCAGTGCATTTGCCGAGCTTATCGGTGAGTCCGTGTGATGTACAACAACAATAATAAACATTCTTTTTATAACTCAGTAGGCTCACATGACATTGACTTTTCCAAGACAGAGGTTCTTTGCAAGCCATCTGGCTACCATGAGAGATTCGTTCATGAGACTGTCAAATCGCTTTCCGTGGTGCTAACGTTAAAAATTACCGCCACTTTTTTCAAATTTTCTTGCTGTGGTATTTACACCTGATGATGATTGCTTGTGTTGCAGTCGAAACGTCGTGAGAATTTTATTGTTTTATATTTTTATTATTTTATTGTTTCCCTTCTACGTGACTTTACCGAAAGAACCAAGAATATGAATCCCTGCAGTCACGAAAGCTTTAAATCAAAATTTTTTTTTTTTATTGGAGGCTATCGCATAGATAGGGGACGACGTTGCTGTGTGGTTAAATTATTTTTAGCAGGTTTGTTTAAAGAATTAGCCAAATTTATACCATCAGGCGGGCAAACATAACCTTCCGAACGGAATGGTTTTTAGAAGTAGGTTGTCCCAGCCAACTTCTGTAACAGGAAATGAATGTTATGTAACATGTATTATGTTTGCTCAATGTTTTAGACTTATTCTGTCATGGTGTCGTTGTTATGATTTATATTTGTTTGGTTTTTCTCTGATGCCGTTTGCTTCAATGTTGTACTTAGTTTTTTATTCCTTTGTCATGGTGACCCACGGTCACTCTTGCAAACGAGGCTCACCTTGGTCTCTTGAGTTCCCAACCTGGCTAACCACAACAAACTTTAAACCTGAAACGAGCTCTCGCACAGCAGGGGAGCACTGGTGGAGCGAGCCTGCCTGTCATGTCGCTCCTAACACCCCGGGACCTTGTGCCGTGACCTCGCAGACAACGCGTACGACCCTGATGTCGGCGCCAAGCAAATCTGGATCGACAAGACGGTCATTAACGGAGAGCAGTGCCTCATGTTTCGCGACAACGGCAAGGGCATGTGCCCCGACAAGCTGCACAAGATGCTGAGGTACATATATGCACACGCACGGAAGCAGGCGTCGCTGCGTTATTCGCCTCCGTTGGCCGTCGTCTCGCACTCAGGTTTCCACTGTTTTGTAGGAAATCCGGACGGATACTCCGGCTCGTGACAATGCCAGCACAATCAGGATACTGTTGGAATATATAAAATGTAAATTAACTGGCAATAGAAATTGCCCTGATCACGGGATGGGCTTCTACCAGCCTGGTGTTATTGGAGAATAGAGTTCAGGTTATTTGCATTTTCCCCACAATGCTCCACAGTTGCGCGTAAGAGAAGCGTGAGCCCAGGTCTGTGTGAATGGCACTCAAAGATCCTGGCCTCTGATTGTGTGCGCTTGGCTAGTTGCATTTCTTTCCCTTCATTTTTGTCTGTAAAAGAATGTCGTCATGGTTGGTATGTTGTTTTTTTTACGTTTTTCTACCGGTTCCATATTCTCGTTTACATGAAAAGCACGTTCCGATACTCGCCGTCTGTACCGCCCACCTACATAACCATGATTGTAACCAAGTTCCGTACCGTGTAGTAACATCTGTGCTGTCGCAGGACACTCATGAAATGGAGCCTAACAGCTCGTCGGGCCCTTCCTGCTGAAACAAATACAATCTGTCGATGAGCAATTTGTATTTATTGTCAATACTATTCCACTCCCTCGCTCCACTCACTCCCTCCGCTCCCTCTCTCCACTCCACAGCTTTGGATTCTGCGAGAAGCAGAAGGTGGACAACCACGTGCCCATCGGCATGTACGGCAACGGCTTCAAGTCGGGCTCGATGCGCCTGGGCCGCGACGCCTTCGTCTTCACGAAGAACGGCACGCAGATGAGCGTGGGGATGCTGTCGCAGAGCTACCTGGAGGCCATCAACCAGGAGACCATCATCGTGCCCATCGCCGTGTGGGGCCAGAAGGATCATATCCTTGCTGAGACGCCGGCGCTTTCCTCGCCGCCACCCCCGCCGGACGCTGCGCCGGCCTCTCGATCGCGGCTAATCGTACGGACCAAACGAACGCTGAATGCGCCCCGGTCTCGTTAGATCCTGTGCCAGACGCCGGTGCAGGATGCGGGACGTCCGACAGCCACGATGATGAGACGGACCTTGTTCAGTTTTGTGGAGGATTTTTTTATTCCGCTTGTCTACCCAGGAGAGCCTCATGACTCCTTTTCATGAGGGTCCTGCCAATTGTTCATTCGGGGACGGTGATGTCCTTTGTGTAATCCCAATTGAGTCATTTACAGAGAATTTACAAAGAGCATGTAATATTTGGCCAATACCAGTTACATTGTGTTTTTTTAATTTTAGCTTCAGGAGGATAAGGGAGAAACCCAGAGGGAAATCCATGCAGAACAGGGGGAGAGACGATACAGACTCCACACAGACAGGCACCCAAGTCGGGAATAAAACCCAGACACTTCTTGCTGTGGGGCACGGGTGTCGCCACTGCGCCACCACCCTGCTGCCATAGGATAAGTGCCTAACAGCAACACAACCTCGCACTGAAAGTTCTCCTAAAACACAATCCTGCTTCGGTGTAGGATGAAGCCAGACATCACAGGTGCAGGCTCTCGATCCTCCAGTTGTTAGTTTTCGCTTGGGTACAATGTGCTATGTTGTCAGTCATTTTTATTCTCTGTAGAGGAACACTGTTGCACCGCATATCACATTATCGGATAGCCCATCCCTGGTATGGAGTCGAACCTTAACGCTGTCCCGTCGCCGGCGCTTACATAAGCTGGAGCGTGTGGAGGACCGGGAGGTGAGCCTGCGCGACATCCTCCACTACTCGCTGTTCAGGACCGAGCAGCAGCTCCTCACCGAGCTGTCCGCCATCCAGACGCGCACCGGAACCAAGATCATCATTTGGAACTTGCGCCAGTAAGATGGGAGGAGGCCCCACAAACGCCAAGCAGCCGGCAACAAACAGCACCGTTTAAGTTGAATTCGCAAGAGTGTGTTTCTGAGTCGGTGACTGTGTGACCGTCTCTCGCGCGGTTTGTCTCAGGAACCGGGCAAAATCGCTGGAGCTCGATTTTGAGACCGACAAATACGACATCCTCATCCCCCACGACTTGGTGGAGGAGCAGTTGGGGTTGAACACCAGGCAGAGCTACGGGGAGAGGCAGCGACAGATGGCGGACAGCGAGTACTCATTGCGGGTACGCGTGGGGACAGCGTGTGCCTGCGTATCGCTTGTGTGCGCGCGCGTGTCTGTTTGTGTGTGACAGTGCACGTGTTTGTAGGTGGCACAGTGGGGCGCACAGGTGGTGCATCTATCGGTCGTCTCGGGTAATTCACGACACGTGGCTCTGTCCCGTGCCCTCGTGTGGCGAGGCGATGACTCTGGGGCAGCGGTGGGGGAGTGTTGTGTTGTGGAGTGCGTGTGGGTGTGTGTATGCGACTTGAGGATGGGATTTGCGGTTGATGACGATGATTATGTTGATGACAACAATGAAGATCACGATGATGATTTTGCAGGCATACTGCAGCATCCTGTACCTGAAGCCGCGTACCCAGGTGATCCTGCGTGGAGCCAAGGTGAAGACTCAGCTGATCGCCAAGAGCCTGGCTCACATCGACCACGACATCTACCAGCCCATGTTCCTCACCTCCATGGTACACAAGCATGCAAGCATGGCCGTGGGGGCACACACACCCTCTCCTACCGCTCACCTTTCATCTCGCCTTACTCCCCTCCACACACGCTCCTGCAGCTCCCCTGTCACCTCACCTTACTCCTCTCTCTCCACACCTTACTCCCCTTCTTGGATTCTCTGCTCCAACAACCAAGGCTTCTCTGTCGAAGCCCAACACTCGCAAGCGACCAGCAACAAAAAAAAAACACTGTCGCATTTCAGATGGGTAAGAGTGCAGCCCGTTTCTAGACTAAAGCAAGGTTGTAAGAGCTTAGGGGGGAGACGACGCGAGTGAGTTGCACAGTCGGAGTGCGAGGGAAGAAGCATAAAGAGAAGTGAGGTGACCTGTGGTGTGGTGAGTGCTTGGGTGAGCAAGTAAGTTGGTGAGTGGGTGAGTGATTGAGTGGGTGGGTGGGTGGGTGAGTGGGTGGGTGAGTGAGGAAGTGAGTGGGTGGGTGAGGAAGTGAGTGCGTGAGTGAGGAAGTGAGTGGGTGAGTGAGCGAGTGGGTCATCGAGTGAGTGAGTGAGTTCTTATGACCTGCGATATTCTGGTGGGGGTTTAACACGGTGCGGATGAGACGAAACATTCATTCTGGTCGTGGGTGGAGGAATAGAACTTGATGAGCGGAGTGCTGAGATGTGGACACACCTGGACACGACATGAATCCGACTTGCAGAACTGTAAGCGTATCGTGGCCGGACCTTCGGAGAGTTGCCTCGTGTGTTGGTCACCGAGAGTGCGTGTGTTTATTCGTTGCCCCAAAAGTCTGTTAAGGCTTTGTCCTTGTCTCTGTAGAAACGTAAAGTGAAGGTCACGTTTGGGTTCAACTGCAAGAGCAAGGTGCACTACGGCATCATGATGTACCACCACAACCGCCTCATCAAGGCCTACGAGCGCATGAAGTGTCAGCTGCAGGTGCATGCACGCCGCACACTCACCGCCCGCAACGCTTCCCCCTGGGATGCGGCGGTGCTGGCTACTTTGCCGCACGTGGCCGCCTGTAATCCGGCATCGTAGAGGCAGCAGCAGAGAGGGTTGGTGGATCACCGCACTGATGTTGCGAAGCTCCCTTCCCCCGTGAGAGTCGCGGAGAGGAGAGGCGTATCCTGGCTCACCAGGAGACGTCGGTAACAGCAGAGTGCGGACTAATTTCACCTGTCCCTTTTGTATGGGGTAGAGTGCTGCCCCCGTCACACGCTTGGGTTTTTTTTCCTGGGGCTCCGGTTTCCTCACACACCTTTAAACACTCATCTTAATATATGGTGGACTGCAGAGCTTGGGCAATTGTTGACAACACAGGCTCCTTACCACGTGGCTGCTGCTGCCTTGCCGCTCGTCTGTGGTTCTTCAGCGATTGTGAGAGACGCGATTCACTTGAACGCCGACATAGTATGAATCAAATATTACCAGCCCTCTTCCCCCACAGCATTCACCACTCGCAACACTCACCGCGCATACCACTCACCCAGTCACAACACGCATCACACATACCACCAGTCAAAACACTCACCACGCGCACTGCTCGCCATTCATCAGTCACACCACTCGCAACACCACATATCACCCGCGCTGCTCATCTTGCACAGCACAGGCGCATCGTTCAACACACACACACACACACCGCTAGCCCCACACACCAGTCGTCACGCACGCTTCTCACTGCCGCGTGTAAGCCACTAGGCACGCAACACCACACGCTCGCCTCTCGCCGCGTGCGTTGAATGCACCGCTCACCGCGCTCGCCACACGCGCGCCGCTGTCTTTCAGGTGAGCGGGGTGGGTGAGGGCGTGATCGGCATCATCGAGTGCGACTTTCTGAAACCCACCCACAACAAGCAGGACTTTGACCAAACCAACGAGTACAGGTGAGCGTGCGGGCCCACGATTCCAGTCTCTGGCGTTTTTTGCCGACGGTGGCCGGATTGGCGGGTGACGGTCGGGGGCAGGGTCCTTGGGAAGGGGTCGCTGCGCATCTCCTGTGGGACGGCCGAGGGCTCTGGCGGAGGGTGACGTGGACGCGTTGGAGGTGCGGCGGCATCAACGGCTCGGGCCCGCTGTGACGCCTTGACCTCGGTGTTGTCAATAATTGCATTGAAAAAAAAAACCCCAAAGATTATTGATTCACACTGCCTCGCCGACGTGCGTTGACCAGAGTGGTGAAGTGTGGTCAAACATGTCCGACGCGGCATGGTGATGCCCTCGTCCAGCGGTGACAGACCAAGGGCGTTGCGTTATCTACGTGACGCTTTCCAACTGCGTTTTGAAGTGCTAAGGCTACAGCTGCTCTGCATATATTCAGCAATCCTCCTCGAGGCCTTTCAGACTTAGCGTGATGAATCCGCTTACCTCTGGGCTAACGGAACGAGCGCGACACACGACACGGGCGGGTCGGTAACGAGCCGGCCTTGCCCCTCCGGACGTATTCGCGCTCTATGTACGTATGTATGTTGAACTTCTTTCGCACTGTACGTAGCCAACCGTGCTAATTGGAGGTGCTGTGCGTGCCGTGTGGGTTCGCCGTCGTTCAGGCTCACGCTGTCTGCCGTGGATCGCAAGCTGCAGGAATACTGGAAAGACCGCAGCAATCTGAGTTCGTTTCTCGTGGATTCCACCTTCAACAGCAAAGACCTGATGTGAGAAACTAAACACAGCAGACCTCTCCCTCCACATACCTTCACGTACAAAACGAAAGCACTTCTTAAACAAAGGCGCCTTTGGTTCCAGTTGCTGGGTCACATGTCGTGATGTGAGAAGCTCCGATCAGGATTAGGGTCGTTAAGTCCGGTTCTGATAGCGTTATCGATAATTGAATACGAAAAATTCAACCTTCACCCACCCGCACTGACCCGCGTGGTGAAGTATGGTCAAACAGGCCCCATGATTGAAAAAGTCTTGGCGATGCCTTTATCATGTACTTGACGAAGGGCTGTAAGTTATGTAAAATACACATGAGTACGTAATTGGTTGTCACGTGACGAGTCGCATCCGGAATGCTTGGTTTGAACGTTATCGCAAATTTCACCAAATTTCGAATCGTTCTTCATAAATTTCCTGATTGGGTAATTCATGAGTAGCAGCAACACCGACCCCCCAACTGCGAAACTACTGCCGACTACCCGTCTGTGAGAACGTTGTAGGAATGACGCGAGAACCGAATGCGCCCCCCCCCACGATTTGAAATAAATGGCGATGGTGACGATAATGGTTTTGGCGAGAGGTGGTGTGGCGAGCTGCAGGCCGGCGTTCATGGTGCGCCGTCGTCCGCGTTGTGCCGCCTGCAGAGAGAAACCCGACCAGATTTGGGCTCAGTGCGACGGCTGTCTCAAGTGGCGCAAATTGCCGGATGACATCGGCAAACTTCCCGACAAGTGGTACTGCCAGCTGAACCCTGACCCACAATTCAGGTGATTCCCTCTTACCCCACCACTTTCCCCCCCCACATTGTAACACTGTTTTTTTTTAATAATAATGTTTGCATCTATATGACGTTTGGCTCAAAGTCCTCTGTAACTGGCAAAGTGGAGCCAAAGCTTACAGACAGCAGGAAAAAAAAAACACAATGCTAACAGAACTTGCCTAGGCATCACGGCTCTGCCGGCGGAGGCTCGCCCTCCCCCGGCAGAGCCCCTGTGGTCTCATCGCTGCCTACGGTCGTACCGTTTCCTGCACGCTTCCGTGACCGTGGCCAATTTAAGTACCTGCGGGGAAAAGAAACGCACACTCGTGGAAAGCGTCTCGGATATCTATTCTCAGTTGGTTTTTGTGGTTTTCGTGCACACGCCAGGACCTGCGATGTCTCCGAAGAGGCAGAGGACACCGATGAGATGGACGTCTACAAGAAATCCATCCGCCGGCGGTAAGCGGCCCACCCGGGACACCTCCGGCCGCCCTGACCCCTCGCGGCCCTCCTGCGCGCGCGTTCGAGTGGTGCCGCGCGTTGGCACGACGGCGTTCCAACGTTTCCCCTTTGCGTGCCGGGGAGCTTCATTGGCTTCGGACGGAAGCTCCCGTCGCGTGGAGCGAAACGTCGGACGGGACGTCGCGCCCGAACGGAGCGCGACGGCACTCCCCCCGGCACGCGCGGGAGGGCCGCGTGTGGCACAGCCGCACGCCGTGGCGACCGCCGGCTCCGCGCCGACGGCGACCCTCGTCGTCGTCAGCCTGGGACTCCCCCACCGCTGGGCAGAGGGCCTCCCCCATTCTCCTCCGCTCCCTCCTCTCCCCAGCTGTGACCTCTGCTGTCTGCTGCTGCTGCTGCAGTCTCTCCTCCGCTTCTCTGCCGCTTCTCTCGATCTCCGCTCAGGAATTGGTTTTCGTCTCTCGTCAGTTGATCTCGCGACGTGCGCTGCCCGTTCACGCTTGCTTTCTGTGGTTGTCAGCACTTGTGACCGCTGCGCTTTTTCCCGTCTTTCTTCATACGGTCAACTTAGATTGGTCCTTTAAAGCATGCAGCGAACCCGTAAGACTGCTCAAAGCCTATAGCGATCCTATAGGACTGTCGCAGAGCCTACGCCCAACTCGTGTGACTAAATCGACCCGAGCCCTGTTTTAAGAGTCTCTCTCTCCCATCCACATAGAGAGCTGAGAGAGAAGGCTGAGCAACAGCAGAATGCAAGGCTGCACAAAGAGGTGAGGTTACCTTGTCCTGCCCCGTGCGTCACCTGTGTGTGTGTGTCTCTGTGTGTGGGGAGCGGTAGTGTAGGGGTTAACACGCTGCACTATGAACCCGACGATCTGAGTTTTACTCCCACTCACGGCTAACACCAAGTGACGATTATCTGAACCAGTCTTGGGCCTCCTAGTGTCACTTGGCCTCAAATGAGTCCCTGGTGCGGTGTGTAAACATCACCACTGGGGAGACAAAGGCGGTCGGGCGTGGTGCTGGCCACCCACCCGCTCATGTGCCGTGCCGGCCTTCATAGGTGCCCACGGATAGCACTTGCCCCAAAAGTCTCTGAAGGCTAAAGGATGCGGTGTTTGTGTTTGCGTGTGCGAGTACCTTGGAACAGCCGAGTCGCTCGTAATCTCGTGCCTTTCCGGGATGGGAATTTCTTCTGTCAAGCGTTGGCCACGCATCGCCGTGCCCATCTGCGTCTCCACTTGCGAGCGCGCCCCTTTGTGCGTACTCGCTGTGATGGCGCGTGCCGTGACTGTGCGTGCGCGCGTTATCTGGGTCGTGTTCCGCAGGCAATGCAGCGTAAAGTGCAGCTGGATGCCCAAGCTAAGCAGTCGAACCAGGTACGACCTGACCCAAACCCCCCCCCTCTCTTCTCCACTCTCCACGTTTCCTCGTCCGCTCCCATGGTCAATGCCTGCCCCACTGTCAATATCACTGTTGTGGTTGCCGTTCTTAGCTCTGTAGAAATCAGCCCTCGTGTGCCGGGCCGGCCTTAATTAGGTGCTCGCTAACAGCACTGGCCCCCGAGAGGAACCCGATTGGTCGAGTAGTAGAACCGATAACCGGTACAGTAATCGATTACGGAAATAATTGGGAAGAGCCCAGCTCCACTTGGCCTGCGCCTTCTGTCTCCTGCTTCTGCCACCCGTAGCCTCTCGTCTCACTCACTCCTGTCGTACTCTCCGGCTCTACCGTCCAGGTGGTTCCCCCGCTGGTTATCCACACGGTCACCGACGGCAACGGCATAACCAGCGCAGCGGTGCTGCGCACGGGGAAGCCGCCAATCCTCGTCAGCGCCACCGCGCCCACCGCCGGCGCTACCGCGCCATCCGCGCCGACGGCTAGGCGGCCCCTGGGCGGTGCGGAGGCCGCTGGTCCGGAGATGGTGCAGAACCTGATGAACAGGGTGATCCAGGAGGCGGCTTTCCTCAAGCGCGAGAAAGAGAATCTCAAACAGCTGTCCCGCCAGGTGGGCCGACGTCCTCGAATTGCCCGACATGTTCATGCGACATGTGCCGTACGGGGTCCTAGCTCGCGGTTACGGAGTTAAAGTTTGGCCGTTGGTGGGAGGGTGGGGCCTTTGTCTGTTGTGATGACGTGTATTTGTTCAATCGTAATGCAGAAGATGATGTACAAAGAGAGTGGCTTCATCGTTTGCAAAATGCAGCAACCTCAGACCTCCGCTGAGCTTGGTTAGCGGACAGAGGCTTCAATATTACCACGGGTGCTTAGTAGTAAAGGACATCTCATTTAAAACACTTTGTAGAATTTGTGCAGGGGAAATGTTTGTAGCCAGCCAAAGGAAGGGAGTACGTCCAACTGGGAGATGGAGCGGTGAGATCAGCTTGTGTGCAGGAAGCAGGTGGTTCAAAGGTCAACTTTATTCGGGTGTGACAGCGTTTCTGACTTCACCACCAGTAGCTTAAGTCGCTCTCCCTCTACCCAACGCCCGACGAGCACAAAAGGCAAACGGAGAATCCGGATGGCAAATGTTACCAGTGAGTGCAGCAGTACCAACTGCCTGATGTAAACCCAGACGGCCTGTCCAGCAGCAGCAGTAGAATGTGCAGCTGCAGTCCCGTTTATGAAGTGTTATCCGGAATCAGATTTGCCTGATTAACCTCAGGCTTCTTCGGGCCTTCTTCAGGCCTACCGGAGGTTTGGTGCTCATTGTTTGTCATTGTGGTCTACGGAGACCGGTTGTAGAAGGAGGGCAACTTGAGCAATCTGGCGACAAGAGTCGCATACGCAGGCAAATCCACATTAAGTTTAAATATGAATTCTCATTGAAGGCGCCAAAGCCTTAAATTGAGCTGGACAGTTCGCCGCATCCTGTGACCGTGAGGCATGGCGGCGGCTTGGGAAAGCCCTCATCAAGCAATGGCTAGAGCATGGACGTGGATGATGACGATGATGACGATGAGGATGATGATGTGAGTGTGTGTGAGCCGGGCATTGGTGGGGGTGGGGGGGCGGGGGGCAGTAGTTTAGTGGTTAGCGTGCTACGCTTCGAACCCGACGATCCGAATTTGATTCCCACTCATGGCAAACACCAGTGACGATTGTCTGAACTAGTCGGGGGCCTCCCCTAGATCAACACAGCCTCAAACGAGTACCTGGCGCAGGTGTGTAAACATCAGCTTTGGAGAGACAAAGTCACCCGGGCGTGGTGCTGGCCACCAACCCATCCCCTCGTGTGCCGTGCCGCCCTTCACAGGTGCTTGCTAACACAGCACTTGCCCCAAAAGTCTGTTAAGGCTACGCGGGGGATCTTTGTTGTTTTTTGCAGACCGTACAGGCAGACACCACGGCAGTCGCAGAGATATCGCGGATAACCGCGCAGCACAAAATGGCGTCTTGCTCCTCCACGGCGTCCCCCTCCACCTCCTCGTCCTCCGCTGCGTGCGAAGGCCTTCGCATCAGTGACGTGAAGAGCCTGAGCGCGGACGCCTCGTGGCAGCAGCCGTCCCCGTGCGCCAACGGCACCGGCTCCGGCCCCGGCGGCGTCGCCAACCGGTGGGTTCCAATCGAGTTGCGCTCGCCCACAGCCTGACCGCGGCCACGCCGTCGTGCCCCGCCGGAGGCTTTGTCGGTGGCGCCCCGCGGCTCTGCCGACGGCGTTTTTTGGAGTTGCGCCGTCGCGTGCCGTTGGGCACCGCGTCCGTTGTTTTGCTCGGTCCACGGTCCGGGGCCCGGGAGCTTCTTCAGGACAACCAATTCGCTTAGTTTCTCGGGGAGCAAAGGGGCATCGTGCCGAACAGCGCGCGGTGAAACTGTTGTAAGCACATCGGAGAGACATCGGCGCCGTGTCACGCGAGACAAGGAATCCGCGTGGAACGCTCGGCGACCCCTGCTCACGGCCACTTCACATCCGGAACGGTCTCCACCAGAGGGTATTTGGTGGCCTACTGCTCCGCCCCAAGAGGGCCGTAATATACGCCTGTGCGTACTTTGGCTTTACTTCGCACCCCCTACGTGGCCAACCGTGCTGGTCGGCAACGGCGGTTCACCGCGTTGTTTGCGCGCCCGCGTAGAGCGAAGCGGAAGGTGGAGGCGTGCGGGATGGACCAAGCGAAGCGGCCGAGGACGGAGCCCGCGGAGAGCTCCCCGGCCGCGAACGGCGTCGTCTCTTCCTGTGCGGGCGCCGCCTCGGCGTCCTCCATCACCGTCGATGACGACGACGACGACGACGACGACGTGATTTGTCTCGACGTGAAGAGCTCGCGGGTGCCGCGGATCGACGCTGATCTGAGAAAGGTGGGGGGCCCCGCGCGTGCGCGCGTGTGCGCGTGTGCGCGTGTGCGTGCGTGTGTACCTGCGTTGTGTGCGCGTGTGTGCGTGTGTACCTGCGTTGTGTGCGCGTGTGTACCTGCGTTGTGTGCGCGTGTGTGCGTGTGTACCTGCGTTGTGTGCGTGTGTGTACCTGCGTTGTGTGCACGTGTGTGCGTGTGTACCTGCGTTGTGTGCTCTGCTTTGTCCGTACCGCCGCCTCCGAACTGCCGTCCTGTCGGCTTTGATTCGGCCGTGTGCCTGAGTGCGCAAAAGCCCAGCGCTCGAGGGACAAAGGTTCGCAGGTGTGGTGCTGGTTACGCCCACCCCCTTGTGTGCCACGCTGGCCTGAAGAGGTGCTCGCTAACGGCTTCTGGCACGATGCCGTCTCAACGGTTATACGGGGAGACCCGTGCCTGGTGGCCCACGCCTGTAACGCGGCACTGCGCAGGCGACGGTTGGTGGATCGCGCAGATGTCGTGAAACTCCCAAACCCGCTGAGCAGCGAGTTTGCTGTCTCCTGGCTCGCCAGGGCATGCCGATGGCAGTACAGCAAGTGGATTAATTTATGTCTGCGCCTTCTGTCCGGGTGTTGCGCATTGCACCTACCCCTGCAACGTGTGGGTTTTCTCCTGAGTGTCCCGGTCTCCTCTCGCATGTGTAAACGCACTCATCCATGGACTTGTCCAAACATCCCGATATCGGTCCACAGGGCTTAGGCGGACGATGGCGCCAGTTACGGCTGCCTGGATCTCGACAAAACCCGTGCTGCGCGTTGCAAGCGTATTTGTACTATTGATTTGCGCGCGCGTGTCCAGGTGAAGCAGGAGGCGGACGCGTCGACCGGGCCGGACAACGAGGCCGCCCAGGCCCGCGACGCTGCGGCCATGTCTTCCCACGGCGTGCAGACCGTGACGCTGCCCTTCAAGTGCAAGGCTGAGGAGGAGGACAGCGGCGTGGGCGACGCGGGCGACTCCGCCGTGGGCGCAGGTGGGGCCCAACAAAAGAAGGGACGGGGCGGGCGAGGGGCGAGGCGCGCGTGGAGGACGGGAAGCCGAGCGGCGTGCCGATATTAAAATCGCCTCTTGCACGAGTGATGCACGCGTCGAATATCGTGCCCGCACGCGCACGCGCGCGCTCAAGAAGGATTGACTGCGTTGTACGTTGAGGTCCGCGTTCGGAGTCGGGGCCTTGCTCAGGCTCGGCTTAAAAGCCGCGAGCCGACCCCGAGTCACGTGCGGTGTGGTACATAGTGTGGCTATTCTCACCTCGTTCGAGACGTCTAGCAGAGTGTGCCAAAATACCTTCACTGGAGGGGCTTTCTGGAGCACACCCTAGTGGAGCTCTTTTGCCTGCGGTAGCTTGAGCAAGAAATTGCAGGGCTCCACCTTTACCTTTCATTGATCGGCGAATCCACGCATCGTTCCCTCCCGCGAGCAGAGAGGGCCCTGCAGGCGCTTCCTGTACAATCGGACGTCAATGCGTTGGTGTGTGCGCGTAACGGTAGTGTAGCGCTCAGCGCTATGAACCTGGCGACCCGAGTTCGGTTTACGCTCGCACCAGTGACGGTTATCTCAAACCGGTTCTGGGCCTCCCCTAGGTCGACTCAGCCTGAAAATGTGTAGACATCTCCTCTGGGGAGACAAATGCGACCGGGCGTGGTGCTGGCCACCCCTCCCCCTCGAGTGCCTTCCTGTCACACGAGTCCACATGCGCCGCTAACGGTACTTTCCCCCAACAGTCCGTTAAGGCTATACGTGTTGGGGGGGATCTTTGTCTTTGTATCGGGGATCACGACCACCACAGCGGGCGCCGTCCCTCGTGCCTCCAGCGCCGTGGACACCCTGCGCCGGGAGAACGAGCGCCTGCAGGAGGTGGTGCAGCGGCTACAGCAGGAGCTCGTGACCCGCACGGTGGTGAAGGAGGAGGACAAGAAGCAGACGGAGGAGAAGGCGGAACGTCTGGCGATCGTTCAAGCTGGCTCGGCGAAGGTGGGTTACCCCTCGCAGCCGGGGCCTCGTGACTGCCGATTGGACGACGAGCTGCGATCTGCACGTGCGCAGCATTACCACGAGTTTGTAGGAGGAGGCAGTTCCATGGTTTTGGACGCTTTGACTGTATGATTAAGCTGACACTGCTGAGAATCCTGGGTTGAAATCCGGGTTCACGCATTGACATCCGCAGACTCTTTGAGTCGCACAGAGATTGGCAGACTCTCACAGAGATCCGCAGACTCGCCCGGAGACCCGTAGACTCGCACAAAGATCTACACAGTCGCACATAGACCCACAGACTCACACAGCGACCCGCAGACTCGCACAGAGACCCATAGGCTCGCACAAAGACCCGGACAGTCACACGGAGACCCACAGACTCGCATAGAAACACACGGATACTTATAGAAACTCAGAGGCTCCCGTCTTCGCCCGTCGGTATGCCACTGGTGCCGCTCCGCAGGTGGACAAGGAAGTGGGCGACAGTGAGGCGGCGCCGGACGAGGTGGACGCGCTGCGCCAGGAACTGCAGAAGCTCAGGAAAGATGAGGAGGAGTGGGCGTCCGTGGTCAGCCACCTGATGAAGGAGATCGAGGATAGCATGACGGCGCACAAACAGGTGATCCCGGAGAGACCGGTGCCCATCTTGGCACGAGGGCAGCACGCTGGCGACGCGGTGATAACACGCAGCAAGATGAGCCCTGGGTTGGATTCCCGACTCGGGAGCCTTGCCGCGTGGAGTTTGTATTCTTCGATTCCCCTCGCGGCCGAACGGGTCCGGGGCCTCCCCTAGGTTGACTCGGCCTCAAATGATTATCTGGTGCGGCGACCACCTCCGCGTGTGCCGTGCCGGCCTTCATCGGCGCTCGTGAACAGCACTTGCCTTGACAGTCTGTTAAAGGCTATGCTGCGGAATCTTTGTCTTTTGTGTGTGCGAGTGGCGTTCGTATGTTCTCGCTGTGTTCTGCTCGTGTTTCCTTCGTGTTCTTTAGTTTCTTCGCCTAGCTCAAACAACCCACACATAGACACACAATGTATCTGGCATCGGCCAAAACATCCCCAACGCTAAATGCGTGAACGCCTTAGTTGGAGGCGTCAACAAACTCCACTTGGCCACTCTTGAGCGTTTTGCCCGCGCGCCATGTGCCACCGCAGGCGACCGCCGAGAACGAGCGGCTGAGCGAGGAGTGCGCCCGGCTGCGCGCGGCCGCCCCCGGCCAGTCTCCGGCCACAACAGAGGCCGGCACCAACACGGACGCCGCCACGGACGGCGCCACCGACGTCGCCGCGGGCGTCGCCGGAGCTGCCACGGACGCCGGCGTGGACGCCTGCGTTGGCCCCGACGCCGACACGGTAGTTGGGGGGTGGTCGACAGCGCTCCGGTCGGCAGTTCATAACCGTCCCACTCTGCAGTGTGTCACGCCGGGCCCTGTTGACAGTTCCGGGGGGTGGGGGGGCCGCGGTGCGTTCGTGTCGGCTGGGGGGCCGCCGTCCCTTCCCATAGCGACTTGGCCCCCCCCACACCCAGGCTGTAGGCACAGCGGCCAAGTTGCCAGGAGATTCCCCGCGGGTAGGGATGGAAGTTTCGCGAATGGCACGCGTGATCCACCAACCCCACCGCTGCCGTGGGGTCCACGCTCTATGCCGCACGGCATAGAGCGTGCGCACCGCGTCGGGCGGTAGGTCTCACGCCCCCCGCCCGCTGTCGTTTGCCGCCCCCAAGGCGAGAGAGACGATGGAGGACGGGAGGAAGCTCCAGGCGGAGCTGGAGCAGCTGCAGAGCGAGAAGGCGGAGCTGGAGCAGCTGCAGATGGAGAAGGTGGAGCTGGAGGCCCGGGAAGCAGAGACAGCCATTTACCTGTCCCAGGGAATGTGAGTTGTGTGTGTGTGCACGCCAGCGAGTGTGTTAGAGCGAATGTGCGTGCGTCTTTGTCTTGAGCGGTTAACGGTAGTGGAGCGGTTAGCGCGCTACGCTACTAACCTGGCGAGCCGGGTTCAATTCCCGCTCACGGCCATCACCAGTGGCGATTATCTGAGCCGATCTAGGGCCTGCCCTAGGTCGACTCAGCCTCAAATGAGTACCTGTTGGGGTAAAATCGCCACTGGGAAGACAAAGGCGGCCGGGCGTGTTGCTGGGCACCCACCTCGTGTGCTGTGCCGTCCTTCATACGTGCTCGTTAACCGTACTTGCCCCAAAAGTCTGTTAAGGCTATATCAGGAGTCTTTGTCTTTATATTAGAATGTATAAAAATACATGCTCAATACAAAGGCTCCATGGATTGTAATTTTTGCTTTTGTGCGTACGAAAGGTGAATAGTTGATGGCTAATCATTGGTGTTGATGATGGTGGCTTGGGGGAGGAGGGGGTGGGGAGGCCTTTCACGCAGCAGTGGATAGATCATGGCCAGCGGCGACGACGATGATGATGATGCGTGCACCTCGCCCCGTGCGTCGAGGCGCAGGTCCGACAGAGACAGCCTCGTGAGGCTGCGGCAGAACGTGGCGCGGCTCCTGCAGAACCTCATCCCGGAATTCCAGATGCCGGACGACCCGACGCTCGTCGACGACATCGTACCACAGCTGCTCCAGTCCACGTCGTCTTGAAACGCGGGAGGCGGCTCCTCACACGGCCGTGGTGGACTTCGGCAACCCTATTTTTAAACTATATATATAAATAGCGATGTTTTTCCCCCCCCACCCCACCCAAAGGTTCTTGTGCTGTGCTAAGCCTGACGCGGCAAAACATTGACACACGCTGGCCTCGCAGGAAATCTCTTATCTGGCTCGTGGGAGCGGGGAGGGGCCAAGCGGGGCCAGGGGGCACTAACGCCGCGCGTGGCGTCGGTAACGTCTCGACTCGTCCCGTTGAGGGCGACGGCAGCGGCAACGGATCTGCTGCCTCTGCAATGGAAAACAGCCCTCGGCGTGGCCGCTGCTGTTACAGCGGGCGTCGTGCAAACCGTGGGGCGGGGCCTGACCTGTGGGTCTCGTTGCCCAGGGACAAAAGATCTTGTGGCAGATGGAAGCGTCCGGACAATATGTGGTGGGGGACGTACGGGACGTGGACGACGGGATTGACTCGAGCGGAACCTGTTTGTTAACACGTCGCCGCCGCCGCCGTCGTCGCCGTCATCGCCATCGTAGCCATCGCCCGCACAGCAGAGAAGGGTGGACGGACGCGCCTTCTCTTGCCACCCTCTCCGCTGACTAATTGCCCCCCCCCACCCCCCCAACTTTTCCACCAAATGGCAGCCTGTGTACGTGCACACAACATTGTGCCCAAATTGATTTACCTAACGCCGCTGCCCCCACTCCCCCATCCTGGCTTCGGGTTGCGTTGTCCCCAGGGATTAATGTTGGCTGTATCCTCCGCACCGCATCCAGTGTACCTCTCCTCTATCAACTGTGTGACGACTATTTTCTACTCGTGTGTCACCTGCTCCAGTCTACACCAGCAGCTTAGGTCAGCCCACCCCCAACACCAAACATTTGGTCATCCGAAATGTCCTGGGGTACAGAGGTGCACGTGTCATGGCATTCCTTTTGAGTCGGCGAGTGCAATGCCCGGTGTGTGTGTGTGTCGTACGCCCTCCGCCACCTGACACGGCCAAATGAAGTGAAGTTATCGTGGCCACGCATTGTTACCGCATCGGCAGCGCCTCCGGGGTTGCTGGAGAGCGATCCGCTCGCGTTCACCAATTGCGCGCGGACGTTTGACTGGCCGTCGCCACTGCCATCGTCGTTGTGATCGTCAGCGGGCGGCTTTCAGGATTGTGAAAATATCCCCCAGTCTTCTTGGGGCCTTAAATAGGTGGTGTAATGTCATCAACACGGCCCCATGAGGTTAATGTACACGCACAAATGTATGTGTTCTGTCGGGGGAGCTTTTACATATCTGGCTGCGTCGGGTGGAGGAGGGCACACAACACACACGGGCATTGAGCTCGCACTATGGCGATCTGACCCAAAACTCTAAACGTGAGTAATGTAATGTTACATTTTAAGGTAGGCGCAAACACGCTTATCCAACCGTATTGTTTCCATACCTGTGTACACGCGCGCTGGGCTTGTTTGGTTTGTTGCACGGCCTTCGTGTTGATGGTGTCCGACAAGGACGGCCCCGATTGGCGTGCCACATCCTCGGCTTGGACCGTGCGACCTCGGTGCAGCCACGGGCACGCCGGGCCCTCCTCGGAAGGGAGTTCCACGTTTGTTACATTCGGCCTGACCGCACAGTCTTTCGTAGAGCGCGTTTTGCATTCGCCGATGGTTTTTTCTGATTAATTAATCGGGGAGGTCCTGGTCGCCGTGATGCTGCCCCCTGTCCCCCCCCCCCCCCCGAGGGGGGATTTTCGGTTCGAGCCGGGTTGCGTCCCCGTGTCGGTCAAGCGCCCAAAGTTGCCTCCGAGGCTCGGCACGGCGCGTCCGGTGTACCTCTCGTCGTGGCACCGTTCCGCCGAGCGAGCGAGCGAGCGCAGTCGTCGGACGCGGCTTCCCACGGTCCTCCGTGGGGAGTTGCTCGCCCCGGAGGTGAAGGGCGACTCGCTGAGCCGTCCCGCGCCTGCGGCTCGCAGCCACGGCAGCGTTCGACGCACAACGAAAGTCGCCATCCCCAACACCCCCACCCCGGCCACACGATGCTCCTGTTTCACACGGATTTCACCCCGATTTAACATAACTATGGCAATGTTGACCTGTTTAAAAAAAAAATGTGATTTTTATACTTATATAACGGCAGTTTCATATGCAGGTTTAACAAATAAATGTTACCCCTTAAGCAAACACCAGTATATAATTTCCTCACAAACTTTAACCTCGATTACGAACACTACTACGATGTGTGTGTATATAACCACGTGAAGAACTATACTTAAATCAACTGCAACTCGCTCGATGGTGCTCGAAAACAATTCCCGTCGTCAGCCGACGGCACTGATTCTATGATCGGTCCCATAACACGAAAGAGAGCCCTTGCCAATGCCTGAACAGCTCTCTAACCGCGCTCCGACTCCACGTCAACGGCTGTGCGAGGTGAAACCACGGCCGCCGCCGCCGCCGCTTTTATTTTGTTCAGGCGTGACGCCCGCGGTTCACCGACGGGAGTCGGCGCGCACCCAAGGCGCCTCGCGATCTTGACGCGCTCCGAGCGACTCGCCGGCAGCCCCGAGTCACGGCGGTGGAGGGCTCGAGGTCATCCCAACGCATGGCCCCTGAGCATCTCCCCCGCTCCGTTTCGTGTCTACGGTGGTCCGTACGGTGACCGCGGTGTTTGTACGGGGGGGGGGGGGGGTCTCTACGACCAAGCACACCACAGACCCCACTACCATCTTCCTTAACCACTCCCACCTCTGCTTTTTTCTTGTAACCGTAGCTACACCACCACTTTTAATAACCCCCCACTTTTTTTTACCAGTATCATCTAATGTACAATGTAATCATTACTGTAATGAACTTTGGACTCGGGTGCTACATACATCCATGGAAGATAGGATAGTTGGAACACTGTCGAGCAATGCCGGATTATCCGAGTAACACAAGTAGCTGCATACGCTACGGGGCCCGCACTTTGAAGGACCCCGCGCTAAATGCTTTCAAGCTATCAATTCCGGTTCAGTGATTCTGCACTTGCTCTATCACTATAGTACTAGACTGCCTTCAACTTTTATCAACGACTGGGTGTTTTAAGGTTAGCGATTTGTCGTATTATCTGGCAGTATGGCAAATGAAAAAATACAATTACTTTACTGTGCAAGTAATTGTTTTTATTTATGGCCCCTTTATAACATATGCTACAGGCCCCGCACGAGTTTAATCAGGCACTGCTATCGAGTTGACCATGCCGGACTTGGCGCCCAGTAGCCCCCCTTGCCTCATCCCCACCCTGTGGGGGGGTGAGGCGGGCGAGGGGGTAGAGTGAAACGCTTGTGAATTGCGGCGAAATCCCCGGGGGAGGGTTTCTAGATCCACCTCTGCGGTGAAAGATGATCTTTAGCAGCCTCTGGGTGGCGATTGTGTTCCTGTACCAGAGCCAGTGTGCTTATGGACTCGTGCAGATTCTGTAGCCTGAGGTTCTCACGCAGAATCAGGTAGTTTCGGCCGCCTGTGGAACAGATTGAAGCTCTGTGCGGACAGCAGACAGCCTGAGCGATGGGATTTGACGTTAACCGAGCTGACCTCATGGTCGCTGCCTTCGGGCGAGTGAGAATTGTGCCCCGTTACAAATGAGCATTATTATTACTCTGCTTTATCCACTGCTGGATAAAGTTCACCCGCTGAGCAGGCCACCATCTCCCGTGATCCCGCGACGCAACGATCCGTGGAGCCCCTGTAAACGTGAGCCGATCATAACAACGGAGACCGGACATCAACTACAGGAGGCTGGATATATAAGAATTTATTTTTTTATTCGATTAAACATAACTTAAAACACGGACCTTTGTATCCAGAGAAGTGATGCGTTCAAACTTTGGCCCCGGGCTGGTGAAAGGTAGTATTTGTCCTTTTAAAACAAGGAAATACTCGCTCACATAAATTTGCATAGACCTGTAGATGCACTTCCCGTCGAAGTCCCGGAAAAATCCACGGCTGTCAGAAAACAGCTGAAGGCAAACATGTTCGAAATATGCGGAAGTGAGGCGGGGTAAAAGCTATGTCATTGTCCAGGGTATGTGTGTGCTGTACAGGTGTATCTGCAGTGCAGGTGTCTGTACAGGCAGGTGTTTAGGTGTGTGCTGTGGTGTTCCGAACGAGCGATTTTTGGATTCAAGTTATGCGCCGTGCACGGCTCCAGAAACATTTGAGGACTGGCTTCAAATTCGGCTCCCAAGTTCAGCTCCGAATGCAGTCGGTGCCTGACTGCACGTGCAGCAACGTGTCCCGATTTCTATTCACAGCTTTGGAAGATAACGCCATATCTGGCTCCGGGCTTTGCTCACGTGGAAAATTCATGTCCGGTCCTTTACACAGCTTCACATGTGGCTCCAGAGAAATGCTTCACAGCAAAGGCTCCTAGACCAGGATCCAGGAAAGTTGTCTGGCTCCAGAAAAGGTATCTTGGTTCCGGGTATCCGGCTCCAGGTGTCCAGCTCCGGGCACGTCCGACGAGCGACCTCAGTCTCCGGGCGCGGAGGAGGAGAGGTCGCCGATGGCGCCAACGGCGATGAGTCTCCGCAGGAGTCGCTGCTCACTGCGGATGCTGTGGGAGCTTGCCTGCTGCTCGCACGCACGAAGACAACGACCCACCCCATATCGCCATATCAGACTGGAGGAGCAAGTGCTGTTTGCGATTCGCACCGATTAAGGCCATCATGGCCCCAGGTGTGAGTGGCCAGGGCCACGCCCCCAGCCACCTTTTTCGCCGTCGTGGCAATGTTTAAACACTACGCCAGCTGCTCATTGGAGGCTGAGTTGACACACACGCATGGCTGGGTGTGGGAGGGGTGGTAGGGGTAAGGAGGACGAGGGGTAGGGGTGGGAGGGGTAGTAGGGGTAAGAAGGCATGGGGTTGTGAGGGGTAGTAGGGGTAGGAGGAGGACTCACTGCCAGCAGGGACGCCATGGTATCGTTGCTGTAGTAGTGCACGGGCTGCCGTGGGGCGCTCATGTTGTAGCCGAAGCCGGCGATGGAGACCTCATCGCAGAAGTGCATCGCCAAGCCCAGCGCCATGAGCCCCATGGTCGGGATCTGGCATTTCTGGCTCGCGGACGCAGAGGAGCATCGTCGTTGGTGGCGGTGGCGGTGAACCATGAATTAACGGATGGATGAACACACGCGTGAATTGACCGATAAAGGAAGGAGTGAGCAAAGCAATGGACAGATGAACACGTGACTCGATAGCCCAACAGACGGACGAACAAGCGAGTTCAGAGACTTCACACGTGAACCTTTCGAACGGACGGGACGGACGACGTGCATGCACAGTGGCCGCACCTTCACTTGTTGCATCTTGGCGAACTTGAGGAGGTGGAAGGCCATCGAGCGGATGATGTCCGGCCTCAGGATGCGGATGCGCTCGGGGCTGTAGCTCAGCCGCGTCGCCACCCTCCTCCAGAACGCGTGGACGCGCTGCTTCTGCGCACGTCCACGGCGAGCATGGCGTCAAGCGCGGCCTCTCTCACCGCCGCCACGAGGATCCCACATTCGCCGCCCTCTTCCGCGCGTCCCGGGTGTCCCAACCGTACCCCCCCCACGCCACGGCCCCCCCTACGCACCTTGTCCCGCGTCCCCGTTCGCAGCCACACGAGCCCCGGCCGCCGGCTGTCGCTCGCGGCCACCGCGGCGGAGGAGATGTTCTCGGCGTAGCCCAGCTGCCACAGGAGGTAGGGCAGCTCGTCCGGGGTGGCCTCCTCTGCGACGCCCTCCACCACGTCGCGCAGCCACAGCAGGTCCTGCACCTTGTAGGGCACGAAGACGGCGAGGGTGGAGTGGGCGTCGTGCCCCCACAGCTCCCGCTGCAGCCCCGAGGACTCCGGGTAGAAGATCCGCAGTGACGTCCTGGAGCCCACGTCCTGCTCGTAGCCGGTCACGGGAGCTTCGTTCATTCTGGGGAGGCGTGGGGGGGGCGCATGGGGGTGGGAAGTCGCAGCACGATCAAAGCTGCAATAGAAAATGAGAGTAATGCGGTTCGTGAATTGAGTGAGGCTGCTCTTGTGACAGCATGGGGTGGGAAAGAGGCGTTGGGAGCGAGTTCCAAAGTGGAGCAGCAGTGCGAGGCAAGACCCAGAAAGGTGACCTGCGGTGTGGTGAGTGGGCGAGCGAGCGAGCGGGTTGGTTCGCGTGTCGTGTTGACGTGCCGTGCGGCGGCGGTGGTGGTGGAACGCGAGAGAAGAGATTAAACGATCTGTCGCAGTTCTCAAGAAGGGTGGAGGAATCTGCCGAGGTTTGCAGTCGTGACCCGACGGGGCGCCCTGGTTAATGCTTTGTGCTCTTGCCTACCGAATGATGATGTCATGCTTGTCAATCTCCTTGCCCAGGGAGCTGTTGCTCAGCACGAATCCGTTACCCACAACCACGCATCTCTTGCATGCATGCCTATATGGACACACGCACTCAAAGACAAAGAGCCCCCGTATAGCCTTTAACAGACTCGGGGCAAGTGCTGTTGGCGAGCACCTGTGAAGATTGGCACGGCACACCACGGGGTGGCGTGGCCAGGACCGTGCCTGGCCGCCTTTGTCTCCCCAGTGCTGACTTTCACGCATCTCACCGGGTACTCATTTTAAGGCTGAGTCGACCTCGGAGAGGCCCGGGACCGTTTCGGATAATCGTCACTGGGTGTTGGCCGTAAAGCGAAAATCTAACACAGGTCGCCTGGTTTGTAGCGTAACGCTTGAACCACCACAGTCTCGCTCCCCACCGGTTGTGTGTGTGTGTACACACAAACGTATACAAAGACAAATATCACATGCAAGGGGGTGGGTGAATGAGGGTAAGGCTAGGGGGGCGGTGAGTGGAAATGCGGTGTCACCTTGATAGTTCCCAGGGCACTGTTGAGTCCGGTAGGGCTCTTAACAACGCCTGGTATTGCCTCTCTGCACACGTGGAGGAGGGGAGGGGGGAGAGGGGGATATCGTGGGAGGGGGGGGGGGTTGGCTAGATGAAGGCCGTGAAATTAAACACGAACCCGCACTCAAGCCGATCTTAGCCCAACTCGAAACGCTGGACCCTCGTAACTCGACACCACGGCCCATGTTTGCTTTGGGTATAGGCCACCGTGGTATTTGATGACAACAATTCTGATGAGCTATAAACGAGGACCCGTGTCTAAGAGGGTGAGGGGTCCCCTCGCCTAGAAGCATCCGACAGTTTAAGTCGCCTGGTGAGCCCCGCGTTTGGTTGGGTTAAAATCGTGGGTTCGTTCCACGCATTACCTTGTCCCAAGACGGTACTTGGCCGGCGGGGGAGAAAAGTCGCCACAGGGGCAGAGTGGGGGGGGGGGGGGGGCACGTGGGTGGGGGGAGTGGTGGGGGGGCGTGTGGGCAGAGTGGGGGGGGGCGTGTGGGCAGAGTGGGGGGGGCACGTGGGGGGAGTGGTGGGGGGGCGTGTGGGCAGAGTGGGGGGGGGGGGGGGGGCGCACACGACCTGTGCCCTCGAAGAAGTACGGCAGGCGGTCCACGGTGCGCACGGGCGGCAGCAGGGGGATGATGCCCCAGAGCGTCCGCGCCACGTCGCCCCAAGTCACGAAGGGGTTGTGCATCCTCCGCACCGCGCTGCGTGGCGACACACACGGAGCAGCGGCGGCCGCTGGGGCCACCCCGGGTGTCCGCGGTTCGTGGCGTCGTGGCAGTGCAGCGGCGTGCTGGCGTCGTGCGGTGTCTGTGGTGTGGGACGGCGTGGTGGCGGTGTGGTGTGTGGTAGTGGCGTGGTGCCGTGTGGTGCAGTGTGGCGTTGGTGTGGTGCGACGTTGGTGTGGTGCGGTGTGGCGAGCACTCACGAGAATTTATTTTCGTGAAGAACGCTTCGTACGTAGCTACCTGAGCAGGGCTGGTGACGACCCAACACCCTGCAGAGACACACAGACACTCAGACACACAGATACAGACACAGCCGCTCAGACAGACACAGCCACTCAGACACACACAGACACTCACAGACACAGCCACTCAGACACAGCCACTCAGACACGACAACCGCCATTCACCACTAAGTGGCGGTGACGTCACCACGACGCTTGTGCCAGGCTATGTGCACGTTGAGGCCACGTGAAGTGTCGAATGCCCACCGGCAGGAGGTCACGGGGCAGTTCCCAGGTGCCACGGGTCGACTGACTGAGACGACTAGCTGATGCACCACCTGTGCCCCCTACTGTGCCAACTTGCCGTGCTTTAGCTACCCGGCGTCCTGCTCGTTGTTGTGAGCGTCGCTCCTCCCCCCTCCGTTGTTGTTGGAGGGCGACTGCCTCCAATTGCCCAGCAGCGCCCCTCACGAGCCTCCTCCACAGAAGCCGACCCGGACGCCGCTGGTACCAGTTATCGGCAAGTCCACTCGGCTCCACATCCCCCTGCACCACATCACTCCATCTCCTCTCTAGCCCGTGCCATGCCCGCCTAGCCCCCCCGATCCGGCCGAACAAAAGCTGTTTAGGCATGCGGTGGCTGGGCATGAGGGCCACATGACTCAGCCAACGCAGCCTTGTCTGCCAGAGGAGCTCACCGATGGGACCCTGCCCAAATCTTTCAAGGATATGCGAGCTCCTCACACAATCCAGCCTGGTTAAACCCAGGATGGACCGCAGGCAGGCCAGCCCAAATGCTTCCAACCGGCGAAGATGTTCCACTAGGGGAGTCCACGTTTTGCAAGCGCAGAGAAGGGAGGGAATGACTGTAACCGAGAAGATCTGAAGCTTCGTGTGGAGCGACAGACCAGGTAGCTTCCACACAGCGTTACGCAACCTATGAAAAGATAATGCCGCTCGACTGAATCAGATAGAGACCTCTGCTATCAAACCGGAGCCAGTCATGAGCACACTGCCCAGGTATGGGAAACTCTCCACTCTCTCCACAACTGTCCCATCACCGATTGGGAATTGTGGGGGTGGAGTGTCCGATGGTACAAAATACCCAGGCAGGTGCTTAGTTTTGGAGGGGCTGATGGTAAGTCCCCACCTCTTAGTGGCAAGCTCCAGGTTCAGCAGCAGCGCGTCCAACTCCTCCTTTGAGTGAGCAGCAATTACCAGATCATCGGCATACATAACATGGTTGGGCAATAGGGAGCCATCCCTTGACCGCACCCGGGCATCGATCAGCCTCCCATTGTATCTGTACCAGATCGAAATTCCTCTGGTACAGCTACTGAGGCTTCATGATCCACGTGGTCGAAATAGATGTAAAATAATGTGGGAGCCAGAGGACATCCCTGTCATACCCCAAAGTGAACAGGGAATGGCTCCAACTCCCAGCCATGTAGTTTTACCCGAGCCCGCTCACCATCATGAAAGTCCTTAATGATCGTGAGCAGCGGATCAGGGACTCCAAAAGCACGAAGAACAACCCAGAGCCCAGGTCTACTAATGGTATCATAGGCCTTGACCAGGTCAATAAAGCAGAGATGTAGGTCTTGTTCGAATTCCCTACACCTCTGCTGTAGCAGACGGACAGAAAATATGGCATCTGTGCAGGACCGCCCTTTCCTGAAACCGCATTGGGGCTCCGCAAGCCTCTCCTCAGCGTGCCTGGCAAGGCGATGTTGAATAATCCTTGCCAGGACCTTTTCCGGCACACTGAGGAGTGAGATGCCCCTGTAGTTGTTACAGTCTGTGCGGTCCCCCTTCTTAAAGAGGGGGACCACCAGGGCATCCTTCCAATCCTGCGGAACCCGTCCAGTGGTCCAGACTGTTATGATTTTTTGATTTAAAGCTTTCGTGACTGCAGTAATTCATATTCTTAGCTCTTTCGGTAAAGTCACGTTGAAGGGAAACAAAAGAATAAAATATATATAAAACACACCTGATGACGACCGTTTGTGTTATGGTCGAAACGTCGTGAGAATTTTTTATTGTTTTATATATATTTTATTATTTTATTGTTTCCCTTCAACGTGACTTTACCGAAAGAGCTAAGAATATGTTGTTATGATGTCATATAGGGCAGTCTGTGCACAAACGCCACCCTCCCTCAGCATTTCGCTTGGGAGATCATCTCTGCCCGCTGCCTTTCCTGGTCTCAGACTCCGGATCGCCTTCAGTACTTCCTCAACAGATGGTACTTCAGCCAGCCACTGACAAGGGGTGACTTCTTCCAATATTTGAGGCACCGCAGCCTCAGCAGGGTCATCCTCACTTTGTGCCACGATATTTTCCTCGCTGAGGGATTTTCCCCCCCCCAGGACCTCACAGAAATGCTCAGCAAATCTGCAAACCTGTTCCTAGGGGTCGGAGATTGGATCACCGTTTTTTCCCCTAATGATGGTAATAGGTGTGGCGCTGCAGGTTACTTTTTTGATGGAGTTAAATAGAGATTTGTGATCGCGGGCCACTGAGGCAGACTCCATCTCCTCAGCAACCCGCGACCACCACCCATCCTTGCAGCGCCTCACGGCTCTCTGAACCTCCGAGCGAAGGCTGCGGTAAGCCTCCTCATTCTCTGACGTGGGATTCTGTAGCCGATGACAGTGGGCCTGTCGCTTTTTCTCAACCATCCTAAACACCTCCTCTGTCAGCCAGGGTCTCTGGGGAGGTCTGGACCACATACCCAAAGCAGCCATTGCAGCTGCATAAGTCACAGTCCTAAACCTCGCCCATTTACCCTCGACATCAGGAGGAGTGGGGGACGATGCCAACCCCAGACGCAAGCGATGATGAAATTCTCGCTTGCAACTTTCATCAGATAACTGAGACCAGGCCACTTTAGGTTGGAATGGGGTCCTGGGTGTACACCCACCACAAGAGTGGAAGAATGGCAGGCGCATCTTACAGATGACTAGTCGATGGTCAGACGGCAGATCAGCTCCACGGTAGGTCCTGGTGTCAAGGACATGGGCTCGCATCCGCTGGTCTGTCACTATGTAGTCCAGCAGATGTTCTTGCTTGGACCTGGCATGCATCCATGATGTTGTGTGGATGCGCCGATGCCGGAACAGCGTGTTGGTAATTACAAGCCCATGGGCTGCACAAAAATCTAGCAGCCTCCTACCGTTGTTATTGAGCTGATCTGGCCCATGCCCTCCAATCACTCCAGGTGCCAGCATCATGACCAACTCGGGCATTGAAGTCACCCAACAAGATGACTCTATCCCGAGGGGCCACTTTAGCCATAACCTGTGACAGGAGGTCATAGAAGGCATCTGACTCATCGGCTTTGCCTGCATCCCTCCACGGATGTTCGTCTTCGGTGGGGGCATAAGTAACCACGACCACCACTCCTCGCCTCCGGTTGATGGGAAGGCGAGCCCAAAGTAGCCTGGGGCTTACAGCTTCCCACACCTCACCGCCACGCTCCCACGCCCCCTTCATTCTTTTGTTCAAAAGAAGAGGCACACCCTGTTGTTTGGCAGTCTGCTGCCCCGAGTAGCGGACTGTCCACCCCTCATGGTGGCAAGAGCCAGAATCGGTCCACCGGACCTCCTGAATGCCACAGAAATCCAGGCGGTACCGGTCCAGCTCCCGACAGAGGAGTGGCAGCCTCTCCTCCGCAGTGAGCGTTTGAACATTCCACATGGCCACACGAAGTGGCTTTTCGTTGTTTCTGGAGAAGCCCCGAGGGTAGAGATTCAATCTCCTGGCTCCGCCAAATGGGGTTTGACTCAGACACACACAGGCACTCACAGACACAGCCGCTCAGACACGGCCACTAGCACAGATGCACACACACTCAGACACACAGATGCACACACAGACAGACAGCCAATCAGACAGACACAGCCACTCACACAGATGCACACACACTCAGACACAGTCACTCAGACACACAGATGCACACAGACACACAGACGCACACAGACAGACAGCCAATCAGACAGACACAGCCACCCACACAGATGCACACACACTCAGACACAGCCAATCCGGAAAACGGATAGAGACAGACACAGACACACCGCCATTCATACAAACATACAGAGATAGTCAGAGATAGACAGAGACACAGACAAACTGATACAGACCTCAGACAGACAGTAAAGGAGAAGGGCTCAGGAAAGGGGCTTAGGGAGCTCTCCCCCCTCCCCAACTTGGTTGCTTGGCAGCGGGGGGAGCGCTGTGGTTAGTGCCAGGGATTATAGGCAGGACTAAGGGTAATGTTAGATTAGGGCTCTGGTTAGTGCCAGGTATTATAGGCAGGGCTAAGTGTAATGCTAGATTAGGGCTGTGGTTAGGGCCAGGACTAATGCTAGGTTAGTGCTGTGGTTAGTGACAGGTATTATAGGCAGGGCTAAGGGTAATGCTAGATTAGGGCTGTGGTTAGGGCCAGGGCTAATGCTAGGTTAGGGCTGTGGATAGTGCCAGGTATTATAGGCAGGGCTAAGGGTAATGCTAGGTTAGGGCTGTGGTTAGTGCCAGGGATTATAGGCAGGGCTAAGGGTAATACTAGGTTCATGCTGTGGTTAGGACGAGAGCTAAGGGTAATGCTAGATTAGGGCTGTGGTTAGGGCCAGGGCTAAGGGTAATGCTAGGTTAGGGCTGTGGATAGGGACATGGATTATAGCCATGGATAAGGATAATGTTAGGTTAGGGCCAGGGCTAAGGGTAATGCTAGGTTAGGGCTGTGGTTAGGGCCAGGGCTAAGGGTAATGCTAGGTTAGGGCTGTGGATAGGGACATGGATTATAGCTATGGATAAGGGTAATGTTAGGTTAGGGCTGTGGATAGGGCCAGTGTAAGGACTAAAGTTATGGACAGAGTCCGGGTTGGTCGAGGGCGGTGGGTGTGCCGAGGCGCCTGCACGTGACGGGCAGGGCTCTCAGCCGCTCCTGTCGTCTGTAAACCCCCGAGACGACAGCCACGGGGCAGTGTGCGGCGCAGGCTGCACGCAGACCGAGCTGGCCTCTGACCCCCAATGACCCCGATGACCCCACGCGGCAGCAGCGGCGGCGGCGGTACACGGCAGGGGGCCAAAGGTGGGCACGGTGGGTGACTGCGCCGAGAAAATGCGGTGTCGCCAGATCGACGGAGACTCTCTCGCCCCCCCGTCCCCGTCTAGAGACTGGGAGGGTCGTGAGTTGTTAAGTACCGGGGAACCCGGAGAGAAACGCGCGCCGACTCACCAGTCGAGTTGCGAGCCATAACCTGCGAACACAAGACACATAAGGGAATTGTGCACGCGTTGTGTATTTCCTTCGTGAAACCGTCACGGCGCAGGTTCTTTGGGCCATGCGCCGGCAAGTGGACGCACGGCGGTGTGGTTTAGGCGCTACGCTCGGCCGCCTTTTGTCTCCCTCGGTGCTGATGTTCACATGCCGTCCCAAGTAGTCATTTGAGGCTAGATCGACCTAGGGGAGGCCCAGAAGCGGTTCAGATAATCGTCACCGGTATTGACCGTGAGCGGGGAATCGAACTCGGGTGGCCGGGTTCGGAGCGCAGCGCGCTAACCGCTATGCCACCGCTCCACACATTCACGCACACAGACATCCACGCTGCAGCCAGTGCCGGATTGAGCTATTGTGGGGCCTGTAGCATATGTTATAAAGGGACTCTAATAAAAAAAACACAAAATATTAAACCACTAATTTTCTACTTGCATAGTAAAGTAATTGTATTTGTGTAGCTACTTGTGCAGCTACTTGTGCAGCTACTTGTGTAGCTACATGTGCAGATACTTGTGTAGCTACATGTGTAGCTACTTATGTAGCTACTTGTGCAGATACTTGTGTAGCTACTTGTGCAGATACTTGTGTAGCTACTTGTGTAGCTACATGTCCAGCTACATATATAGCTACTTGTGTAGCTACATGTCCAGCTACTTGTGTAGCTACATGTGTAGCTACTTGCGTAGCTACTTGTGTAGCTACATGTGTAGATACTTGTGTAGCTACTTGTGCAGATACTTGTGCAGCTACTTGTGTAGCTACATGTGCAGATACTTGTGCAGATACTTGTGTAGCTACTTGTGTAGCTACATGTGTAGATACTTGCGTAGCTACTTGTGTAGCTACATGTGTAGATACTTGTGTAGCTACTTGTGCAGATACTTGTGCAGCTACATGTGCAGATACTTGTGCAGCTACTTGTGTAGCTACATGTGCAGATACTTGTGCAGATACTTGTGTAGCTACTTGTGTAGCTACATGTGTAGATACTTGTGTAGCTACTTGTGTAGCTACACAAGTAGCTACTTGCGTAGCTACTTGTGTAGCTACATGTGTAGATACTTGTGCAGCTACATGTGTAGCTACGCAAGTAGCTACTTGCGTAGCTACTTGTGTAGCTACATGTGTAGATACTTGTGCAGATACTTGTGTAGCTACTTGTGTAGCTACTTTGTGCAGATACTTGTGCAGATACGAGTGCAGATACTTGTGTAGCTACTTGTGCAGATACATGTGTAGCTACTTGTGTAGTTACTTGTGCAGATAGTTGTGCAGCTAAATGTGTAGCTACATGTGCAGCGACATGTGTAGCTACATTGCAGCTACTTGTGCAGCTACTTGTGTAGCTACATGTGTAGCTACATGTGTAGCTACTTGTGTAGCTACCTGTGCAGATACTTGTGTAGCTACTTGTGCAGCTACTCGCGTAGCTACTCGCATAGCTACTTGTGCAGATACTGTGTAGCTACATGTGTAGCTACATGTGCAGCTACATGTGTAGCTACATGTGTAGCTATTTGTGCAGATACTTGTGCAGCTACATGTGCAGCTACTTGTGTAGCTACATGTGCAGATACTTGTGTAGCTACATGTGCAGCTACCTGTGTAGCTACTTGTGTAGCTACATGTGTAGATACTTGTGTAGCTACATGTGCAGATACTGGTGCAGCTACATGTGCAGCTACTTGTGTAGCTACTTGTGTAGATACTTGTGTAGCTACATGTGCAGCTACCTGTGTAGCTTCCTGTGCAGCTACACGTGTAGCTACTTGTGCAGCTACATGTGTAGCTACCTGTGCAGATACTGGTGCTACGAGGATAATCCGGCAGTGTGTGCACCGTTTTGGGGCAGCGCGTCACGCTCCCCACATGGCAGCTCTCCGTTCCCAGCGAAGTGGAATTCACACGAATGCTGCGACTGCTGCTGCCTCCGCCGTGAACAGTGTAACCCGCAATGTGTGAGCGTGGTGGTCCCCAACTTCCACCGCATATCACGAATATCACCCAGCACTCCACCCCCCAGGGCACCAACTTTCTCTTAGGGAGGGCGGTGGGAGGCTGATGGGGGGGGGGCTGGTTAGGGGGGGCTGGTTAGGGGGGGCTGATGGGGAGTTCTCCAGCCTTGGTGCCCCCCGTACCTGCGAAGTGAACGTTGGCAGCGAAGATGTAGACGGCGCACAGCGACGCGAGGCACAGCCCCGCGAAGACCGCGCGGTGCAGCCCCTTGTTCATTCCCCCGCGAGGGGCTCCCTGGCAGCCCCCAGGGGTCCCCTGGCGGATTCCCCGCGCGAGGCCGAGGAGTCCGCGGACCCCCGGGAAGACGAGGGAGCGGCACATGGAGCGCCACGGGCGGGAGCGCCGCACAGCCCCGCGCCTGGACGCGGTGGGGTTGGTGGACATTGTAGGAGCGCGCACGTGGGGCAGCACGCGCGGGCAGCACGCACGGATCGCGTGCAAGGGAGTGCGCTCAGCGTGAGCAGACAGGCAAACGTGGTACGTACGGGGAAGTACACACAGTGCCAGCAGCACACACACACAGTGCCAGCAGCACACACACACAGTGCCAGCAGCACACACACACAGTGCCAGCAGCACACACACACAGTGCCAGCAGCACACACACACAGTGCCAGCAGCACAGACACACAGTGCCAGCAGCACACACACACAGTGCCAGCAGCACACACACACAGTGCCAGCAGCACACACACACAGTGCCAGCAGCACACACACACAGTGCCAGCAGCACACACACACAGTGCCAGCAGCACACACACACAGTGCCAGCAGCACACACACACAGTGCCAGCAGCACACACAGACACACAGTGCCAGCAGCACACAGCACACGGCGCGCGGACACAACGCTCTATCCGCGCTCACAATACACACAGCGAGTGCTCACGACACTCACACACACAGCACACACACACAGAGCACACACACAGCACACACACAGCACACATCACATAACGAGAGATCGAGAGAGAGAAATCGGTACGAGATTCGACGCGGAGACCGCGGCAGAACTGCGATCCAGGTGAGCGTGACGCAAGTGAGGGCGTGGAGGTGGGTGGTGGAGGTGGGGGAGGTGGGTGGTGGAGGTGGGGGAGGTGGGTGGTGGAGGTGGGTGGTGGTGGGTGGTGGGGGAGGTGGTGGGGAGCGGATGGCGCAACGGTTTCGAACCCGGCGACCCGAGCCAGATTCGCCGCTCACGGCCAACACCGGGTGACGATTGTCCGAACCGGTCCTGGGCCTCCCCTAGGTCGACTCAGCCTCAAATGAGTGCCTGGGTGCGGTGTGTAAACATCGCCACTGGGGAGACAAAGGCGGCCGGGCGTGGTACTGCCGGCCTTCATAAGCGCTCGCTAAACAGCGCTTGCCCCAAAAGTCTGTGACAGGCTACACGGGGGATCTTTGTACTTTGGTAGCGGATTGGACCATGTGCGTGACGGCGCCGCCCACGACAGCCCCTTGCGTGAGACGAGAGAGAAATGTGATGCGGTGGAGCCGGTTACAGAAGTCCTCGTGTAAGGGGGCCACTGCCCGAAGCGACCATTCCATCCGTACAGGGGGGGGGGGGGTCCTGTCTGGTGCAGCCGAGTGTGTCGTCGGCTGAGGCGGAAGTCTCAAAGGAGACGCAACACCGCCCCCCCTTACCCGCGACAGTGAAATGGTCGCGTCCGGGACGAGGGACACGTGGACGCCTGAACCCGGTGTGGTTTCACCTGTGGGGAGCGGTGGCGCAGTGGTTAGCGCGCTGCGGTGCGAACCCGGGCCAGCCGTGTTGGATTCCCGCTCACGACCAACACGAATATCTGAACCGGTCCACGGCCACCCTCTAGGTCGACTCAGCCTCAAACGAGGACCCGGCGCGGTTTTGTGGTGAAACGACCGCCACTTTGGGGAGTTTTCGTTCAGTTCAGTTCAGTATATTTTGGTATAGCCCTGTGAGCCATTGGGCTCTTGAATCGGGTGCAACCACAACAAACAAAAAAAACACGAACAAGAAAAACATCTTAAAGTGAATATGTGACTGTGCAAACAGAAAATCCATGGAAAAAAAACAGCAAAAAATCCCAGTGGGATGCAAGTCAAACAACAACAACAACCACAAGAACTTAGATTAAGGCCATCAGTCGAACTCCGTACTACAACAAAACAAACATGTCCAAACAAAAAAAACGTTTTCCAAATCACCAGAAAATAAAGCCATAATTGCAACGGAACAGTGATCACAGGGACTATGTGACCGCGCCAGGAAGGTCGAATAGAAGCGGCCACCTCTGGATTGCAATCTCAGGAAGCTGCCGATCATCACGCCACTTTGCGGCGTCTCTGATATCGTGCTATCGCCGTATCGTGATACGCCGTATCGTGATATCGCCATATCGTGCTATCGCCGTATCGTGGAAAACCCTCGCGAAAAATTACACACCGGCCGGTGGGTGGCCATGAGGTGATGCGTGTATCATCTAAAGTCCTAAACTAAAACAACCCTGCCTAGTTAGCTGCGCCTGGTGGTGGCGGGTTTTAACGATGGTGATTTCTAAAAGTTTTTTGGTTTGGCTATGTTTTTGTTTATTGTAGTACGGAGTTAGACTGATGGCCTTAATCTAAGTTTTGTTGTTGTTGTTGTTGTTAGAGTTGCATCCCACTGGGATTTTTGCACACAGCGTTGGTGTACGGTGCTATTTCAGGAATATTTTGGTGTTCTTTTTCCTGGATTTTCTGTTTGCACAGTCACAAAGTCACTTTAAGATGTTTTCTTGTTCATGTTTTTGTTTTTTTTGTTTGTTGCGGTTGCACCCGATTCAAGAGCCGAATGGCTCACAGGGCTATACCAAATAAATGAAACTATACATTTATACAGGTAGTCCCCGACTTACGATGGAGATGCGTTACGACGACCCCATCGTAAGTCGAAAATATCGTAAGTCGAAGATGGCCCAGCCTACCCAGGAGTCTTAAAGAATGGTGATAAATTAAGCAAAACAGAGCAATTTACAGTACCGTACTGTATATACACTATATACTGTATACTCTTTGGTTCTATTCGGTAAAGTCACGTAGGTAAAAAAATAAAACAACAAAATCACGACTAAATTTTGATTTAAAGCTTTCGTGACTGCAGTAATTCATATTCTTAGCTCTTTCGGTAAAGTCACGTTGAAGGGAAACAATAAAATAATAAAATATATGTACAATACAAATTCTCACGACGTTTCGACCGTAACACAAACGGTCGTCATCAGGTGTGTCGGTTTGCAAACGACCGTTTGTGTTATGGTCGAAACGTCGTGAGAATTTTTATTGTTTTATATATATATTTTATTATTTTATTGTTTCTCTTCAACGTGACTTTACCGAAAGAGCTAAGAATATAAAAATCACCACGTTTCGGCCACAACACAAGCGGCCTTCATCAGGTGAAGGGATCAGGCTGTCTCGAGGACAGCGCTGGAGTGGAACACAGCCACGCTCAGACCGCGGACCTTTAAGCTGTGTGCGAGGAAACAAGGTGCCTTGACAAAGGAATTAGCATAAAAATTCGCATTTGATTGGCCGTCTTAGCATGATGAACGGTGTAGAGGTGGTGTACATGCGGGTGAACATGCCGGTTGGCGAGGGGGGGAGGAGGGGGAGTTTACCTATTGATGGTGTGAAAAGGGAATTTTTAAGAGCTGCGAAAGTTTGGGGTACCACTACTTGAAAAAATATACTGTACCATTGAAAATTAGTTTAATGTTTGGTTCGATTTAGAACATCTTTCCAATGGTTGCTTAATTTGAAACCATCTTCTCGGTTGAAATTGTGTCTGTGCTTGTAGATCTGAATTGCCTCGTGAACAAATCTCTGATAAAAAAAAAAAACCCGTGGGTTTGCAAAGGACCTTGGTATCGGAGAAAATTATATCGTGATCCTCCACAGCGTTGTAACAGTGATCAGCCACGGCAGAAGAATTCGTTCTGCTGTGTTTAAAATCTGATTTGTTATCGCGAATTCGGTCAGAGACATGTCGCTTCGTCTCCCCGATATAGCAATCACCGCAGGTACAACTCAATTTGTAAACCCCGGGGTACTGTAAGTCATGTACTGTATGTATTTATTAATTACAATACTGTATTGCACAGTAAAATTTAAAGTAAAAAAAACCAAGGTGAATTCTTAGCCTTTCCAATACGAACTGCAATTTCATGGAAAGTTTTTTTTGTTGCAGGGAACAATCCTATCTTCTTACCTATAAAGGGAACAATCTTATCTTCTTACCTATGAAGGGAACAATCCTATCTTCTTACCTATAAAGGGAACAAACAATCTTATCTTTTAACCTCTAAACGTAATTCTTTGTCCGTCCGTCCGTCCGTACCTCTGCGTGCTGCTCGCCTGCCAGGGATTTGGCGCTCGGGCCGTCGGGTTCACGTCAAAAACAAATCGTCGTGGCGGCGAATCCCGCCGCCCCGCGGTGGGAATGGACTTTATTACGTTTTCTCACCTTTGAAGCGGTTAAAACTCGCGGGTTTTTGGTGCGATTTATGTTTAATTTTGCCGCCCGAGCTGTGGTGGGTGGGGGGGGAGGGTTACCCCTGGCAACGCACCGCGTCATCGGTGGATGGTGGGGGGGGGTTTCTCATTCCCGTTCAAAATGCGCGCAAATTTACACGCGACGCTGAGGTAAATTCATCAAAGTGTCACGTCCTCTTCTCTCCCCCCGCCACCCCCGCCACCACAATGTATGCATTTACTATTGTAAGGTCGGTAGATACTACAATTATAGCGATTAGATAGTATTATTGTAGCACGGGGGTGGGGGGGGGGGGTAGCGGCCCAGCCCCCAGCCTCGCCCGGCTGGGCAATCTAGGCGAGGCCGGGGGCTCTGCACGGGGCTAGGCCTCTCTGTCAGGTGAGTATAGAGTCGATATATACTGCTAATAGCGGGAAATATCCAGCGTTGCCCAGGGCAAAAATAGATTTTAAAACTTCTGAAAACTTAAAAACGTAACATACGAATGAAAATAAAACTCTTTAAAATTAAACCCAAGTAGCGACAAGAATCGATTCTTTAAATCGCGCAAAGGAATCGAAAGTTGTAGATTACTTTAGAATCGTCTTGAAGCGACGACGCCCAACAGAAATGTCCTGGATAAACCAGCAACTCTATATTCTTAGCTCTTTCGGTAAAGTCACGTTGAAGGGAAACAATAAAATAATAAAATGTATATAAAACAATAAAAAAATTCTCACGACGTTTCGACCATAACACAAACGGTCGTCATCAGGTGTGTCGGTTTGCATTAATGTAGACCGATACCTGTTGACGACCGTTTGTGTTATGGTCGAAATGGTAAAGTCACGTTCAAGGGAAACAATAAAATAATAAAATATATATAAAACAATAAAAAATTATCACGACGTGTTATGGTCGAAACGCCGTGAGAATTTTTTATTGTTTTATATATATTTTATTATTGTATTGTTTCCCTTCAACGTGACTTTACCGAAAGTGCTAAGAATATGAATGACTGCAGTCACGAAAGCTTCAAATCAAAATTCAGCAAATACATCATTAGACCTC